ACTCGATGTCGCCCGATGCTTTCGTGATTTGTCTAGCTTGTATCAATTGTTCGCGCTTTTGCATAGCCGCCCGAGCTCTTTCTCTCTGAGCTCGTTCTTGAGCTGCACGCTGAGCCAGTTCTAGCTCGCGCCGCTGTTGCTTCACCAACTCCTTAGCCAGCTCCTTGGCTTTCTTCGGATCCATCTCTGCCGGAGGCGCAACACTTGCAGCGGCGGTCCTATCTGACGCTTGGTGCCCGCTGGGCGTGCGTTTGAGTGACGACATGGAGGATGAGTAAGGAAGCCCACGTGAGGCGGCCGACTCCTTGTCGTCTTTACCGAATACACTGGAGAATCCCCACTTCTTCTTCTTTCCGATAGGAGCTGGATTGGAAACGATGGGAGGTCTAGCAGCATTCGGAGTTGGCTCGATAGGAGGAGGTAGCATGACGGTTGACTGATGACGGGAAGCCTCTCCGCTACCTGCAACTTCTTGCCTTTGTTGTTGTACAAAGGCAGATGTCTGCGACTGCGAAGCCGGCATCTGACCGTGTGAGGGCAGATGTTCTCTTGAATGCAGGCTATTTGTGGATAGACTTTGGTAATTGGCGAAGGATGACATGGAAGCTGATTGTGAACCCTCGTACACAGAACCATCGAATACAGTCGAAGCATTTTGTCGTAGGGGGTCTTCGAGCCACGTCTGTAGTCTCTGTCCGGAAATCATACGAAGAGGTATTTGGTCTCGTGAGGGATTGACCACCAAATGGGCTTCTTCGTTGAGTGGTGGTCGATGTCCATACGAAGCCAGATCGTCCGTCGGGAGATCCAGCTCGCGAAGCTGATTGACCAAAGTGGATGCTCCGTACGTGTCGGCACGATGACCATGCGGGAAATGGACGCGATCGTCCTGAGACATGTTGTCTGGGGTGCTGACAGGAGGGGGTAAGGTACGTATGTCGCCATTGGCAAAAGCTGGTGGCGGCCCTTGGTGATGAGAGTGGGATGGAGGGACAGCACGTGGTGGTATCGCCAATTCGGTATGCATGCGTAGTTGTTGTAGAGGAGGTTGACCTTGGGAAAAGGGAATGCGTGGCAGAGGAGGGGTACGTTGGAGATGGGGTAGCATTTCATAGAAATAGGCATGTTCGAGACATTGTACGGCTGTCAGGCGAATACGTTGATTGTAGGTCACAAGATCTTGAATGCAATCGACCAAGCTTTGCGATACAGTCTCCCCGAAAAGGCTGCGGAAATTGACCGGTGTGATCTGATGTCAGCAGAGCCTCACATGACCAAACTCACCTTGGGGTAAGAAAATCCGTCGGCTTTGGCCCTTTTGACACCTGTGTTCCAGACTCCACCACCGATCCTCCGGCCTCGCTCGTCCACACCATAATCGGTGCCAGGATCACCAAGTATGCCGCACAAGCGATATATCTGGTCGACCTCACTGGCACCGGGAAACAAGGGTTTCAGGTTGACCATTTCAAAAAGAATCGTTCCCAACGCCCACATATCCACCGGCGGACCGTAACTACCTGTCCGCATCAATATCTCTGGAGCGCGATACCATCTTGTACTGATGTACTCGGTGTATGGTGGTTTCTGTTTCGTATTCTTGGCCAATCCAAAATCTGCGATCTTGACGATGACGGTGACGTCTTTCTCGAACTGAAGATTGGTCGGCTCCTCCTCCCCTCTGGCACGAGCGGCGTTGATAGCATTGAGTGACGGACCGGTGAGATATTCTGTGATCCCGGTAGTTGTGACGAGCAGGTTCTCGGGTTTCATGTCGCGGTGGAAATAATTGTGAGAATGGATGTGTTGAAGACCGGATGTTATTTGGTGAGCACATGATGCCATAAGACCAGCGGCAAATGGTCTTCCTCTGCGAGATTTCGTGAGTTGATAAAGGTTTCCTTCCATAGGCTCGAATACATAGTTGAGCTGCTGAGTCTCCATGTTCATGTACACATCGTAAAGAGCAACGACGGCTGGATGAGGCGGAATATCACGTAAAGACTAGATACTGTCAGCGAGGTATCTGAAATGAGATGGAATGGATTGTCGTTGAAACATGTTACTCACGGCCACTTCTGGTGATCTACTGGACTCTTCCCAGCCCCCTTCGACTTCTTTCTTGGTGACTTTGAGAGCGACCAAACGTTTACCAACCCATTCCTCCCTAGCTCCAGCCCCACACTGCATAGCTGAAAGATAGACATCGCTTTTGACTGGACTGTGCCAATCGCACAGATATACGTTACCAAATGATCCGTCCCCGAGATTCTTTAACTTGGTGTACTTTCTTCCGGAGACTGAAGAGTCAGCACCTGCTAAGCAGAAGTGATATGAGACACGCACGAGGATCTTCCACACCCAGTCTCCCATCTGTGAAGACCGGCTCGCCTGCGGTTGCAGGTGACACGGGCGTCATCATTCCACCGTTTCTATTCGTCCTCGAAGGTCCTGCGCCGGTCGCTTGAGGATCGAATGTCCGAGGTTCCTGAGACAAGGCGGGTGATATGACGTGCGGATTGGAGTGGAAGTGAGAGGGGTAATAGGTAGATTCTTGGTATTGGTGATGCTGCAGCGGAGCGGACGTGGGAGTGGGAAGGAAGCCAATGGAATCGGATGAGTTGTACTCAGAGCCGAGACCGCCACCGTTGGATGCCATGCCGTTGTGTTGCGTCACTGAGGGCGAACGAGTGTCGTAAAAGCCATAAGCATGAGTGTGGGAAGCGCGAGGGTCATCTGGGGAGATACGATGAGCGGCATACTGTTGGATGAAATGAGGGTCCGACATGTCGATCTGTCCTCGGAATGAAGAAGAAGAAGAGGTAGAAGCGATGGCTGTGGTCATCGCCTCTGGAACGAGAGCGACACCATGGATGGAATGGAAGAGATAGGTAGAGTGCGAAGAGGAGGGTAAGAAAAGGAGAAGAGGGTCAAGAGAGAGTGAAGGATTACGAAGTCGAGGTTAAGCGAGAGCTAGGTAGAGAGAGGGCGCAGTGGTGAGATGAAACCGTTGAATTGTCAAACAGGTCGGTCAGGTCAAATGAGTCATACCCAGAATCATAGGAACTCTCTCTGATATATTGAAAAAGAGAAAAGGGGTTGGGGGGGGAGAGGGTGAATGTCCCCCCTGGTCGTCGAGGTGATGGCAAATTGCGTGTCGGACCGGGTCGATCCCTAGCTTTATACTTGAGTTCGCTACCGAGAGATGAAGGAGGGGAGGGGAGGTGCAGGACACAGAGGTGAGTCAGACCGAGATGTGCAAAGAGACAAAAGCCCTGACCACCTTGATGGAGGGGCGATATGCCAGAGGGTCGCGTGAGATGGAATGGTGGCAAAAGGCAAAGGAAGCCTACACTAGCGTAAATCAGAAGAACGAGGCGAAGATCTATAGTCGAGGACGGCGACTATGATCACCAAATACCAAGATGATACGAGATCAAAAAGATGAATATCCGAGTTTCGTTGACGAGAAAGAATTTCTCACTCAGCCTGACAATACCTTGACGCTTCGCATGTTCGCTCACCGTACCCATTGCCGTCTGCTGCTACTCTGTACTAACCCTCGTCGTCGTTCCTGGCGTCCTGATTTTGACCGACATGACAACTGTCATTCCCCCTCGCAGTCAAACTCTCCGGCATATGCTCAAATGTTCCGTCTACTCTTTCTCTCTCTCCCTCTTCCTCCTCTGAGTCATCAGTCGCCTTCACGCCTTGGATGCAATCGTACCGAGTCTAGTTTAGCTAGCTCCGTCTGTCAAATTTGCAGATCCACTACTGACTAACTGCACCAATTTCCAGACCACGCTAGACTGAACTTTGTAGCATCCTTTGGCCGTTTAGCCCCTTCGCCTGCTACGCCGATGTGCATCTTCGGATCGGGGCCAGGAAATCGGTACCTGACCATACCCCGCCATTCTGCTTTCGGCAGTTCCCGATTTACCTCTTCCTCTCGACATCATACCTCTGGTAAATAAAACCTGTCATGCTTCAGAATGCTAAAGACGTCTCTTCTCCATACATGACTGATAAGCTACGTTGCGAACGTTGGTTCTGTATTTCATTTCATTGCGATGCTGATGGATGATCGTCAAACCAGTGGCCAGTGGCTTGGTACTACTCTCCAGTCATATAGTAGCTTGGTTCAGAGAGGCTGCTCGGCTGGCTGCCTAGTCTCGGGCAGGATAATAATGACATCAGCACCCCACAACGTCGAACCCTTTCTTTTGTCAAGTTCATTTGATCACTTGAAGCGTCCATCTCAGACGCTTGTGTATCGGGAAAATAACCCGTCATCACAGGAACAGAACCAAAATCCATCCATCGTTCCCGACATCAACGGCCTCGAGGCTGATACGATACTACTACTGCAGAATCGATCGTTGAGCCGCGAGCCGTGCGAGCATTCCAAAAATCATAGCTCCCCATTAATTCATGACCACGGATCTATGGATCTATGGATCCCATGGACGAGCTTCGAAAAACACTCTCCAAGCTTGCGAGTCCGCTCCAACGCTGCTTTCTGGTCAGGTGCGTTCATGAAGATTTCAGCATTTGACAGCTCCAGCAAAAGTATATCAGACTGGGACTTCACCGACAAAAGAATAATGGTGATGTCACCGAATGGTCTCTATGTGCTCTAGACCGATTGATAGCCACTCGCCAAGGGAAGCAGGACGTCGGGATGACACCGATATCAAGCAAGATGATCCTGGAATTTACCGTCTCCAAGTGACGTATCTCTTGACAATTCTTCAAATCAAGGCAACAACACGAAGCTATCGTCATCGGCTCGTTTGCTAGTACCGTCAGAGATCAGAGAGAAGTTCACCACTACATCAATATGGATTGACCTCCTTCCCCGAGAGAATCTTAGTAAAGATGTCTCAACTGTCTCAAACAAGCCTGAGCTCCAAGTAGCGTGGTAATAGTGACTAGTGACCTAGACTTGTCTCATGGCGTGAAGACTTTACGCGCCGAGTTTGATGATTTTCGGTGATCTTGGTGATTGGTGAGTGGAACAGTGCCTTCACTTCTCCACTCCGACCAACGTCAAAGCGTCAATAAGTTTAGCCAGAGCTGAGCTATTCAGGTCAAACGATCAGATGAAGACTAATTTTCCTCCCATCCCCTCCCCTAACGCCCCCGCCATACGCCGTCCTCGGCGATCTCGACAATTCAACTTACAAACTCAAGTGACACAGCTAGTGGGGGAAGCGAGATCGATAAACTCTCTATTCACTCCTAAGCCGTGTCTTTCGCACCTTTGATCACCCACGATCACATGTAATCGAACAGTGTGGTCAATTCAACCGATTATTCACTGACTCACCTCACTCGGTCTCCCATTTCTGCAGGCAGCAAGTTCACACAACACATGGTTGGCTACTGCGATCTCATTGACTTCTTACATGTGAGAGATGCTTTGATGAGCTTACATTACCTAGCCCGGATCGACCGGCATCTCAGAAATAACGATAGTAGTCTCCACACTAGGGAGCCAGGAATGGGGATCCGACTCGGCGGATCTGCAGATGCGGGGCGTCGTCAAATCCCCAGTGAGATTCACCTCCCAGGCGTCGACATGTGTCTTACTAACGCCACCTACTGATACAACTAAGCATAGCCTCCCTCTCACACAACCTTCTCTCCCAACTTGATGTTGAACATTAATCAAGAACAAGATGAAGCAGAATAGGACTAGTCTTGCTGGTATCCGAGTAGGACCATTTCGATGTGAGTCTTTCATCTTTTCAACTCTCACCAACCTTCACTTGGTCAAGAAATGGACAACTTGAAAAGGGGATACAATCACTGACAGTCCAGATAACTCACCATGGACTCAAGTTACTATCCTTGGGTTCATCACTTTTTGTTCAGTTGGCATGTTCTCTGCCGTTTCCAATTTAGGTGCAGGGTGAGTCATCATATTCACCTACTTCCCCTCTCTCCTTTTGTACGTGTTCTTGTCCAGTATACCTATGAATGCGTTCTATACCATCGACAAAACTGATAGACAGTGGTACACAAGATACTCAATTGAGTGATATTGGGAATGGTGTCCTTTACGGTATGTCGATCCTCCTCATCAAACATCATCTACCTCACATGCTCACATGAATACATATGTGTATTTCTGGTGGACTGACAAAATAGGTTGTTTCGCGATAATGGGTTTCTTCGCTGGATCTATCAATGTGAGTCTTTGGATTAACTCTTTGTTTGAGTGAAAATGACTGTGAAGAATATACTTGGTCCACGATTGACTTTATCAATTGGTACGATGGGTTATTCCCTTTATATTGGTTCGCTCTGGTGTTATCAGGTCAATGGGACTCGGTGGTTTCTCATACTCGCTGGAGGTATCTTGGGTATCAGTGAGTGCAACGTTCGCTCTACCAGGCCCAGCCTGTCTTCGATCGCCTCCATCCCCGTCTTGCTTCTCATTTTGCCTACTCTTGCTTTTCCTGTTTTTTTTTTCGACGGCTTTTGTGTCGTTCTTCCCTCCCCTCCCTTATCATAAGTTTACGAGCTAAAACGCCAGCTGCTGCTTTACTGTGGTCAGCGCAAGGAAGCATAATGATGTCCTATCCCCTCGAAAAAGACAAGGGAAGGTCATTTGCCGTTTTTTGGTCTATCTTTCAACTCGGTACCTTGGTGGGAGCATCCATCGCCTTGGGTATACAGGCTCACTCGACCCTTCCTGGGGTATCAACAGGGGTGTATCTAGCATTCATGATCATCATGTTAACTTCGATATTCACTTCTTGGCTCATTCTCCCGCCTTGTATGTTTTCTTGTCTTCTTACAGTATCTCCTCCTCCGAATAGCCTCTTTGCTTTCTCTGGCTATCTATCATTCCTCCTCTAGTCGCTCCCCGTGGTTGTGTTTCCCGAATGAACGCCGAGGACTTCAAAGCCATGGGAGCTGAGCTGAATGTCAGACCTCGTCGTACGAGACGACGGCACTTTAGTCGAACTTCATCAAGCTATAAGTCCCCGAGCCGAATTCCACGCTTTCATCCTACTCCTCAAAGATTGGCGGATGATTGCTCTCTTGTAAGTCACCTTCTTCCACTTTGTCTCATATCAAAGCTCAGTTCAGCCCAATGTTCTTTGCCTCGAATTATTTCTACTCTTACCAAGGAGCAATCACTGCTTTCCTCTTCAACGGTCGTACTCGTGCCCTTATTTCCTTACTCACTGGCCTGGGTTCAATAGTCGGTTCCATATTGATCGGTCTCATCCTTGATCGACTTCCCTATTCCCGTCGAAAACGTTCGTTTTGCGGTGTTGGGGTGGTCTTGCTTATCAACATCCTCACCTGGGGTGGAGGATTAGGATTTCAGGTCACGTTTCACAGAGCGGATGGGAAGAAAAATTGGGATTGGACCACCGGAGAGGCAACAGGACCAATCATACTTCTCATGGCTTGTGAGTCTGTCGAACACTCATGCGTCTGCGTGGTAAGAGAGGATTGAGTCAAAGTTAATGAGATAGATTATATTGGGGATGCGGCATTCCAAGGTTTGGCATATTACACCATGTCGGCGATGTCAAATGATCCATTCAAATTGGCTCGTATGGCGGGGTATTACAAGGGTGTGCAATCTGCCGGTTCGGCTGTATCATTTGGTATGGACGCAGTATCTGTGAGTTCGCATCTCCTATCTGGATCCATCATGTGTTGTTGCCCATAACAATGCCTACCCATTGTCACAAAGCTGGAACCTGTCAAGGACATCCATTCCTTCCTATTCGAAACTCTGTTCAGAGGCACCTTGATCTCACTGTCCCCTGCAAGACAACATGTTGAGAATTTTTACTAAAAGTCAGGCTGCTTTCCTCACTGAACACCTCGTCTCTTGGCTCATGCTACTTCTCTCCCTTCCTCTCTGCGCTTGGGTTCTGTTTCGCACTCGCGAGTCAAACTACGAAGTCGAACCTGTCCTCCGGGTGGAAGACATCAATGAAAAACTTGAGCCAACGGCTCTTCCTGTCGACTATCAAGGAGAACATCATGAAGAACCACTACCAGCTATCAATGAACAGAAGATACAAGAGGATGAAGTTTGAGACTTGAGTCTTGAGTCTTGTGGACAACTTGATACCCTTCACTTGTGATTATTCATTGTACGTTGAAGCGTCAGTTGTGAACGTTCCATCACATATACAGTATGTATCCACCCAATCAATACGGTGTGCATATCCTCATCATCTCATCTTGTACTAACTACGCCACATTTATCCAGAAAATCGACCTGGTTCAAGAGGAGATTTGACAGCTTCGTACGGTGCTGCATTTCTCGCTCTCTGCAACGTTGTCTCATCAACATGCCATGTGTGCCTGATAGATCGTGCTGGACGGTTATCATGCCACTCTCCCTCGACAAGAGAAACCAAAACGGTATCATGTTGTCCAAACGAAAATTGACAAGGATGTTCGACCACATTTCCACCTCGGATCTCATACACCATATCCGAACAAAACAAACCATCGTAAAACGTCTGATCGCCATCCGGAAGGATTGCGGTGACTTCAGTGCCGTATGGCATTTCATCGATCCTATAGTTGAAAATGTCAACCAAATCTGGTGGAAAATCCATTGTGGTCGAGTCAACTCCTTGGGTGTGGCTGGGATCTGCAATCTCTTCAATGAAACCCAATCCCCCCCCTTGTACGAGAGACGTGTTCAGTGGTCCCCAATCTTCCTCTGTCTCTTGCTGGCTGATATTGTTGAGAGAAAGTGCAGGGTTTTCTTCGAAGAACCCAAACCACTGAGATGATTGGATCATCGTGGGGGCTGGAAATTCAGAAATTTGTTGGGAAGTTGTCTGAGGCCCTTGTTTAGAGGAATCACCTGGGTTGGAGTATTTTGCACTTTCCCTTGCTATAGCATTGACCTTGTCTCGGAGACTCTGGTCATGCTTGACTAACATCTCTTGGAGTTCATTCCTGTACTCATCCAACATATCATTAGACATCGTGGGTGTACGTGGAGTCTGCCAAGGGCCACCAAGAGAGTTCACCTGTGAGGGTGCTGAAGTCGGTACAGGATGTTTTCTGGGTCGTCCTCGAGGTCGCTTTGTCTGTTGGACAGAAGTTTGCTTGTTGTCTCTTTGAGTAAAATCTGACATAATTGCTTTCCTAGAATGATGGTTCAGATGATGGTGTTTGACTTGAGATTAGGAGTGATTGTGTGTTGGGGAGAGATCAGATTTCACGGACGTGGGGGGTTATAAGCCAAATCAAATACTCAGTTTCAAGAGCAGCAGACAAGTAGAATGTGTCAGATGGTATACCATCTGAAGTCTGATTCGAAGACATGTAGATAAGGAGTGAAAGGATGGAAAGGGGATGAAACTGGTCGGGATTGAAGAAGTGAGACATGTTCCGTGCGGCGTGTATGACACTCTCCTCTTTCACTCGGGGACCATCATGTCCGTGGAGGGTGCATTAGATATGCATGTAGCATAGTAGCATTATACTCTTCAGGGGGAAAGCTTTCTCAATGGCAGAGCACAACCTGCCAGGTTGAATCTAATATGCCATTGGGATAATGAACGATGCATCTCCCGTCCGTCCAATGAGTATGAGACCTCACTGTTACAAAACCGCCTTGTTCTCTTGCTTCAACAGATTCAAGAGGCTATCAGTAGCCGGGCCTGCAAAGTCAATGGAGAATAATCAAATAATGGTTGCCAACCTGTCTGGAATGCAAGTAAAGTCAGATTAGGACAGAAGAAAGTTGTGAGTCATCTCTGATCACTTCAAGAAATCCAATCATTCATTAACAAAACACATCAGCCAGAGAGCTGCTAGATCTCTATCAATAAAACCATCTCGTCCTAGAGATATCAGGTACACCATCTGCGACCCAAGACTGGTGGGTGATGTCCACTCTTGGGTCCAGGGACATCAGCCAATCATCATCTATGAACACCAAGTCTTTGTCTTCCGGTCTCGCTGTGAACATTGACTCCTCAGGAGACGGACCAGGGACTTGCAACTTTGGTGACACCTGAGTCGTCTCCGTTTTGATTTTGGTTTGGTCATCATCCCAATTGTTTGATGAGGTAGTGATGAGTTTCTTCGTTGCTGTGGAGTTTTGTATCATCACGTCATCTGCTTCATTTTGTGGAGGTACATAAGTTGTGGGATTCTCCAGCCCTCTGGGATACTTCGGTGCAAGAGGCTGAAGATACTCGTGCGACCGGAACTTCTCATATGGGTCGATTGTATTGCTTTGAGAAGGCTGTGTCGTCCGGTCAAACTGTGTGTCCGGTTCCACTCTATAAGGGCCAGAAGAAAGGGACGTGCATGGATTGGTAGAGTCCTCGAGTTGAGTAGTATTATGGTCCGGATCTGGCTCGCTTAGGAAGAATTGGTCCTGAGCTGGTTCGGCAAGTGAGGAGTGGCACCCCTCACCTGAACTAGGATGTGTTGTCCATGGCGGATACTGTTTGCTGATAATTAGATGGTAATACAGAGGGGAAAAAGAGCATGCATCAATTCTACATGTCTCTATACTTATCACATTCCACTCACACGCATAAAACCAGAGACGATCGAATAAAGTTCAGAGGATAAGTTGAACGGAGAAATATTCGACGGAAGGGGTAATTCTAACGGCGGTTCGGCCGTCCTGGCCCGATTCTATCGGCTAACAGATACCGGCTTGCAAAATGAGGTCGATTCAATGATATGCGTCCTCCATTGGATGTTACATTGAGGGCTTGCCAGTGACTACTCGGGGACAGATTGCTGGCTTCAGCTCCCCATGTAGACCGCGTTCTATCTTGCCCTTGTGACATGTTATTTCAAATGATCTTTGATGGGTATGTTTATAATAGGGATAGTAGATTGAATTAGAAAATGGGGACTAATGGGTCAAACTAGCAATTCTCTTGACCACTGCTGAGTTGAAACAAAGAGGTCGGAGTGTTGATGGCCTGGCGATGGAAGGGATGAAACGTTGACGTGCTGTCACGTCAAACGTCCTAATGTCACTCGTGTTGCAATTGTTCTCCGTTTGCTCATACCTCCGGTCCACTTCTTTCTGCTGCTCTCTGTGCTCTCTCTGTCAGTACGCATCCGGACCGACATCTACACGATGATTCGGTGTCTTTGGAGGGGCAGCGCCGGGCTTGAGACATAACCTGATCTCGACAAGAAATCACATGAATTGTGACGGTTGCATAATATCTGACCTTGGTCCTAATGATACTAACCCACCTGCATTCATGTATGTAACTACCTAGAAAGAGAATTCTGACCAAGGTACGAGCTCAAAGCATGGTATGGTGGTGAATCACGCAATCTATCCCTTGTTTCCTCATCTACATGGAATCCATGTCGTAGTTTTCTAGTCGGATGTTCTCCGTGCCAAGATTCCTTGACTAGAGAAATCAAGACAGTGTCGGTTGGGTTGAAAGGTTCAGTACATCCTACTTCGGTGCAGGTCAAAGCATCATAAAACTTCTGCGTCCCTGTGGTAGGAAGGAGACACGGAAGCTCAGTGTCATACGGAAGCTCATCAATCCTGGAGTTGAATTTGCTGATCATCTCCCAAGACAATGTGGGGGGTATAGAGTCAACTCCCAATTGATTTGGGTAAGGTTCAACAAAGTTCATTGACTTCCACTCTTGGCTTGGGCCAGGATTTGGTGCATTCAGTGAGTAAGCAGTGGTGAGGTCAGGGGAAGAACCAAAACGCTCAAGTGTTGGCGCCGAAAGCATGTCAGGAAATACCCGAGACTGTGTGTCAGTGAAGCTCAATCGACACTCTGAATAACTCACTTGACTCCACTGATTCGATTTCAGAGTACTTAAGTTGGCCGGAGGTATCTGCCTATGCGCTCCTTGCATCTTCTGAAGTGACTCCATGTAGCCGGCGGTTATTTTTGAATTGGACATTGCGGCCATTACTCCATATCGATTACCAACTCCAGTAGGAGCTGAAGAGAGATTACCATACGGATATCCTGATATAGTGGACCCTTGTTGTACGTTTGAGAGCTGCTGATTTGAGTTGGATCGATAACCAAAGATGTTCTGACTCCAGGGGTCAAATTGGCTCCCAACAATCTCCTCCGTTTGCGCTTTTACCGTCTGATCGTGGACAGTTCTGTCCTGCTTGGTAGCTGAAGATCTACCAAAGAGAGACCTCATATTTTCTTGCTCTTGTAATTGTCCAAAAGCTGTATATTTCTTAGGGACATTTTGGGGAGTTTCACCTTCAGAATGTTCCGACATTTTCACTGTTTGAAGTTGAAACTTTGTGGAATGGAGCAAATGTACGGTTCAATATACACTGGGTCAGATTCTTATTTTACAAGTGATGAGGTCTGGAAAGATGAGGTTGAAAGGTCAAAGTGAGGTTACAGAGTGTGGGTGGTTGTCAAGAATGTCTTTCCATACGTTTTGAACTGATAGGAGCTTCAAATGAAGACAAGTACATGAAAGGGTTGAGATCATATTCAGGTGTTACATATTTACGTGTCTTGTCCTCCCTTTATATACGTGATCCTGATGACTTTTCTAGTGCTCTTGTTGTCTCAGGAAGGAGGACTGGACTATGAAAGGATGAAAAGTCATCATCATTCAAACACTTGCATCATGTGGTCCTCTCTACGATCAACACCAACACGGAATCAAAAATGAGGCAAGATTAGCAGTCAAACTTGTCTAAACTTCCTGCTCCTTGTGATGAGTGGATCCTAACTCTGAGGCTGCTCAAACGTTTCTTGCTGAAGGACTGCAGAGTCCCCGTCAAAGTGTGTGAAATGAATCACAGGGAGCTGAGGATTTGTGGCCGCAAGGGCGGTGTTGTCATCCCATGGAGCATTGAAATCATAGCTGTCGACGTTGGACTGATGAGATTGTTGTGTCAGTCGTGTACCGGATTTGTGAGTCTGTGAGAGGGAAGTCCCAGATTGCCTGGATCGAGGTTGACGAGGGGCTCGGATCTTACCCTGCATCACTGCTAGGGTTTGATCCACGGCATTCTTAGCTGCTATCTCGTCTAGATTGTGTTGGAATTCCAACAATCCTTTAGTGACTATCACCTGACCGGTTGATGTCTCTCTCGTCCAAACTTTTGGCGACCTGGTACCACCTGCTTGCCAGCTTGTACCAGAGCCATATGACCCATCAGATGGCAAGTTGAGAGTGGGCATGGCAGAGTGTCGCGATGGTTCTTCCATTGTGGGAGAAGCGTACCCGTACTGCGGCAACTGAGAGGGTGACTGGAGATGAGATTGTAGCCCCATAGACTGCGGGATTAGTCCTTGGTAGCTCTCTAATGCATTGGTGGTATCGATGGTATTCAGATCAATATCACCAAAGAGCTCGACTTGGGTCAGATCATATGTACCTTCCTCCAACATGTTTGCAACTGTGAGGTCTGGATTGTCTTCCGGAAAGTCACCACTGGTATTTTGGGACATGATTCTGATGTTTATCTTTGTCTATGATTCTTGGTATATTTCTGAAGATAGATTAGAGATCTTAAAGAGTAAGTGTCACTTTATCCCCGGGGGAGGTATGGGACTTGTTATGACACCATCTCACATCAACATCATCAACTGCCTCATGCATCCTGCTTCAACAATGGATGAGATGACTGAAACAATTGTTTTGAATTCCCCGAGCCCCTTACCTTGTACTTCCTTGCACCTCACCTGTAACTCAGATTTATTGCTAATATCACTCATCTTGCAGTGCTCCTTGATTCAGTATACGCTCCGTACCGTTTCAGGTCCTCGATTTTCTACTGAAGTTTCGCCACATTGCTACACTGCCACATCCGACAACTGTGACATCACCGTGCGCCATCACCAGCACCACCCCTGCCTGCCAGATTCACCCAATGACTTTACCTACTTACATGAAACTGGACCCATGCCATCCGAGCTACTTCAATTCCCCCCTCTATACACACTCGTAGGTATCTATCGTATTCTCACTGACCCTCTCGTCCGTACCCCAGTGCTGGACAAGATCCGCCATGCCTCCATCCGAGGTCTCATCGTGGGCGCCCTCTATGCCGCCGGAACATGGCGACCGATGGGATGGTTCGTCCGTCGTTTCTTGGTAGGCGGGCAGCGATTTCTAGGAATTGGACTAGGTAGTCGGGGAAGAGTCGGCGAGGCGGTGGGAGAGAGTATGGGTGGGGTGGTACATGTTGGAATGGGGAGGTTAAGTGTACCAGTTGATTTAGTTCTCTGTGAGTTGTGGTCGTTCCATTTTCACACAATTTAGTGTATATATCTAAAATCAAACATGAGACCTTACAGTTGAGCTAATATCAGACACGCACATTCTTGTACTTCTTCCTCAACTCTCGAGCATACTCCGGTTCTTCATCTACAAAAACCTCCGTATAGCTCGTTCTAGAGCGTACGCTTTGACGGTATCTTCTAGAGGCAAGCCTCCAGAGTTTTGGTCGCAAGTGAGTTGGTAACTTAGTCATCAGCGTCGTCTCATGGTTTTACTCGGATCACATGTGGGGCACGCATCAACAGAGAACCAGAAAACATGACTGATATCCAGGGATATGTGGAGGAATGGGCAAATCCTCCCAAGCCACAACCTGGTGATATGGTCAAAGGTGGCAGGAGAAGCACAGAAGCTCGATGGGTGTCATGGATATTGTGGTGGCCGACTCAGATCGTGATACGACATTGTAAGTTTTCCTTTCTTGTCCTTCATCTCACTGCCAGTTTGTCTAGCTCATCTCAAATCGTAGAGCCTCCTGACTCGCCGTGATGGATGCCAAGCACAACTACATACCCCAAGTCTACCGCTCTCGGCTGTTCGGCAGACCCGTCATACTCGAAGCAAATGGGACCTCGTTGAGGTCGTTTCAGGGCGGTCTCATACGTCTTACGTCTTTCGTCCGAGAATGAAGAAGTAGTATCCAGGCTTACTCCCAGACCTTCTCATCCCGTTGTCCCCCAATCTTCCCCTTCTGGCTCCACTCTTCACCTCCACATTACGTGCACTCACCACCGCCGAGTACCTCCACACGCCGTATTTCGACATCAAAGGTATGTCCGCAGAGGAAAGATGGCGTTGGGTTGAAGAACGTAAATGGGCATACAGATGTAAGCTCCCTTGGTCGTTCCCATTATCGTCTCTCTTGATCACCTGACCTGGTTTCAAGGGATTGACCACATCAGCAAATAATGTCCGTGCTGACCGTCCAGCGTTCGGCTTCGCGGCTAGCGTCCTTGAGTCCATTCCTATTCTCGGTTTATTCTTGTCTATAACCAATCGTATCGGTGCCGCCATGTGGGCGTTCGATCTCGAAAAACGACAACATCTCTTCTCTCACCAAGCTCTACAACCACTCCCTCCATCACAAGTAGGTTTCTTCGGCTCTGGCGGTGTGTCCAACACGGACCTCAACATACAAGCTGCAGAGGAAGAGATAGAAAGGAGATGGTCTCAGAAACCTCACGACGATTCGACGTCTCCTGCCATCGAGCTACAAGGCTCAGGGTTGGGAGTAAGCGAGGCAGGTAAAGAAAAGGTTTTATGATGATACTACGACCAATGAAATGCACCCAGAATTAACGAACCGAAAATGAGCTACAACGTATATGGCAAACGTGATGCTGCTTAGATTATATACCTATCACAGTGAGAAGATACGAAACGATACAAATGCACGAAACCACCAAATAAGCCCACCAACCAGACGTGTCTTCACTTTTCATTATTGTCAAATCCTGTCCAAGTATATCGAGTTCCATCGTGTGTCGTTTTTCGAGCCTGTCATTGAAGTCGTGGCTGTTGTTAGACACCAAAGTAGGTATGACTTTAGGGCCAAGAGGAAGATGCGACGCGAGAGGATCATGGTGGGAAGATGAGTCGCTGTAAGCGTCATCGCGACGGAATGGAGACCGCTCGGAAGGCCCAGGATCATCAGATACGGAAGACAACGGGGATATGCTGGAAGAACTAGAGGTACTCGGTCGACGTCTAGGGACGGGCGAAGGTGTAGGAGGACGTATTCTGCTCCTTCTTGGTGTGGGTGAAGGTGTTGAACCTCTTTGTTTTTCCAACATTGTCAACTCATGCTCTCGCGAGAGCTCTTCTTCCCTCTCGACAACTCCCATATTCTCTCCTGAGACCAGTTTCTGTTTTTGAATCTGGGGCGGTGTTTTCTCCTGTTTGTCTTCCTCATGGAGAACGAAGACAATCTCTATGTTCTCTCTCTCGTTGAACAGAGAACGAAGTCGTCGTATCTCTTGATCCCTCTTCCAACTCTCTATCAAAATGTCCCCTGCAACCTCCGCCAAACCCAGATTGATCCTCGCTCTCCGTTCAAGATCTCGTTGAGTCAGTCGGACCCCCTGTGTTGGACGCCAAGGCCATGGGAAGGGGAGGGAATCCCATATTGACCAATCGGACGAAGAGCTCTGATGTTCTGAATGAAGGAGGTGAGACAGGTCGTCAAGTGTCGGAGTGTACGATGAATCGGGCGCCAGGAGAGGTAAGAGGGCGTGAACGTTGCGCAGGTTGTAGAGTAGATCTGGGTCTATTTTCTTCTTCAGGCGAGGAGAAGGTGGAATGGACTGGGGATCAGTCTAGTTGAACTCGAATCTGAGGATGGAGACTGACTGGGTATTGAAGGAAATCTTGCCACGCACTGAGAGTCAGTTACGAGAAACGTTCGACGAGGGCAAGAGAATCACCTGGCAGACCATTTCAGAACAAGTTCCCATGCTCGACCTTGATCGCCACGTATAGATGACTGGTCCACTTTGACTGCATCATTTAGAAGCTTCGCACGACGGTTGGGATCCATGCCTGTGGTCATCTGGTAATCAGCACGCTTGCACTGATATGAGCGAAGACAGGAAGATCGAGAGAGGAAGACGAGATAAAGAGTGAATGTCAATAGAAGATACGCACGTAACGATCATCAGGAATGATAGAGATGCTCGGAAATGGAGTGTTGAGTAAGGCGTCTAGAGAGTAGGCAGATGTAGGGAGATGAGATTTAGCAGGTAACCAACTTTTTGTCAGCGCATGATTGCTCGCCGTGTCATTTGTCCGTTCGCCTCACTCGCATCCACAATTTCTTATCTCTACTGCAGCTCGGCAGACCCATATACACCAGTCACCTGTGAGAAATTTGGACAGCACTGTCACTTTTTCAACAAATACGTCATAAAGCCCTTTGCATAGAAAGAGAGGAGGAGAAGGGGTAGAAGGATGATTCACTTATGACACAACCTACCATCCGGACCTCCCTCTTCCCATGATATCGCATCTCTCATAGACAAGCTCAAAAGACCCTTCCCTTCTTCTCCAGGTGTAACAGACCACAACAGTCTCCCAGCTCCCATCTGCTTGCATACCCTGCGAGCGGTATCGTAAGGCACCCACATGTCAGGAAAAGGAGCCGTGCCATCCAGATGAAGCGACCAGTCCTGAGGCATCAGACGAAGACGAGTACATATCCGTATGGGAGATTTAGGACATAGGGCAAGGACGAGGGGTAAGAGGGAAAGATGGGGTTGACGGGCTGGGTCGAGGGTTAAGTAAACGGGGATGTGATTCTATCCATTAGAACATCTTCTCTTCTCCTTCGTCTTTACACCACCTACTCATCAGGAAGACACATGATCGTCAGTGCATGAGGTGATTACAAGACTCGACGACGTTAGACCAAATGAGACAGACGTACCACTGTGATGTATAATAACGGCGCCAAGGGTCGATTGGGCAAAAGGGTAGGAAGCACTGTGAACGAGACAGGTAGCGGAATCGGAGGTGAGACAGCTATCTTTGGCACTCCCATCTTACGCCGTACTATGATCTTTTGAAAAGATGTTGAGAGTGACCAGAAGAGATAAGTTTCCTGTGTTTGAAAGATGACATTCTTAATGTGAACATGAAGAACACGATGCACATTGAGTGTGAGTGACTGACGACATGATGCGGGGCTCCAATCTGGCATTCCCCACACGGCTAACCCGCAATGTCCGTCCGCACAATACCTCCACACCTCGACTACAATTCACCTGTGAACCATTCTCTTCTTATTGTGAAGCACTCACATATACTCAGCTTCACATTGGCGTCATGAGCGCGGGTATAAAAGATACTTCGACGCAAACTCGAACAGATGTCACAGCCAAGAGGAGAAGAAACTTCCCCAGCTCACTGCTATTCCCAGCCTTCATACCTCTGCTTCTCTACTTCCTCTACCTCCTCTCCTCTCCTCCAGATTTCGACACCAGTATGCTTTTACCTCGACCCGATGCTCCAAAAAATGCATTGATAGTGACTGCTCATCCTGATGACGAAGCGATGTTCTTCTCACCTACTATATTGGCATTGACGAGGAATGGTTGGAATGTCTCTGGTTTATGTTTATCGAATGGTCAGTTAATTCATTCATCTCCACAATTTCTCCCATGATATCATCTTATTGGAAATATAAGAGAGAAAATCTTGATACTGATTATAGGGAATGCCGAGGGTCTAGGCAAACAACGTGAAAAAGAATTATACGCATCTTATAATCGTCTCGGCGTACCTTCTTCCAAAGTGGAAATCATCAATGATCCGTAAATTCACCTCGTCTTTACATCTATTCACTGATCACTGACTTCAGTGCATTACAAGATGGTATGCAAAGAGCCTGGATGCCTTCAGATACTGGAAAATACGTTTATAGACGTTTAGACACTGAACCTTTCTCCGTTGTGAGTTCTCAGACACATATCGTATACATCGCTAATTTCAGGTGATCAAATTCGATAAATACGGTATTTCCGGTCATATAAACCATCGAGCCGCATCGCTAGCTTGTTCACCTGTCAATTGGCCTTTCCTCATAACTACTCGTAAACTTAAAGTTTGGGCAGTCAAAACTCCATCTTTGTTGGAGAAATACATGGGTCCATTTCCCGCTATATATCATTTGGTTCATACTCGAATAGCGGACACGGAAAAAGGTAGAGAAGTGTTGAGATTGTTGAGATTAGATCGGAAAGAAGGTGCTTGGAGAAAAGTGGAAGTCATTAATGGTTTGGAGAGGTGGTGGACGGGGATTGAAGCAATGAGAGAACATAAGACGCAATTGGTTTGGTTTAGATGGATTTGGTTGGGTGTGGGGAGTTTACAATGGACCAATACCCTGATAGAAGCTTGGTGATTGTTATTTTGCATGAAGCTGTAATCAACCAGGTCTCTGGGCAGAAGGAGTACTTCCGGTGATACTTGCACCTAGGGTCAGTAGCAGGGGAAGTTTGAACGGTACGAGGAGTTCCTTGCCGGAATATGTGAATGTTCATGGTTGAGGTCAGTTGGAGAGAATTATTCGAAGGAATCCAAACTGTCCAAAATGTTCATTCGCGCACAGCGCCTATGCGATTGTTCAAATATGGGAACCTATGTCAAACACCGCCGAATCACCCCTTATCACCACTCAGATCTCATCATTTCCGGTTTCAAGGAACGGCAAGAGAAATCGCCGATCGAGGACCGATTAAGAAACAGGTAATTGTGGTAATGACCCACTCCCCTCCACCCAACTCCAAGTGATGTTCCCAGTATACCCATCTGAGAAAAGTCCAACGTCAAGCGACGCAAAGTGCTCAAAGACTCCACGGGACAAGTCGAGCGAACGAAGGTCGCAAGAAGGACATTGGTCGGTTACCTCTACCACGAGAGATTTCCCGCCATCTACGAGTTAGTTGATATTCCTCTCCTCGGTGGTGTCCATGAGAAGGGTTCAAGAATAGGATAGGACAGGGAGTGTGAGAATGGTGCAGAGAAGGGATGTGGACAAGACGACGATTTACGTGTAATCTCAAGATGTTTTCCGCAGATCGGGTTATCATTTGGGTTATCGGTAGCTCCTGGCCACATGTTCCATATATCCGCTGAAGCGGCCACCATCTGTCTCGATCAGTTGTGTACGCAAAGGAAGAATTGGATTTGACTTACAGCGTCCGCCGGGACATTGTACCATCCACAAGCCCCTAGACCAACGTCAAACCACGTCCCCCAACCTGAGAATGGCCCATTGCCATCAGGATCACCAGACGTCCAAGTGGGTGAGCTGTCAGCTGCTGAGGTAGTGGAGGAGGGCAATGTTGTGGTGCTTGAGTCGAGGGTGGAAGTGAATGCGGAAGTGGGAATATCAGAGGTGGTGGAAGTGGATGTAGAAGTGGAGTCTTCCGTCGAAGTGAAGGTGGACGTCGTGGTAAAGGTTGATATAGCGGTTGAGGTCGAGGTCGAGATTGACGTAGATGTCGACAAGGGAGTGGAAGACGAGGAGAAAGTAGAAGAGGTAGACGTAGCGGATGAGGCTGAACTATTGATCACAAGCTTTGAGGTGGTAGTAGACGAGATCGAAGAAGTCGGTTCGACAGAAGCTGACGAAGTACTGGGAACTTCCGAAGAAGACGATGCGGATAGAGAGCTAGACAACGGCTCTGATGACGAAAGAGATGTCGACGTCGAAAGGACAGACGACCTTTCGGAGCTGCTGAAGGCAGGGTTCGACGACGACGGGGGAATGGTCGAAGCGGAAGATAGAGAAGAGGATGCCTGAGTCACAGAAGATGACATGACTGGCTCGGACGAAGAAGTAGAGGGGGTCGGATCCGTCAGACTCGTCGATGTGGAGGCCGAAGACGATATTGTGGACGCTTGGGTCGAAGGAGCTGGACTTGAACTAATCATCGGGGAGGCGAAGGTCGAACTCTGGATTGTTGTACTGAAGACAAAGCTGCTAGTCATACCGACGGACGTGGTCATGCCGGTAGACGAGCTCATGTCTAGACTTGAAGAGATCAACGTCGCATTGGCGCTTCCGGTAGATGTTGGTCCGACAACGCAAAACTTTCTACGACGCACTTGTCTCTTTATTCCTTGTTTGCCCTTCACTTGAGCTTTCCTCAGCAGGGGAGACCTCATGATTTTGGTAAGACCATGTTTGGGACCGAACAACAGCGATCGTCCACGATGAGCGGGGATGGCGGCTCGGCCAGCGGCTTCTAGAGCAGCTCTTGAGTCAAGCTGGGGCTGGTCGATAGTTGGAGGATAGAAGGGGTTGTAGGCCTCTGCTGCTGGGGCAGGGGCACCTGTGGTCGATAGGAGAAGAGGGAGGAGGACGAGTATAGGTAAGAACATGATGTACCGCCTGCGGTCAGTGAAGGAATGAAAATGCCGGATAGGCAAGGAGGGTGGAAGGAGGGAAGACCTCTCAGAGGTGAGATATTATAATGAAGAGAACAAGTAAGTGAAAGACGAAGTTAAGCTGTTGGAAAAAAGCATGACGAGCACAGTCTTACCCCACGATCCGGAGTGAAAGGTGGCTCGTCAGTAGGGACAGTTCAGAAAAGACCCCGGATCTACGTGTGGTTCCTGGTCAGCGGTCCGCGGTCCGCGGATGAAATCAGTGTCGGATGAACATCTACACACTGGCCATTGTGACCTCGGCTGTGGATACCTAAGAGGGGGTTTAGCTCTATAGACGGCAGGTGTACAGGTGATTAGCTGAGTAGCGGAAGACATGAAATGGCGAGGAAAGTTTCCAGCGCGCCATCTGATCTTTTGCGTTTGACCGGATGGGGAATCATGACGTGGCATTTTGACATATGCCCAAAAGTCACGTGTCAGGCCCACCGTGATAAGAATCTCAAAGAAATTGCCACGAGCTTCCAGCACACTCTCTGCCTCACGAAAATCCTTTGACAGCATTCCTTCACTTTCAACCTGCACTCATTCCTCTCCTCTCCTCTCTCCTGAATCTTCTGGCTCTTTGATCACCTCGTATCGCAACTTGAACTACAATATACTCACTTGACATAGGATTTAAACCGGATTTAGTCTTCGAAAATGGCGGTAAGTGCGGGCCCAAATGATAAGCGTAGCATCTCATGTTTCCAGAGCGTTGTAGGTATCGATTTGGGCAACTTGTCCTCTAAAATTGGTGTGGCCCGTCGTAAAGGTATAGACATCATTGCGAATGAAGTCTCTAATCGCGCCACTCCGTAAGTAATACTCTTCATTCCATGGACAAAAGCTGACGCGACCCTCCTTTCCCTTCATGACCATTATCGTTGTTTTCACAATATGCCATTGTAATATAGCTCCCTTGTCTCATTCACCCCCCGACAACGCTTCATAGGTGAATCGGCAAAAACCGCTGAGACATCCAATTTCAAGAACACCGTCGGATCGTTGAAGCGTATGATCGGCAGGTCATTGTCTGACCCAGAGGTAGCAGAGTTTGAAAAGAAGTTCATCAATGCGGAATTGGTGGATATCAACGGTCAGGCTGGTGTAAAGGTCAGTGTTTTGACTTGATTCTTCATGAAAAGAATACTGACGTTAAAGGTCCAATATGTCGGAGAAACGTCCATTTTCTCTTTCACCCAACTTGTCGCTGCCTATCTTGGTAAACTGCGTGATATCGCCGCCAACGAACTTCAGCAGGCCGTCTCGGACGTCGTGATTGCAGTGCCTGCATGGTACACCGAAATCCAGCGTCGTGCAGTGTATGACGCCGCCACTATCGCTGGATTGAATGCTCTTCGACTGATCAACGACACCACCGCTGTCGCTTTAGGATACGGTATCACTAAAAGCGATCTTCCAGAATCAGCGGAATCTCCCCGTCATGTCTGTTTCATCGATGTCGGTCACTCCACCTATTCCGTCACCGTGGTAGCTTTCTCCAAAGGTCAATTGACCGTCAAATCCACAGCTTGTGATCGTAATTTTGGTGGACGCGACTTTGACTACGCCCTCGTCCAACATTTTGCCACCGAGTTCAAAACCAAATACAAGATCGATGTCATGTCAAGCCCCAAGGCTGTTTTCCGACTTACCACTGGCTGCGAGCGTCTCAAGAAGGTCCTTTCGGCAAACGCTGAAGCTCCTCTCAACGTCGAATCTATCATGACCGACATTGACGCCAGCTCTTCGCTCAGTCGAGAGACGTTCGAGAATCTGGTCGATCATCTCTTATCTCGCTTCAACGCTCCTTTGGAGCAGGCATTGTCAGAAGCCGGTCTGACAGTCGAACAGATTGACGCCGTCGAGCTCGTTGGTGGGTCAACCCGTGTCCCAGCTATCAAAGAGCGTATCCAAGCCTTCTTCGGTGGCAAGATTCTCGGCTTCACTCTCAACCAAGATGAAGCGGTGGCGAGGGGTGCGACTTTCGCTTGCGCTGCTCTTTCTCCCGTATTCCGCGTCCGTGACTTCGCCGTACATGATATCACCAAATACCCTATCAAGGTGTCATGGGAAAAGGAGCCTGGAAACCCTGACGAGGATACCGAGCTTGTCGTATTCCCTTCGGGTAATAACATTCCTTCGACCAAAGTCCTCACCTTCTATCGTCAAGGTCCGTTCGAGCTTGAAGCAAGGTACGATGAAACCGCTGTTTTGCCGGGTGGTACCAGCCGCTGGATTGGGAAATACACCATCAAGGGCGTGGAGAAGCCCGCCTCTGGCGATTTGGCTTGCGTCAAGGTCAAGGCGAGACTGAATCTACACGGTATCATGAGCTTTGAAGGCGCATACATGGTTGAGGAAGTAGAAAAAGAGGAAATTGTGGTGACTGGCGAAGGTGATGAGAAGAAAGAAGAGAAGAAATTGGTCAAAAAGCTGCAGCGCCGTGGAGACTGTTCGGTCGTCGGTCAATACACTTCACTCCCGAAGAATGTCGTCGATGACTGGACGGAGAATGAAGGTAAGATGCATGAAGAGGACAAGCTCGTCTTGGAAACGGAGAACTGCAAGAACGCCTTGGAAGAATACGTTTACGACATGCGAGACAAGCTCGACTCGCGATACAAAGTTTATGCTACGGAGGCGGAGAAGAGCGCTCTTTTGTCTGGTCTTTCCGAAAGCGAGGACTGGTTGTACACGGAGGAAGGAGAGGATGCCAAGAAGTCTGAGTATATCCAAAAACTCACCGATCTCAAGGTCAAGGGAGATCCCATCGTCCTCCGATGGAAAGAGAATGACGAACGACCTAAAGCTGCTGCGGCGCTCCGTGAAGCACTCAACTTGTACTTAACTCAAGCTCAAAGTGGAGATGAGAAGTATTCTCACATCACCGAGGCTGACAAAGGTAAAGTGGTAAGTCATTTCATCCTCTGATCATAATGAGACGCAAAGCTGAGTGTACAAGATTGAGAAATGCGCCACGACCCAACAATGGCTCGACGACCAACTCGCTCGACAAGCTGAGAAACCTAAAAATGTCAATCCCATCGTCACTTCCAGCGAGATGCTCAAACGTAAAGACGATGTTGTGTACACTTGTGCGGCTATCATGAACCGTCCCAAGCCCAGGCCAAAGGTCGATTCCACCACTGGATCGGGTACTCAGACGCCCAAGAACGAGGGAAAGACACCGAAAGAGGGATCTGAGGTGGATATGGACGAGCAGGGACCTAAGATTGAGGAGATGGATGTTGATTAGGGACCGGGTTTACAGATAGAAGAGGATAGAAATCATGATTATAGCATGCACGGTTGTCTCACCTTTCGCTGGTTTCTCCACCTGACAACCTGGGCCGTTTGCAACAGCCGACACATCTTGGCCTCGGTGGGCCAGCAAGTGCCACATTGACTAAATGCCGTAAATGCCGCTTGGTGTATGCTGCCACACGCGCTCCTTTCGACCACCACTACCACCACCATCGTCGCCTCGTCCCAAGTTACCTCTCACTTCCCCAACCTTCACTCACTTCTATTCTAGCACTGCATCTTTCTCCATCAACGAGAGTAGCTTCTCTCATTATAACAGCAGGTCTTCCATATCGTCACTCTCAGTACCTTTCGTCATGGCAGCCGCTCCAGCGTACCCGATACAAATCTTGACGGACGAGCTCAAGTCGGAAGATGTAGTTTTACGTCTTGCCTCCGTCCGACGGCTATCGACCATAGCGTTAGCATTGGGACCTCAGAGGACGAGAGATGAACTCATGCCTTTTCTTACTGATCAACTGGACGATGAAGACGAAGTGGGTCCTTCCTTTCACCAAACCGTCTTGGCTTCCTGTTCTTCTTCCTGTGACCAGACAAAAGTGTAGCTGGTTTTGCTCTTAGTAGAGGATGAACGCCAGCTGATAACGTATAGGTCCTACTAGTACTAGCAGAAGAACTAGGGGGACTTATCGAATATGTTGGAGGGAAAGAATGGGCTTGGGTCCTTCTCGCCCCACTGGAGAATCTCGCCGCTGTGGAAGAAACCTTGGTCAGAGACAAGGTCAGTAATCCTTCAAACTCTGATGTAAGAGTTATATAGATGATTGATTTTACAGGCCGCTGAATCAGTATCAAAAATCGCATCTGTCCTTTCCCCTCAAATTATCGACCAACATCTCTTACCCCTCCTTAGACGACTCGCTTCAGGTGATTGGTTTACCCCACGTACATCATCAGCAGCAATGTTTGCCGCTTCTTACCCTGCTGCATCCCCCACCGCGCAAGAAGAAATGCGTCAGCTTTTCTCTCAGTTAGTGACTGATGATACTCCCATGGTCAGACGTGCAGCTGCCAAAGCCCTTGGTGTGAGTCTTCTACAAGTGTATTCTGATGAATGAGTAAAGTGACTAAATAACAGCCTTTTGCAAAATCTATCATTGCTATCCCCTCTCAACGACAGTTAATCATTTCTGAGATCATTCCTCTGTATCGGAAACTTTTACTGGATGATCAAGATTCTATCAGACTTTTGACTATTCCCGACTTGATCGCGATCGCAGGTAGTTTGTCACCGGAGGAAGTAAAGGCAGAGCTGGTGGAAGCTATTCGAGCTTCGGTAACGGATCAAAGTTGGAGAGTTAGGTATATGGTCGCGAATGAGTTCGTGGCTTTGGCGGAAAGTGTAGGGGAGAGTTTGATCAGAGAGGAACTTGTCTCGGCTTTTGTCAGTTTATTGAAGGATTCAGAAGCGGAAGTCAGAACTGCCGCTGCTGGTCAAATCCCAGGTATGTTTTTATTTGTCTTCTGCACTATCCTGAACGTGGTACCTATGTGCAAGAGTCACCAGTCTCGGAGTAGATGCTGATGTCGCAGGCTTCTGCAAACTCTGCGATCGCGAAGTCATCCTTGCTCGAATACTCCCATGCGTCAGGGAGAGGGCAACGGATACCAGCCAACATGTTCGTGCGGCTCTCGCTACACAAATTTCAGGAATAGCACCTCTCATAGGCAAAGACGCAACCATCGAACATCTCTTACCTCTGTTCCTCCAATTACTCAAAGATGACTTTTCAGAAGTCCGTCTTAATCTCATTTCAAAACTTGAACTCGTCAATTCTGGTCAGTCTTTTTCTCTTTCCCAGTCATTCCGATACTTGTTTTCTCACCAAAGTGTAGGCAAGAATAGCTGATGCCCCAGTCATCGGTATCGATCGTCTATCCCAAGCTCTCTTGCCAGCTATAATGCAGTTGGCAGAGGATAAACAATGGAGAGTCAGACAAGCTATCATAGAATATATCCCACTTCTCGCTACTCAACTCGGAAAGACTTTCTTCGATGACAAATTAGGAGCATTGTGTATGTCTTGGTTAGGGGACACTGTGTTTTCTATTCGTGAAGCAGCAACCATCAATTTGAAGAAATTGACAGATGTGTTTGGTGTGGAGTGGGCGAAAGAAACTATCATTCCAAAGGTTTTGACTATGGGTGATCATCCGAATTATCTGTATCGTATGACGACTGTCTTTGCTATCACTGTGAGTCTATCCGTCCACTTCCGCTTCTCCATGTCAACTGTCCATCTCTCTTCCTCTTTCTCACTTCCCTCTTGTCCACCTTCATCCGCTCTCGTTCATCACTCATGCTCCCGTCCAATGCGTCCATTAGCTGTGCATCGTGACTTCCTTCCAATTGGCTCAAGCTCAGAAAAACTGACCTCAGACAATGGCTCCATCCCTTACCCCTGAAATCGTCCGTGACAACGTACTCGAAGCTGCCATCCATCTCGCCTCTGACGACATACCAAACATCCGATTCAACGTCGCAAAATGTCTCGAAACTCTCGCCGGTGTCCTCGTCGGTGATGCGAACGGACAAGAATTGATACAACAACGCATCCTCCCTACTTTGCGAAAACTGCAAGAGGATCCGGATGCCGATGTGAGGTACTTTGCTACGAAAGCGTATGAACGGACGGCCGGTGGTGAGGCTCGGTCGGAACCTATGGGTGAGTTTATCTTGATGAAGCCTTGCCTCTTCGTTGAAGGTCATATGTGTAATTCACCGTACATATTGCTTGTTTCCCTTCGCGCTCATTCAAAATAAGGGGCTGACGAACAGTGTTGGCGTGATGAAGTTCAAGTATTCAATCCATATACGACTGTATGATACCACGTCCAAGAGGACAATGATCGAATGTAGACGATGCTGCCTTTGCGTCCGAGAGTTCCGAGAGTTGGTTGCCGGCGAATGACATAGCTGCTTACAAATGTGCCACACGAGTCAGCAGATATCAGACCTAACGCTGGGATGCAGGCCTTTGGAATGTGCCGACATGACTCTGTGCATCATCAACCGTTACCGACGTATGATGGAGGGGTGAGTGGAAAGTGCAGTGGAGGACGATCAGCGTCTCATTTGTTTCATCTCAGACACGACGACGCAAGGGTTGACATGATGGTGAGAGTTGCTTTTTGCACAGAACAGGATGGGGCATGTTAATGTAATGTCAGTAGCCCAGGTCAAGGGTCAAGTGATATCATCTGCAAATCGTAATCCATTCCCACCATGATCGTAGTTCATAAGCTTCAAGCGGCCACAGCGGGTGCAGAACCGGCGGCTGTATATCAGTCAAATCCCCACCAAGCAGCTTATACAATTATCGCGAGGGAGGACTCACTCTCCAGCTCGGCAAGATACTTCTTGGCATCTTCATCACCGGCTTTGTTGAGCATCTAAAAAATTAACATGTTGAAGGAACCATGTAAGAAAGCTGATACTGACTTCTTCGAGAAGCTCGACGTATTTCTGTTTAGCTTCTTGTTTGCTCATACCTGTGATAGCTTGTCTAGCTTTATATTTCGCTTTCCCTACGAAATCCATGAAACCTAGATTATCAATGTCGTGTCTTCCCCGGCCGAGATCACTGGTACATGATCATGTCAGAGCGTCTTTTAGCGGCATAGGAATAGGTTAGATGTGTGGACTGAAGGACATACCGGGAGCAGGACCGGAGACGTCTCTGATGATCAGTAGGGGTTGCGAAAGGGATATGAGAGAGCTGACCCTTCTGTGGCTTGTTTGAAGTGGGCATAGAACTGACAGATCAGCCCATTATTTATACGGTTATACACTCGGAAATCCGACTTAAGATCAGGTAAGGAATAAGTAGGGATTGGATGATGGGTCTCGAAGGTACAGAATGTACAAAATGTGACGATGAGACAAAATTAGGGTCTAACATCAGATATAGGAGAGACAGAGTGGTTAGAGCGGAATATCAGATCAAGAGGATCAACCCACAAGAAGCTTTTGGTCTTGAGTAGGTTTGATAGGACCTTCAGCAGGAAGTTCTCCAACGATCTGAACGGCTTTGTCGAACTTTGCGTCAATGTTCACTGTGCTCACTAGAGGTCAGTGAGGATGTTCCGAGTTCTTTCTCTCTTTTCATGTGCATATTCAGGACTTGATAGAAGATATCACGAAGCACTCACTGTTGATAGATGGTAAGACGCTGAGTAGGTTAGTGAAAGAAGGATGTCGGAATGTTCAGTTCAGCTTGGGTGATGCGGTGGCCAATGACGTGAGGGGGAGAAGGAAGGTCTGTGCGTGTGACACCGGATTTGAACGGCGATCGCCGCTTTTGAGGTTTTCAGTGACGTCTCTCCGTTGGGACAATGAGACATTTGAACAAGCTCCCCCACTTTTGTCCACTCTCCCTCACCGCTCACACATCACAGAGTCAAGCACAACCCCAGTCATTGATAGTCATCGGGAAAATCGTATTTCTATTATCGGAAGATCTTGAATATTCATTTATCGTGACTGGTACATGGTACGATGATGGTACCCCGTTGAATTGATTTACCGGACCGAGGGTGAGGAATCTACTTACTCTTTGAAATTCCTAAAACAAGAAATCAAGTTAACGTACAGTTCATTCGTCACGTCCCCGTCCGTCACGCTTCTTTTCATTTATAACACGATGAGAATATCATACATACAAATACTTTCAACTTGATTTCTTATCCTTTCTTTCATCCCTTCTTTCTTACTTGATCTCACGCTTTTTCTTCACCTTTCTTGATTTATCCCTTGCAGAAGTAGAAGGCTAGTCACACCGCCACAATAATGCTACCTCACAAGCCTTCAGATGATAATCAACCTAAACCTGTCGTAAGTCGTTCATCTTTCCTTTGGATATACTCCCTTGCTGATTGTTCAGTCAATGAGAGGCGGTAAGACTAAACGACGTCGTTCAACTCTCCGAGCAGAACCACCGGTCACAAGACGTACCACCCGTTCTAGATCTGACGAAGATGATTCAATCACTATATCTCTAGACGACGTTGCCACCGAGAAGAAAGATGTCAAAGATGGTATGTCGTGTTTTTATAGTATTGGTGAAAAATGTTTAATGTCAGAAATCACTAGATTGAGCTTATCATTGAGAGAAATCCAAGGAGACGGTAATTGTCTCTTTCGCGCCCTCGCGGATCAACTTTGGGGTGATCAGCGACGTCATCCAGAAGTCAGGAAATTGGTTTGTGATTATCTTCAAGTTCATGAAGATGATATGTCACCTTTTGTCGTTTTACCAGGAGGAACGTCAAAGATTGTCACATACCAAGATTATGTCAAGAATATGCGTACGAGTAGTAAGTCTATCTTTCTCAAACTTTTACAATAATCTCGATTGATGATATAGGAACATATGGTAGTCAACCGGAGATCGTCGCTGCTACTAGAGTGTTTAGACGTAGTGTCAGAGTGATTTTATCGAATGTAAGTATATCATCTCATTCTAGGTCAACGATTTTCGATTTTGGCTGACGAAAAGTCTTCAATGACTATGCCATACGAAGAGGAAGAAGATGATACTCCTGAAGAAGATACAAACCCTAGACGTCGGACTAGATCAGGTACAACACATCTCCTTTCGAACCCTCCTGCACTCCCATTATCCTCACCAAGTTACGCCAGCGCTTTGACACAGTACATACCTACTGTTCGACCAGGTCGTACGATGTTATGGTTAGCATTATTCTCTAAAGGGGAACATTATCAGTCTATACGTCGTAAAGGTGATAGTGAACGAGGTCCCTCGGAGATTGAAGATCGTCTTGCGGTACCTCATGCCAAAGATGCCTCTGAAGCTGCTCGAAGGGAAAGAGCGGAGTTGATAAAGACTGGCAGGATCACACTTGATGGAAGTGTTCTGGAGAGGAAGGTTGAGAAAGGTGTGGAGGGTAACATGGGAGAAATCTGTCGTGTTGACCGATCTCAGGATATGAATATCGTTGACGACTCGGTGAGTTATTTCTTCCAAGTTTGTTGCATATATTGACGATCAGACTGATGGATCAAATACGGTAGATGATTCCTCTCAGGTCACAGGATCACAAGCAATACGGAATATCCAAACCGCCTCACAAGCTTTCAACGACGCCATGGAACAATCACACCCTACGGTAGAACTTGGTCCTAAAATCACTCTCAATATCAAACCTCGAACACCTCCCATCCCACCTGATAGTCTCAATCGACGACGAGCCAGACCCGAAGAATACACAGAGGAAGATATCGTTGTTAAACGGAGAAGAGTCATCATCCCTACACATCTTGATCCCCCTATCAGTCCTCGATCGAGGGTTTCACATCCGATCTCCGTTGTGAGACCCTTGGAAGCGTCTTTGGTGTCAATGATATGAGAGGATGGAGGTTTATTTGTAGCTATAGGAGACTAGATCTTGTCTTTTCATTACTTTGTTAGAAATTACAATTGTTGTATGCATACAAATTGTCGAAATATGTCATTGGTCAAGTAACCCACACATCCTGTGATGTGGAGTGTCTATGCTGACGGTTACTCGAATTAGAATTTATGATAACACCTGATGTCAATTCATGGAAGGCAACACATGACACTGCATCATCCAAATTGGAATGAGAGGATGTCTAGATATCACCAGTAAGTCTTCCCACGATGTTAACCCACCCCGCATGACATCCATTGACTTTTATTGCGGTGCATCCTATGATTCCAGGTATCCCTGAGTTCATTCTTCTTCTTCTATGAATCCGCCCAGTTCACTCGGTTCACTCAGTTTGGTCCACCCACTTCGGAAACTCCATCCACTTGGACAAACTCATCATCATCCTGGTTGTATCCACCATGATCACGGTCAAAACCGTCAGTCACAAAAGAACTCGTACTCGAAGCATCCCAGTCTGAGTCCCTGTCCTTCCTCTGTTCTAGGGGCTTTGAAGGAGTAGACCCTCTCAAACGCTCACTAATGTCAGACCAAGTTGTATTTGGTGAGTGAACAAATGATTCTCCCATTAGCAGGGAATCTTCCCTCCTCAAAGAAGTGGGCCCTGTCAACCACTGGGACCTGTTGATGTAGAATGTGTCTTCTGGTGACCTTGAAGACATGGGGCTTCTTGGTTGCCATGTAGGACTGACAATCGACTTTCTGTCCACCTCATACTGTCTCTCTCTCTCCTTTGCTGTCACGAACTACGTCGTGACACCTCGATTACTCCACCAACAATGACCCTCCTTTGGCCATCAAAACCCCATCACGCCTTAATCTCTTTACTCTACACGTAACTCAGGACTTCTGAGACCAAGTACGGCGAAGTTAGACGGAGTTAGGCTAAGTAGGGACATGTCACGAACTACGTCGTAACATCCCTGACAACCACCATCACCGACCCTCCTTTCACCATCACCGACCTTCCTTTCACCACTACCAACCTCCACTCGAACCACTGAGACCAACTACGGCTAAGTTACGAGAACCAAGAGGGGATTTGTCATGATAACCCCGCCTAGCGGGGAACTACGGCGAAGTTAGGGGAAGGGAACCGAGGGAGAGCAGAACAGGGGAAGTTAGGCGAAGTTAGTCAAAGTGAGCGGAGTAGGATATCGGGGATATGGCGAGGTACGGCGAAGTTGAACGAAGAGGACTGAGCGTGAGGCAGTGCAGGAGTTGAGGGACATTCTACGAGAAGAGAGGAGTAGTATAGATAGTTTACAGATCGCTGAACTTCTTCAGCGATCCTTGATTGTTGTCAGTAGCGAGAGATATATTCAGTAGCTACAACCTTCGAGTTAAGGAGAGCTACCACCGAGCAGTTCAACGTACTACGGCGAAGTTAGCCGTAGTTCATCGACGATCATCTTATCATTCACCACTCGACGTATTACTACGGCGAAGTTAGCCGTAGTTCCTCGACGAGTACCCTGTCTTAGTGAGACATCGAGGCCCCGCTACGACGTAGCTAGCCGAGGTTTGTCGACCGTCGGTCAGTAGAGAAGAAGAAACGATGATTGTGACAGGACAATGGGAGCAGAAGTACGGCGAAGTTAGACGGAGTTAGGCTAAGTAGGGACAATGGGAGCAGAAGTACGGAGAAGTTAGACGGGGTTAGGCTAAGTAGGGACAATGGGAGCAGAAGTACGGCGAAGTTAGATGGAGTTAGGCTAGGTAGGGACAATGGGAGCAGAAGTGCGGCAATGTTAGGCGGAGTTAGTCGAAGGAGGAAGAGGATGGCCGAGGGCTCGGGGAAGTTGGACGAAGTGCGTTGAAGTACGTCAAAGCGCGAGAGGGTTGGATGAACGTCTAGGAGGAGTAGATAATATTAGCTGAGAAGATCGCTGAAGTTCTTCAGCGATCCTTGATTGTTGTCAGTAGTGAAAGACCGATAGAGATAGCTATAAATCAAGATACATCGCCATCAGTAGAACAAAACCCTAGTTAGAGTAACTACGCCGAAGTACGCCGTAGTTACACCCTTTTCGACGTCTGCGCCCTCCTGGTTGGGTGAGACATCGACTCAGAGCGTGAAGTTAGCCGAGGTTCGTCGACCGTCGGTCTATTGAGAAATAGTTGTTCGAGGGCCGTGACAACCACAGAGGAGTGGACTCTCTTCTTTTTGGTTGCTGTTCACCACTGATAGCTGAGCGTTGGTTTGCTTCGAAGCCTCTCCTGACTGCATTCCATTGGTTGTCGTAATAAGCCCGATACTCCATGGAACGAGGTTCAACTCCTGCATTGGGGCCATACAACATCTCAAACATGTAACAGGACGAGGAACCTTTCTTAACTCGCAAATCCCATTCCGCACATCGTATGAGACCAATACTCTCGCTGGTCACTCCAAGTTCTTCGAGTTCGGAGAAGCGGTTGCTTTTAGCCAAGGAAAGTCGGCGAGGGTAGTCATATGCTAAGTCAGGACTCAACGATACACATGCTCTCAAACTGTTTTGTAGAACTTCTCCAATTCTTGTTGCCGTGTCTTTAGAAATGTTAGAATAAGGACCAATGTATTGTAGTGTAAGAGTGGCATTCTGACCTCCATTAGAAAACAAGTCATCAGCCACATATCTCAACGGGCATTGGCGAAAATCTTCAAGCCTTTTAATTCTGCTCATTAGATCAGCAATTAACAGGATAGAGAATGCTCACACGGCTCCGTTCAGCCTAGCGGGGGGACCGCCATCAGCCTCAAATGGCAGGTCTGTCTCTCCGTTGGTGGGTGCGCTCGGTGTAGAGCGGGTCGATTCACCTATTTTAATCCCGCTGGACATTCTACTATCGACGTGTAAGATTGTTGCTGCAGTAGAGGTTGATGTTCTTTATGTGCTACGTATAAGTAGGGATTTTGTGTATTGGGTGTTGGGTGTTGGGTTGTGAATCCAAGGCTCAATCAATCCCCCTTACTTTATAGCTCTTTTACTCTCTCTCTCTCTCTCTCTCCTCTTGAACGACCTCGATGCTTATGAAAGGGTGCGCATTTTCGGTTTCTCAAATTTGTGGTCCTCCTTTACGATACACTGCTTGAAGACATGCATCGCCCCGTTGACACTGCCCCTAGCGTCATTCGAAGGCTGATGGACATGATCCGGGTTTCTTGGGCCGGCCGACCAACGGCCGATGAATGAACGTGGGGGTTTCGGTTACGGGCCAAGAGGAATCATGATGTCGGAAGGTGTAGCATGTAGTCAGTTATATTTTGACCATTCTACTCGGTCGGAGAAGAGGTATAACGTTGAGTAGATTCATGAATCGAGCGTGATATAAAGGAAGATGAACAAACACCCAAAAGCCGCCGATGAAAGTTCGATGAAGAAATGACATCACTTATTTCCTCCACTTTTACATTTCACTTTCATCTTTCGACCAACTGACCAAACTAAAGTCTTTCTTCTTGACCTTCCTTCATCTTTCCAAAACTGACAAAATGCCCAAACTAGAAAAGAAATCCTCCAATCGTGTATCTACCGGTCATCTAATAAAATATTCTTACCTTTCTCCGGCTTTAGGTAACCTCGAAACATCTTTCAACATATTTCTCCCTTCTCCTTCTTCCCCTCCTTCAACCGATTCAACGAGACAAAATGACATTCCAGTACTGTTCTACCTGACAGGATTGACATGCACAGAGGATACAGGAGCTCAAAAAGGTGGTATATTGAATACTGCCGGGGAAGAAAATATAGCTGTCGTTTTTCCTGATACTTCTCCTAGAGGTGCTGGGATAAAAGGTGAAGAAGATGATTGGGATTTTGGAACTGGTATGTCAGATTATCTTTCTGTTGTAAATCCCACAAAATCAAGATTTCATGGCTCAATGAAGGGTGGAATGTTGAGCGAGCTAATCGGATAGGTGCCGGGTTTTATCTCAACGCTACTTCCGAGGAATGGAAAGAACATTATAATATGTACGAATTGATAGTCGATGAATTACCAAAAGTCTTACAAGAAGCTGATCTTGGATTGGTGAGTTTCTTAATTTCCTCTTTGTCTTCTCTCCCCTTCTACTCTTTTTTTGTTTCGGTCCATCAACCTTGCACTCGTCACCATCTCATTCTTGCGTTCATTATCAATCTGGAATCGGGCATCATGACGAACCTGACTGTGCATATCACAGTGATGATGGAATCAAGAAGTGAGGGTAAAATCAAATAGGACTTATATAAATGTTGGACCTGCTGACTGACAGGACTTATCCCGTATTTCTCTCATGGGTCATTCTATGGGAAGTAAGTTTCCCTCGAGATTCCGATCGATGCATAATTGAGAGAAGGTCACGGAGCATTGAGTATATATCTTAAAAATCCTGGGAAATATCGCTCGGCATCAGCATTCGCACCTGTTTGGTAAGTCCCATTCGCCTTCTTCCTCCCTCATCATCACATCGTTTTGTTCAAATAGTCAACATCCATCGTATATCTATGCTTCGCTTTCCTTTCGGTACGACAAATGTGTCTGGAGAGAACAAATATAATTGTAGACGAAAAATGACAGATGTAATCTCAGTAATCCATCTAAAACCCCTTGGGGTATAAAAGCCTTTTCTTCATATCTCTCCCCCTCTACCAACTCTGACAACTCTCAGGAACCCCCGGAATCTTGGAAATCATACGATTCTTCTTACCTCCTCTCCAGTTCCTCAGCACCGAATGGAAGCCTTCATGTTCTAGTAGATGTAGGAACTGCCGATGATTTTCTCAAAAAAGGTCAATTGGAACCTCAAACTCTTGAGGAAGCGACGAAAAATCGTCAAGAGGGAGAAGTGGTAGTGAGGATGCAAGAAGGTTTTGATCATAGTTATTATTTCGTAAGTTCACCATTTTGTCCGTATTTGAGAAAATAGTAATGAAGAGATATCGACTTTTACACCTGAACATGTCCGATGGCATGCTAAGTTTCTCAAGGCGTAGATCAGTTTTGTGATCATAAACGTGATGATTGGCGTACAGGCGTAGACCATTGATCTTAGCTTAGATTAAAGGGTGAATCGATGTCGGGCCCGATGATGAAATTAGGTAAACGTGTTTCATGTGGAAGAGACAGAAGGAAATGATATTAAATGACATCAATCATACTTCATATCTCATCATCATCCTCCACCGTAGCGGCATGTCGATTTTTGACCGTCCCATTGATCAATGAAGCGCTTTGGATAGCAGTAGAGGTGGCGGCTATATCGTCTGCGTCTGGTTCTCCGCTCGCTTCTGCGCCATCGACAGGGTCTGTATCTGCGACCACTCGAGATTTCTCTTTCTTCACTCGCTTCTTCTTCTTTTTAGGTTCATCCCATGCCCAGAGAGGGACGAAGCTTGCGAACTGGGGGTCAGCCATCCGTGGTTCAAAACCAGTTTCTGCTCAAATAGAAAACAATTGAAGTTGAATATGACACCATGTCTAATAGACTGCAACGAGATGAACGTAGAATTCGATCGGGTCAGAAATAAGGTAGCAAAAGGTATGAATGATGGTGGAAATAGAGAGTTGGTCAACACAAAAGAGGTCACTCACAAACCCAACATCCTCAAACAAATTCGGGAATATCCAAATAGCTCTCTTCATACTAAACCAAGTAATGACGAATAATATTCCTCTAACAATAGCAAGAGCTATCAATAACCCAACCATGATCAAAGCCAATACTGAAAGATACCAAACTCCTAATCTCAATTTCACCGGCCATAAAGGGAACATGACACCAGCGAGGATGACCAAAACCATGGCTGCTCCACCGAGGTATGTGGCGAGGGGAGAACCGTCGTAGAACCATGCGTAAAAGACGAGAGGGTCGAAGGATTGTTGAGGAGCTAGGTTTAGGGTTTTGGGTGTACCGGATGGGGGTGGGGGTTCGATTTCTGGTCGATCGACACGGAGGAAGAATGCGCTGGGAGTTAGCCTTTACTTTGAAAAAAATGTTGATGAGACGTCAGGTTTGTTCGATGTATCTCTAGAATTTTTTTGTTGTTAATTGTTTTTTCTCTCGAAAACAATTGGGGGCGAGGGAGGGTTCATATACATGAATCTTTATTTCGCGAACATCGACGGACGAAAACAAGATTTTGACGGTGGTGAGAAGAGGAATGTTCGACAGATTGGATGAGATTGGTGAGTGCAGGACAGCGAGGGTCAATGATGAAGCGCGGCATTTCCTTTCACGCTCATAGGAGATAACACAGAGATCTCGATTAGATGATAAGCGACCATTAGAGAGAGACATCGACTAGGAAAGAAGAAATCGATACGTACTGAGGTAAAACCTTTGCCATCAGTGCCATGGCTTCCTCCTCATTCTCAACCTTTGGCACTTTTGATAATTTCTGATAAGCCGGACTAGTCAGAGTTCTCACTGCCGTTTTACCTACTAGTCAGTAATAAAATCTCCATGTGGGTCAAGAAAAAAAAAACTAACCCTTGAAGTAATCCACACGTTTCCCATGTAATATACCTCGACGAACTTTAGGTCCATTTTTACCTCTGAGAAAGTCGACGACTGCTTTGTATTCTTTTGGAGCCTGGAGTCAGCTATCATCTCCTCCATTCCAATTTCGTGATTGCAAATCTTCTGTGGGGAAAAATGAGTGATTGTACGATAGTCAAGTAAGTTGCTGAACGTCGAACATATGTGATGAGGTTGGAAATTCTCTTCACAGAGGATGGAGAAGGGTTCGAAAGGTAATTGAGGTTGATTTCAGGATAGCGCGGATTGTGTGGATAACATGCTTATATGATTTTAAGTGAGGGGTGATTTTTCATCGAGAGAGGGAGAAGGTGGAGTGGCATCTTGCTATCACGTAGTATATGTCAGGAGGAATGTTAAAAGACGAAAAGACTAAAACCCTCACTCTTTGTCTATTCATCAGCATTATTCCAAACGGTAAAGTTAACTCACTGTGCTAGGACGACCGGAGTGGCATCCGCATGAGCTGCGGACATGTTATACTACTGACAGTCGCTATTGGTAGGACAGCCAGTGTACTGTATGACACTAAAAGAAAGTAGTAGTAGTAATTGTGAAAGGTTGGACGTGGAAGTGGCAGTGGTACCGAGTAGTGGCAGTTTTTCCATTGATTCATTGGCCATGGGTCTGGGGCTCTGGGTAGTAGGTCAATTGCGAGGCGAGGGCAACATGCAACATAACTTAAAGTGCTTTATACTGGTAACATGTAACACCTAGATATGCATATACAAATCAGGATGAAACGTCATTGACAGGTATGGTGTTGTCCAGAATGTATCATCAAATTTTGCTCGAGACATCTACCAAATCCCCTTCTACATCTCCCTCGTTATCTGAGTCAACCAAAGAAATATCCTCATCATCCATCGTAACATCCGTCGATCCTATTCTTGGCGTTTCTCCACCCTCCAATTCCACCTTACTCCTTATTTCCCCAAGTTGCAATTCTAAACTCCCGATTCTACCCAAAGCAACATCCATAACCCCTTCAAGATTCATCAACCTTTCCGTCGGAGGTTCCCCTAAACCCATCCCATCATTATCCGTCGATATACCTCTTTGTCTTTCTTCCAGATTCAATATCAACTTCATATCTTCCTTCTCTTGTTTCTCCTGTTCCGTTTCTTTCACCGTTTTCTCATCTGGTTTCCTTATCCCACTGAGAACACCGGGAACGTACATCTTCGATTTCTCTAATCGTTTTTGTTTCTTTGATTTCTTAACACTCCTAGGAACAAAAGTTTCGATCATCGGACTGATACCCGTTTTCACTTGACTTGATACAGAGGGGGAGGGTGCAAAGAAGGAAGGTTCAGGTTGAGATTGAGAAGATGTTTCAATTTTAGATAAAGATGTAGAAGAAGATTGTTGTTGAGCGTTCCAATTTTCAGCACGATCAACTTCATCTAATAATTCCGTAGCTACTTCCATAGCACTCATTTCTTCACTTGCTAACCTAGCCGCTAGACGTGCTACTCTATTTATATTCATTCCACCATGTCGGGGTGTTTTACGAAGACGTTCTTCTCTTAATTGACGAATGGTCGTTAAATGGGCGGTACGGGAAGCTTCTAATTTTTGTTGTAGACGCTCAATATGACTGTTGAGTATGGTGTTGGTATGTAACAACCAGTCCGCGGATTTCTCTCGGATCTTGTCATTGAGTAGGTGTTTGGATAGGTTGTTTGAGGGTTGAGGAGATGTGAGTGAAGGAGTCGGGTCATTTGAAGGAGTGAAGGAGTTGGAAGAAGAGGCTAAAGTGGATAAAGATAAACCGTTGGCTGATAGGATAGAGTTGAGACCTTCATAGAGAGATAAGACTCCTTGTTGTAGAGCGATAATTTGGAGAGATTTATTTGAGGATTTTTCAATTTGAGAGACAGGAGGAGTAGTAGAAGTGGGTAGGCTGTGCTGCTTGGACGACGAAGGACGGTCATTGAGATCTTCCAGTGTAGACCATTCACTCTCGGACATGGCGGATATGGAAACGGCAGAACTGAGAGGGGAGGATATTTGAGGGTTACGATAATCTGCAGGGTGTGACATGTTGGATAAGACTAGGACCGAGTGTGAGTGAGACCAAGAAGTGAAAGAGGTGACAGGGGGTAGGTGATCCGAGTGGCAAAGGAATGCGAAAAGGGCAAGGAGAAAGAGGCCCCCTTTGCGCACAAAGTCAGATCTCTTCGTGCACAAAGTCACGTGACACTGCCACAAACACGTGGCGTTATCAGTAGTAAATAAAGACACGTGTGACACTGCACGGACACTATGCAACTTCTTTCCACTTGGTTCATTCAACCCGTCCTCTATACCAAGCATAAAACCTCTCCTACAGCTCCAGCAACTGCAAACAAGAACTTCTAAACATCACCATCGTTCTCAGCCTCCCCAAATACCCCTATCTACACTGTTTACACCACTAAAAACGGCCTCCTGACCAAATCGTACGTATCTCCCTTCTCTGCTTCTCCTCGTGGCCTGGGCTAATGTGTTTAGTCCATTTCTCCTCATATTCCACCCTTTACAATGTCTGCTTCTCAGCCCATCGAAATCTCAGACTCCTCAAGTGAAGATAGCTTCAATTACGAACTTCCCCCGTCTCTCCCCCCTCTCAAATTCGAGCGTAGCCCCAGCGAGGTTTTGGTCCCCGAAACTCAGCCATCTTCACCTGTTCCGCTGTCTCCTACCCCTCTACGCAAACTCAGTATAGCAAACTCATCTCCTGAACAGTCAGATGACTTCTTTAATCTTCCTTCTGGTCCCGGAACCCCTCACAGCCATACTCAGGACACTGAAACCGAAGATCAACTGCTACCACTTGAAGAAGATGAATTTGGTCCTCATGAACGTCTTCCCAACTTGGTTCATTCCCCTTTGCGAATTTCTCCTCAGCCATCGATCAATGTCGCCCGCGAGAAGCTCTCTGTCATAGCCAAGGACAAGGGTTTTGCTCTGGTTACCGGCTCAAGCAATCAACCAGCTCAATATATGACTCTTCGATGTATCTGCAGTGGACAGTACAGGACAGGTCGGCAGGTTCGATATGAGCAAGTTCGACAGCGAAAACGTCATACTCAGCGACAAGACTGTCCTTTTCAATTAAAACTCTCCAGAGTTCACGAAAAAGACGCCCTCGCCGATGGATATCGTCCGGTACTGCTCACCACCGTATGTAATGAACATAATCACCCTCCAATAAAAAACATGCTACTCTCACACCTTCGAAAGGCCTCACGAACCCCGGCTATCAGTAAACTTCTCGAAGAATACATCGATAAAGGCTTTACCCCCCACCAAATCCTTGAAATACTTCAAAATCACCCCGATCAACCTCTCCTGACAGCTGCAGATGTGTCAAACTTCAAGTGGAGGTATGAGAAGACTCGACAGCAAGGACGTTCAGCAACAGAGAGCTTGTTTTTACGACTTGAAGAAGAGAAACGCCTCTTTAAAGGCCTAATAAACAATCACAACGAAACCCGGGGCCTTATCTACACCACTCACACTGCGAGAGCTCTGTTACACCGGTACCCAACCGTTCTCATGATGGATTGTACGTATAACACCAATCGATACAGTTATCCAATGCTACACATCACTGGTATGACGGCTACCAATAAAACATTTACGGCAGCAATTGCTTTTCTCAACCGAGAGACTACAGATTGGTATAATATCGCCCTTAAAGGATTTCTCGATCTAATGGGCCCTCTACCTCATCGAATACAGGTGGTAGTGACCGACAGAGAAAGAGCATTAGCTAAAGCTCTTGAAAAACACCTCCCAAATGCTGTTCAGCAGTTCTGTACCTGGCACCTGCGAGAAAACATCAAACACGCCTGTGATAAGTCTCAATGTTTTAAAGACGAAGAAGATCCTGTGGGAGAGAGGTCAAGATTCAGGGACATGTGGATGAGAGAAGTGGTTGCAGCAAAAAACGATTTCAAGCTTAACCAGGGGATGGAGAAGATTCGACTCGAATTTTCAAAACCGCCTCATAAACCAGCAATTCGATACATAGAAAGACTACTTGAAAGTAAAGAGAAATGGGCTCATGCTTTTACCAATCAGAATCACAATTTAATGCAGCATACAACATCACGAAATGAAGGGGAACATCGTTCTTTTAAAGAGTTCTTAAAGACATACACGGGAACACTTTGGCATGTCATTCATAAGGTAGATGGTTTTTTAGAAAGACAGTGGGCCAATATTACATTGGAAAATGGTCAGGAAAGGGTACGAGCTCCACTGGGTGATCGTGTACTCAGTGTCATTCGTCGAGATATCTCAAGATTCGCCGCCAATGAACTTGAACATCAGATACGAATTGCCAGTAAACTTCTCGAAGCTCAAAACAGCAATAATGAATGTTCAGGAAAGTTCTTCGCATCTACAGGACTGCCCTGTGCTCATAAAATCGTACCTATCCTCAGAGAAGACGGTGTCCTGACAATTGAACAGATACATCATCATTGGAGACTACTACCAAACAACGGGTTCGAAAAACTTCTTGAAGACACCAATAATCGAGCTCAGCAAACTTCTTCGCAGGCTACCGGGGTTCAACGACTCTCTGACGAATTTCAAGCCGACGATAATGCAGATAGGTACATCCTGGACCCCCCGCTGAACCTTGGTTTACGAGCTCGTCGTGCTCTTCGTATCTCTGCTTCTCAGGCTTTGGCCTCTCAAGGAATCACTGTTGTTCGGCCTACACCAATGTTCACCCCTTCTACACTGTCTCCTTCGATCCCTCCTGCCTCGCAACGTCTGCCGAGGCCTGCGGCCTCGAATACTGCTCCCCCTCGAGCCAGCAGTGGAAGAATTCTGTCGCAATCGGAGCAATCTGCTCCCTACCGACCACCACCACCTAAATGTAGTCTCTGTGGTAAGAAACATGCGGGTACATGGATGTGTGCTGCTAAGAAAGCAGTAGCAGCAAGAGAACAGGAGTTATTAGCTCGAATTCAAGTCACAGGACAGAATAATGGAGAAAGGATGGTGGAGAGGACTCCTGTGATGATGACACAGCCTGTGATAGCAAGAACAGCCTCTGTGGTGGCGAGGACGGCCTCAGAGACGATGGGCACAGGGCTACAGGTACGCACTTCATTGAAATCTGTCCTACCACTTCTGCTGGTTGATTTATGAAAGTTCCCGGCTGATTTATGCAGATAATACCTCAATATCATCATCATCCCTTCCACCCTTCTCCCCAGTTGCTCCCAGGGGTCCCTGGGCCATCTAATTGGTACCAGAGGCCACCTATGTACCCTCCTGTGTCGAATTACTCGAATTTTCCACCTACCTTTTATCCACCCGTGTACCCTTCGCCGTATGTTCAAGAAGGGCTTGGAAATGGCTCAAACTTCGCAGAAAGGAGTGTCCTAGAGGCCAGGCACGGTGGTATGAGACAGGAATTCCCCCCTCGCGAGTATAGGCCAGGAGAACAGGATTTTACGGGTGGACCAAGGGGGTGAAGAGGAGATCATGTATCTCGGTGAGTACTTGTCTTTTTGATGTAAACTTTTCATGAGCTGATAGAGACAGATCAGCTCTATAGATCTACATTGTTTTCAGGAGAAATGCATTATTGATATTTGTGGAGAGAATTTCATAGCAAAGTTCATTACTTTGACGTGTGTGCAGAGAGGTGGAAGGATGGTCCGTGCAGTGTCACACGTGTCTTTATTTACTACTGATAACGCCACGTGTTTGTGGCAGTGTCACGTGACTTTGTGCACGAAGAGATCTGACTTTGTGCGCAAAGGGGGCCTCAAGGAGAAATGTCCTTTGCTTCAGGGTAATGTCCCCTTAACTCCGGGCCCCGCGTTCGACTTGTCCAAACGTATGCTGTTCGCAGATCGCAGAGATCATGCAGGTTACTTGAGCTCGTCCTGACAGATCGCAGAAGCTTAGCCATCACTAAGATACTGTACCGGTCTGTCAAGCCCCCCTGCCATCTGCCATCTGTCACCTGCCACATGCCACAAGAGATCGTCGACGCAACGTCGGAATAAGCCTCATGAAATCCACCGTGCGCCCATTGGCCATTGGTCGGACGTGTGAGTGACCCGGTTATTCCCTAGCGGTCGCGTCCGAACCCGTATGACGTAAACCTTCTTCCCTCCTTCACTTCCCACGCTCAATTGCATTAGACTCAACCTTGTGTCCATCCCTCCTTATCTCCATAACTGCATACTAAAGGTCTCATCTCAACCTTCACTGAATTACCACCCAACAAACCATGCTACCCACTCAATCCATCTTCCGCGCTACTGCTTCTCTCAGGCCTGTCCTCCGTACTCCCGCTTATAACGCTCCGGTCTTTCTCCGCGCTGCTCTCCCACGTTCGAACCAATTGCAACAAGGGGAATTGTTACGTCTCGCTCAGAGGAGATGGAATACGGAAGATGCCAGAGGGGGTAAGAGCAAGCTTGTGAGTTGATCATACTGTACTCTACTAGAACTTCACACCTCGCCAACTGTGCTTGTGGTCCGATGACAGAGAAGGAGGCTGACACATAGGTCTTTCGTTTCAATATCAAAGGTACGTGTTTACTCTCACATCTCACACATTCCAACATCATATCCCGGAGAGTTGTTCTCATAGAGTTGTTCTCATGAGCAAGAAGATAGGATGCAGGTTTGTCACCAAACCGAGGAGGGAGGGAGAAATGGAGAACGAGGATGAGATGGCTGCAAAGAGTGGGAAAGGAGTCAGACGACGAAGCGATGTTTGAACTGATCTCAGATATCCCTGTCGAACTTTACCCAATTTTCTTCGTAGTAGCTGCTGCGTTGGTCGGAGCTACCGTAGCCATGGGTAAACATCGTGAGTTTGATTTTGCGTGTAGGGTTATTTGGCTGACGGGTGCCTCTACCACATCACGATTGCAATACCTGATCCTTATCTGCCCTTGTATCTTCATCTCCTATTCGTCACTTGCAACCTCGACCCTACATGCATCTCGACTATCATTATCCTACCTCAATGTCTTTCTTCCTGTCTTGTTTACAACTCTTACTCGGACGGATGGTACGATCACTCGCGGCCCAATATAGTTTACGTCGATGGAGTACGTCCGTTTCCACTTCCCTCCAACTGAAATGGTGAACTCAGCTGACTCGTAGCTACGCACTGGTCCCTCTGGACATAAAAATGAATAAAGGAGTGATATTATCCGAGGTAGAGGAAAAAAAGATGTAGGATGAACAGGAATGCAATTCTTTCAACGGCTGCTCGCCGCTCTCTAACACAGTCTGATAATGTTTTAGGGGAATGAACTCCCCCAATCACTCCTTGCTTTCTCCCTCTCAATACCAAAATAGTTTGTCTATAGTTATCTGTCCCCTGGGTGTGTTCATTTCAGCATGCTCTGCGTTTCGGACTTTTCATCCGTAGTGGTAGTGTTAAGTGGATTGGTTGATATTTGTCAGGACAACCGTCGTAGATACAAAGCAGGGAAGAGAACAGTCCGCGTCGGGTTCTTCGAACGTCAGCTGTATGGTGCACCACGTTCAAGCACGAAAGTTGGCTGTCTCTTCTCTACCTTAGTTGCTAGTCTCACGCTGGTCCCACTATGTATTATCGACGGCAGATGCCAGAGCCATCTCTATCTTAGTCTGAGCCAGCCACTCATTCGAAAGAGCAATCGCACGCCTAATTCTATCAATGCCATCAGGAATAGGCCCGCGGGCAACTTGAACCTAGCAGGGGGGTTCCTATCGCAACTCCCCAATTTCAACAAGTTATCGAGAACGCCATGTCCGCCAATATGTCAACTCCCATATCACTGTTTCGAAGAGCGCCCGTTCTAATCAAGAGATCACTAGCGACTACTTCTCTACCCACTCCTCCAGCACCCATACCGGCACTTCAACCTGACGAAAAGAGTCCAAAGAATTTACAACAAAGTCCTAATGTCCCTACCACTTGGTCAACCAACCAAAACCCGAAACCTAACGCTTATAACAATGCGAGGTGAGTCCGGATCTGTCTGATCTACCTTCTGACATCCAACCCATGGTCCTATGTCATCCCCGTCTGTCTGTAAATCACTAGAAGTTGATGATATGCCTATTGCTCAATCTCTCCCAACATCAGCATACCCCGCCTCGAAAGAATCCGCACCATATGAGGTCGGGCGTGAGAAGGAATCGGCGGTGTTGTTCGAGATGTGAAGGGAGAAGATATGCTGACAGACAAGATTCGAACAGACGAACCTTGATCTTCAACCGAATCCACCGAGTGCAATGGGTATGGTAGCTCAAGATCCTGTCAGATTGGTCGAAGGTCGACGAGCGGTATGTGATGGAGGTGGGTTATCTGATACTTTCTTCCTTTCTTCCTCACGAAGAATATCACTGCTCGTTACTCCAGTCCGTTTCCCAGCGGATTAGGTGTCAGTGGAAGAGGGTACCTTTGCATTTCGTTCACCGTTCATAATCTCATAAGGGACGATAATTGATTGAAAGGTGTGGGACCTCTCGGACATCCAAAAATTTACATCAACTTGGTGAGTACTTTACCTTCGGATTTCGGGATATGACGCTGACATGTAGGACAAACCAGGTGAGCTACATGTCTGGGAGTGTGGAAGTACATACGTATGGAAATGCTAATAATCAGGACCTAAAGTGTGCGGATATTGGTATGTCTCCTTAACATCATAATTGAAGATGGAGATAAAAGCTGATAAAATAGTGGGATACGTTTCGAACAAGCTCATCATCATCATTAGACGTTAAATGCATCATATGCGTCGTTTCATGTTTTTTCTTGAATTCATCATGTCTTGTACATGCCATGCACCACCATAGATTCTCCATTCACTATATTTGATTCCGTTTGATCAACTTGAATTTTCCCTTGCCTAGTTAGTGCAACTTTTTCACCCCTTCAAGCCGTCCACTCTACCACCTATGATCCCTACAGGTAATCATCTATCAAGTGTAGCAATATCTTGCAGCGGCATACCTTACCCCATGTCCGTCGTGGCTGTCATCCCTATTGATCCCTCTACCGATCAATGACAATCACGCTGTTCATCCGTAACATCACTCAGGTGAAACAATTCGGACTTTTCTTTCACTCCTTACAATCCACGAGAAATTACTACTCAAATACCACCCCGACTCGTACGTATAGAACGCTCATGAACCCACTCAAGAACGTCCCTTCATTACCTCAAAAACCACAGGTATCGTTACCTTTCCCTCTTAAAACAAGTACCACACGTTCGGAATCCCCTATCGTCACATCCTTAACTTCTACTTCTCGTCAAGTATTCGCTTTACCTCTTCGACCAGCTTTCGTCCCTTCCTTACCTGATCGTCCGACTTCTTCAAAAGGTATCAAGGATAGGTCACCTTCACCATTACGTGGAGGAGACGCGTATATAGCACCTATCTCTCCACGGAGGAACGACGTTTATATCCCTAGTCCTTCTCCACCACCCATTAGGAGAAGGTATAGATCTCCTTCACCTAGAGAAAGAACCTATATTCCTCCTCCTAGTCCACGTCGATACCTCTCACCTACTCCTCCTCCTGTAGCTCTTAGACGTCATTCACCTCTACCTGACAGACGTCATTCGCCCAGACCCATCCGGCGCCGTTCACCCACACCCATTAGACGTCGTTCACCTCCTTTCACTAGACTTCTCTCGCCTACTCCTATCAGACTCCGTTCTCCGTCACCTGTTAGACGACGTTCACCAACACCACCAAGAGGACGATCCAAATCTCCCGGAGATTCTCACAGAGCTCTTGACACCCTATCACGAGCACGATCACCTCTTTCAGAACACTCTCCTCCCAGACCGGCTCAAGTGGAAGAACCTTTACCTAAGACATTCCTCACTTTTCACGCACGAAAGCAACAAGAGAGAGAAGAATTTCGCGCGGCTCGTCAAGCGGAAGCTGCAAAGCGAAGAGAAGATTGGGAAAGAAGGCAACAACAGAAATTGGACGCTGAATTAGAGGCTCGACAACGTGCTCAAGCCGAACAGGCTGCTGCTAGTGCTGTACAAAGGTGAGTTGGAGACTATTCGCGAGATCATTTGACCCTTGCATCGCGTGATGTTGATGATTTAGTGTCAAACGTCCCTTATCCCCTGACTCATCGACCGATCGTACCGCCAAACTTCATAAGGCCATCCCAACTGGACCACGGGCCACTTCTGGTTTCAACAGACCTACTCGAACTTCCTATCCCTCCCATCCAGCCCAATCAGCCACCGTCCATTCCATTCCTACAGGTCCCCGTGCTACAAAATCTATTCCGACTGGACCACGAGCTCGGCTCGCACACGCATTTTCCACCTCGGCACCCGTAGGGCAACTGGCGTCAATCTCACGTCAGCCGGTTGAGCCTCAAGAACTTCAAGAACCTCAATCTCCCTCACGCGAATCAGCTGTATCCTGGCAGAGCGATATCAGTGACGACATGGCATCACGTGCACGAAATGGACGTCGTAATGGACAGTCCAGCAATGGAGGTGCGACCGCAAAGTCCACCTCTTCACAACCGCTACAAGGTCCACTTTGGAATAAAGAGCGGATTGAACGAGAGTATGGAGCCGGTATATCTCTCAAGCCACAATGGGCAGCCAATGCCAAGTCCCCGTTGGCAAATCACATGAGCACTAACCTAGGTCGTGCCATGGATGTACCTTATGTGGCCCGTCATGGTAACATCAATGGCAAAAAGGTTTATAGGTGAGCTTACTAAAGTAATACATTGGTTCGGAGCTGATGAGAAGGGTGACCGCCGCCGTTGATCCTCAACAAGGTATCATCGGTATTGGTGATCATTCCGAGAAGAAGGAAGCTGAGAAATTGGCTGCTTTGAGCGCCTTACTACAATTAGTCCAAGCTGGATTGGTGAGTCGAAGTCTGTAATCGAACTGACAGACAGATTGACCACGGGGATGTCAAAGCCAAGTCCGGTTCGACTCCTTCTGGCAGCACCCCTTCTCCTGCGTCAGGCGAAACTGCCATTCTGTCCAACGGGACGGCGATTACATACGATCGTGCACGTCAATTCATGGAGTATTATTGCGCCCGATACAAATTCGGTAAGCCCGACATCGACTTTGTACAGTCCGCATCGAAAACTCGACATGTAAAAACGTCGACAGAATCATGGGATGCCATCATGACTGTCGGAGGCCGACGCATCGGTATGGGTTCAGCTCAAAACAAGAAACTGGCACAAATGAAGTGTTTTCTCGATGTTGCGCAATACCTCGAGTCGTGCGATCAAGATTTGTGGCAAGATTTTGAACTTTCATTGAAGAAGGGCAACAAAAATGGGGATTCGAGTCCACCGCCACAGCTACTCTTCAAATTGTCAAACGAGCTGAGTGGCGATATCGGAGGGTTATGTCAAGACATCAAACAATCGTATTTGTTCCGCAACGCTCCTCAGAGCGCATCCAACGACGAGTCTCGTTCGCTCCCGACTTGGTCTTCGTCCGCCACACTCCAAGCCAGTGAGGAGGAATTAGAAAACAAATCGGTAGCTTTGAAAGACAAGTTATCCGCGTATTTGGTCAATCCCTCTCTGGGAAAGATGCGTCAGCAAAGACAGTCCCTTCCCGTTACTTCTAAAGCTGCCGACATCATCGCCACTGTCGATTCCAATGACGTGACCATTGTTATGGCTGCCACGGGGTCAGGAAAGACGACTCAGATTCCTCAATTACTCCTGGACGATTATATCGAGAAAGGCAAGGGTGCCTATTGCAACGTACTTTGTACACAGCCAAGACGTCTCGCTGCTATGTCTGTGGCTGAACGTATCGCCGATGAACGTGGTGACGTACTTGGAAATGAAGTCGGATATCAAGTTCGATTTGACTCCAAACCCGCCCAACACAACGGCAGTATCACCTTCTGCACTACGGGGATCTTCTTGAAACGCATGCACTCAGCTTTGGGCGAAACAGCCGATTCCGGAGCCATCAAGCAGATGGATTCTATCACGCATATCGTAGTGGATGAGGTACACGAACGGGATATCGATACAGATTTATCACTCGTCGTTCTCAAACGTCTACTTGCGGATCGTAAAGCGCGTGGAAAACCACTCAAAGTTATTCTCATGTCCGCCACTATCGATCCGACTTTGTTCAAGACCTATTTCGCAGACGAACGAGGTAGACCCGCACCAGTTGCTGAGATACCCGGTCGAACATTCCCAGTCGAACGGTTTTATCTGGACAAGATCGTACCTGACATCAAAGGTCAAATGAGCCCACGCGACGGATGGGTATTCCAAGATAAAAGCGTGGCCACATATCTGGCCCGTGAATTGTCTGAAGATCCATCGGTATTCGGTCCTAATAAGGGAATGGAATTAGATATTCCTTATCCCTTGGTAGCTTTGACCATCGCGTACGTTATGAAACGATCTGCCGATGGACATGTACTTGTCTTCCTTCCCGGATGGCTCGAAATCAAGAAGGTCTCGGATATTCTCCTGAACGGCAGTAATTCATTGTTGGGATTGAGGTTTTCCGATTCTTCCAAATACAGTATTCATTACCTTCATTCGTCCATCCCCGCTGCGGAACAAAAAGAAGTCTTCCGACCACCACCGGAAGGTGTACGACGTATCATTCTCGCGACCAATATCGCAGAGACCAGTGTGACTATACCCGATGTTGTTTATGTGGTCGATACCGCCCGTGTCAAGGAAAAACGGTATGACCCTCATAGTCACATGTCGTCTTTGGTCAGTGCGTGGGTAGGACAATCAAATTTGAATCAACGTGCTGGTCGTGCTGGTCGTCATCGAGAGGGAGAATATTTCGGTCTGTTGTCTAAAGCTCGATATGAGAGTTTGGAAACTCATCAGTTGGTCGAGATGAAAAGATCTGATCTGAGTGAAGTGGTCATGCATGTCAAGGTGAGTTTCTCCCCTTTCCTCCAATTTTGAAAAGAAAGTATGCTTACAATTGTGTAGGCGCTCAATCTTGGTGAAGTGGAAGAAGTACTCGCTGCAGCTATCGAACCACCTGATCCATCTCGAATCGTTGCCGCCATGCAAACATTACTCATGCTAGGCGCATTAGACCCACAACAAAACCTCACATCTCTCGGTCGAGTGTTACTACATATTCCAATAGAAGCGGCCATCGGTAAATTATTGATATACGGTTCTTTCTTTCGATGTCTCGATTCCGCTTTGACATTAGCCGCAGTCCTCACAAACCGAGACCCGTTCCTCTCCCCACCTCTGATGAAAGAACAAGCGGATCGTATCAAAGCTTCTTGGTCACCAAAAGCTTTCAGATCGGATCCTATTGCTATCCTGGCGGCTTACTCGACTTGGTCAGAGATGGACGATAAAGGGGAATGGAATCGAGGTAGTAAATTTTGCTCGGATAATTTTTTGAGCAAACCCACTTTATTACAGATCAAACAGGTTCGAAGGAGTTTGTTACAGAGTTTGCAGCAGGCCGGAGTTATTGCTGTTTCAGCAGGAGGAACAGTTAGACAAATGGGAAGATTGAGAGAAGTTCCAAGACGATTGAATGAACATAGTGATCGTTTACCTTTATTGGCGGCACTTATAGCCATGGCTTCGGCGCCGAATTTCGCTATCAGGACTTCGGAGAAGATGTGTCGTACTGAGCAAGATAAGGTGAGTCATGATTTTCCCTCACTTTCTCCTTTCATCTTGTTGATCCAGTTTATTTCCTTCTTGCATCTTGTCACATTCTCAAGATCCGGATCACCTAAACGAGGATGTCACCAAATGATGTTTGTCAAAGTGTTGTGGAATTCTTGCGTGACGTGAAGTAGAACTGACAGAATAGGCCGTCATGATTCATCCATCATCTGTTAATTCCAATCGTAGAGATAAAGCAGATCCAAATATAGGCGAAGCTTCCGATCGATTAGAACGTAAAATCTACGCTTTCTCAGAGAAAACACGTAACGTACCTCTTGGCGGTAAAGCCGAATCAGCCACCACGCACATCCGTAACGTCACACGATTGGACCCAATGACATATTTGCTCTTTGGGGCGTATCGACTTCGAGCCGTCAGCGGTGGTATAGAAGCCGACGGTTGGTTATCCATAACTGGTCGTTTAGACATTTTAGATGATGTTCAACGACTTAAACTTTTAGTCGATAAATGTTTATTGAGAGTTTTCGAAGGTGTCAACAGGTCATTATCAGTAGGAAGAGATCATCAAAAGAAATCGATTCCAACCTCAGAAGAACATGTAGAAAATAGAGGAAATGTTGAAATGGATGATGAGAATCAAGTTGATGATGACATTGAAAGTGAAAGAGAGAGTGAAGATGAAGACGAGATTGTGAATGAAGGAAAAAGAAAAGTAGTGGAACCTTTATCGAAAGATGAAATAAGAGAATTAGAATTGTTAACTACGGATTTGATAAAGATACTCGATGCTTATGCCGCAGAGAGAAGAGGTGATAAATCGAGATATCAATCTAGATCCGTTACACCTGATTTGAACAGTCCTATGAGACGATGAAAAGGGGTTTTTCCAAAACAACTTCATCATATTACATTCATCCGTAATTCGGGTTTATTCATAGATATATATATATATATTCATATTCATATTTATGCATTATATTTCCTCTCCATCACACTAATCCGTTTTGCCCATATATATTCTCAGTACAAAGAATGACTAAGATGACTTGGGCACCCAAGTTGAGTATTTCAAAAACCAAGATATGTAAGTAAAAGATTCGAACAAGATGATTACTGTAGTCGTAGAAAAACTCCAACATGAAAAATAAAAGATATCATCTCACATCATCTACACTCCATAATGGATCGATTATACAAGTCATACCGTCACTACAAGCGCAAAATATTCCTTCGACAGGTATGAATTCTTGACCTGGCATTGATCTTTCAGATTCGTCTGTACCCAAAGGCCAAAGTTGACCTTGAGGTGGTAAGTCTGGGATCTGTAATCAGCATTTAGCATATTAAGTCAATTCCTCTCATCTAAATTATCCTCTCATTGATGAAACCCGACTGGGGTAATCGATCGGCCGTAGTCCTCTTTATTCTGAATAAAAGATTGAAGGAGCTGAAGGGTTGGAGAGACAGTGGGAACATTTCAAGATTGACTTACTTTCAAGACGTCAAAATTGACAAAACGATAAGTCGGACTTGAATCATTCGGTTCTGCAACAGGTCTCTCTCTTTTCAAACTCTCCACGGCTGTTTTGACTTTTAGTCTGTGAGAAGGACGGACGACGGAGTAGAAGGTTTTTCCTGATAACTGATGGTCAGTGTGGTTACTCGATTTTAATATCAGTCGAATATAGCTGCTCTGTGATTTTCTATGAATTTCTTCACTTCCTGAGACCTGGTCTGAAATGAGGGGGAGGAAAGAAGGAATAAGGGAAAAGGGAAAGAAGGAAAGCGATAACTCACAGAAGAAGTCTTGGTAATCACATCATTACTGACAAACATCACTCTGGCAGTTTCCGTAAACCTATCAAACAAGAAAAAAGTCCGTTTATGTCTCGGACGAGGAAGGGTGTATAGTTCTGGATCTGATAAATCCTTCATATCAGAGAAAGAGATCGGTTGCGGTGTTAAAGATCTATCTGGTAATTTTGGCGAAATGGGAGATTCTGTCCATTTCTATGTCTTATCAAAAACTGCGATTGTAACAACGAGAGGAATGAAGACTGACTGTCATGATTGAACGTCCTTGTGAAGAAGGAGATAATTCGAATACGACTCTTGCACCGAAAGCTATATGTAAGCAAGGGTCGTTACTGCTGGTGATGACTCTTGATACGTATGCCAAGGTGAAGATTATTGCAGTTACGCAAGGAAGGATAATAAGAGGGAGAAAGAAGAGGAATGTCTAGGAAAGCTGAATAAGAGAAACAACTCACGAGGACCTCTAGGACCTTCGGAAGCTCTGGAAATCACAGATACCGTCATATTATAAACGATAGAACTGACGTTAACACCGAATGTCAATTACCAAAACTCGAATACCAAATTTCAAGTGATAAAGACCCAAAGACATGACAAGAGAAGAGATAAATGATAAATCGTCACTTACAAAGCTACACAGACATCTACGTATTCCCCATTCTTATGTCTCATCCGAAGGAAAGTTACCGCTGCAGCTCGATCAGTCTTGAATGAAGTCCTACAAAGAGTTAACCTTCATCTTTGATCTTACATTCTTGGCAAGTCAAAGGCAAAATGAAGTTGAAGGGTACGCATTCTCACAAGAAGTGAAATGTGATATGAAGTATACGAGTCCACAGAACTATTCCCCACAAATCAATATGATGTAAAAGTATGAGGCATTTAAAAAGTGGAACATATATATGTATCACCATTACTGAGAAGGAAAAAGTGATATGAAGAAGGAGGTAGACTCACCAATGTATATCGGCAAAAGCACGCATTTCATCCGGATGTATACGTTCGTAAACACTATGACCGATGATTTCTTCAGGTTCATAGCCTAATATATCGGTGATACTATCGGAGACGTATGACCATGTTAACTATTTGATCAGTTTTTCTGATCATTCTGTCTCTTTAAGGGAAGAAGCGCTTCACAATCACTGGAGGAGAGAAAAAGGGTCGGTGGCATATGAGAGAGATGAGTCAAAGAGAGAGAGAGCATAAAGAACATATATTTCATAGACGAAAAATAAATCAAGAGGGAAACAGCTTAGAGGAGATCGGAGAGAAGACGAGAAAGCAAAAACGAGTATAAAGTGAGTAAACTCACATCTCTATCTGTCGGTGTACATGCAATAGCACTCAAATGATAGCCTGGAGTAACCTTCTCCTTGCTCATCTTTTCCTCCTAAAGCTTATAGCTTGAATAGTGGTCTATGGAAGGACCTCAGCAGATCAACGGGATGATGCTCTGTCGAATTTTCTTGATAATCGGTCACTTGGTGAAATACGGAAGGGAGAAGAAGATGAAGACCAGTGTTAGGTATAGAGAGGATACTATGAATAGATGATGTAGATCATGATGATTGATGTGGTTATGATGTGTGATATCTCGAGTTTGTCATTGTTGTCGTTGAAGGATGTGTTGTCACTGAGAAATGTTGGCCGTGCCCGAGGGGGAAGCAGTGTTGGGACTTTTTTTTTACGGGCGTAAATACTTTATACGTTTACGACGTATTTTACGGTGTAAATACGCCTGCTGCAGAGGACCTGTCGTATTTACGATCGCCACATTCACCAGTTATTGCCTTTTTGGGGTTGATAAAGGGGTTGAAACCCCCCGAACTCTCCAAAACTTGTCCCAGCTGGTAGGTTTTTACGAGGCGGTTTTTACGATTTACGACGTAAATACGGAGGTCGCCATCAGCGTTTCTACGACCATTCGTATTTACGCCGTAAAGTCACAACACTGGGGGGAAGTAAGTCCGGTTTTATTGACCTGGGGCTCCGAGGCGCGGCCGCGGACACTCACTTAGCGCCGAGCAGATCTGGTGCCAAAGTGGCACTCGGTTTGGATCGAATCAAGTGAGTTACGGGTATGAGCACGGGATGATGGAGAGGGCAAGAGTGTAAAATTCATTGCATAGCATAATCATAAGTTCATCAGAATCGTAGCCTCCTCTCATTAGTTCCCATTTCCCACGTTTCATTTCCCCGTCATTCCTTGGCCTCTAAAGAAAACCCCTGTTCTAATCCAAAAATAATCCCACAGATCAAACTTTCGCTTCGGCACTTCCGGCAGAAGAGGCAGGAATAGGGGGGACGACATCGACTTCGGTTGTATGCGCCCCTTCACCATGTCGGTGTCCAAGAGGGAAGATGAATTTGTACAATGGTCGAATGGCCCACAAGACGACGAATAGGAAGATAGGCTGATGGTAAGCATTAGTCTGTGATCGAGGGGAGGGTGAGAGACTCACGACGAATTCGAATACCCCGAAGAAGACTTCATGGGTGGAGGCGAAACCATATGCACCTGAAAGATTAGTTCACGCTCGAAATTTGTGTTGGAAAAGCAGGCGCAATATGTAGAAAGAGTGGGAAAGGTGAGATGGGGAGTGTTTCAAGGACAGCAATGACACTTGACCACACAAGGGAGTCAACGGGAGATAAGAGACAGGACAGAAATGAAAGAGGGAGATGTGGACGGAATCAGAAGAAGATAAAACTTACCCTGAGCACCCTCTGCGATTCTCATGACCAACCGGATGAAAAACACCGCACATGAGACCAGAATTTGAACGAGCAAAGGCTTCAAAAATGGGTATTGCAAGTTGGGATCCGCTTTGGCCAGAAGACGGTCGGACCGACGGAGAATAACGATGACAAAGACGGAGAAAATGATGATGGTGATGGCTTGAAGAACATTTCCAGCGAGGAAAATGAGCTCGGAGGTCTGGTAGTCAGTACCACTACACGAAGACATATGTAAAATTTCAGTGGCTAGGGAGTGCTCCTCCCGCATACCGTAACCCAGCAGGTGTATGGATTCTACACGACGAATAGTCTGGACAATGGACCCGTATTGAAGTAAAATTAAAGATTACGACGGTAGGTGGAATACAGGTCGGGGAAGAAGAAATAACTCTCACCCCTAAAGCAAACATGGGGTCATCTCCAGTAACATCCGACCCAGCGGCAGCGGCAGCAAGGTATTGTCCCCCGACTTGCATAAGTACTGACAGTAAGCTTCTGCTCCGTTCCAGCATAGCCACCAGGGATATCCTTTCTGAAGTATGATGGAAGTCTACTCACCCCACACAACATCAAGGATGACAAACAACGTGATCAAAGATCTCGGACGCATGGGTGACAGACGTCGACCATCGGGGGTGTATTTGAGCCCTCGTTGAACGGATTTGTACAATGCGGCAGTCATGAGGATTGTTCCCTGTGTGTCAGTGAGAGGGCACGGAACTTCAGGAGACAATGACTCACAATTTGAACAAGAGTAACACCGATCAAGAACCCCATTCCTGACCAAATATGCGTATGAGAATAAAGTCGCGCTCCGTAACCAAGAGCTTCGATGATAGCAGAGAAGAAGAAGAGTCCATGGCTGCCTATCAGCTGTTATCCTCTCATTTCTTCCCTTACATCTACAAATCACACTCTTATGGAGTTCTACACACCTATGGAACGTCGCTACTGGATATGATACATTCGGGTCACTCCTCAAGGAAAGCAACTTATGGGCCAGGTGGTAGAAAGAGACAGGGAAAGAAAGAAGAAAGAGTGTTGACTCACACACTCCGAGTACCCCTTTTAGTGAACAATAATAGCAGATGAGGACCAGCGACCAATAACCACAATATAACCCCTACTATACCCATGGCAAGAGAAGGGACGTAACCATATTGGATAATCGCCGAGTCGCCTGAGGGCGGGTCGGGTTGAGTAGGTCCAGAGTAACCCATGATGTTCAGTCTGTAGGTTCACAAGGTCGTACCGTCGTGTCAAACATTACAATTGATATAATACGGATGGGAGAAAGTCGTGTTTAGAGATGAGTGACAAGTCACCGTTCATGATGTATGTGGAGTGAAGGGATGACAATGGGAAGTAACATGTGATAGATGATAAGCGACAGGTGATAGGTGACAGTGAAAAGAAGTAGATTACGACAAGCCAAAAAAAAGATAAAGTCAGCCTAGTCTAGATTGAAACAGTAACTAAACCAACTCACCGTTTATATTCTGTGCGGGGGAACTAACGAAATTTAAGTCGTATGTTGTCAATTGCGATCGAGATGAAATGTTGTGAAACTCTCAGAGTCTGGGGAAATTCTCACAACTTTCTTCATTATATCTTCTCCACCCCCTTCTTTCTTCAACTGACCCCGCCGCCTCCTCCCCCTCCCCTCGTTCTCCGATCTCCGACTTTTCTACTTCACCACCCTCTGCTCTGACCCTTCTTCCCCTTGGACGACGCTCGAGCCTTTGTATATCGGTAGTGACGGCGAACGGGGATTGACATCAAGATATCCTAAGGAGACATGATGATCAAAGAGGGCGTTGTAGGATCCAGGAACTGGTGTAAGAGATTTTCAGGAAATACTAAGAGATCGATAAGGGCCAAGGAATGGTTCCTTTGAACTAACAAAGACCTTTGATACCGATTTCATCTTTTCTCTTCCCTGGTTCCTATTCCACTCTTTACCCCTTCTACTCATTTCGTGGCTGATGTTGTTGATCTTGGCTCTTCTTAACCAGGTATCGCAATAAGTTATTCTTCAGAATTTAGGTGTGTGTATCGAGTATGAGAGGAATAGACATCCTTGGTCAATATTTGTAGCTCCAAGCTTCAGTACTAGTGTTTGACGCCTGAAAACTAGGAGCGATCACCGGAACGGGAATCATAAGATCATGGAATCATTTCAAAAAGATGATGAGCGGCGCCACAGAGTGTTGAACCGCACGGACCGTCCTGAATCGAGGATGTCCAGATGGGGGAGGGGATCTTAGATCAGATGGGACCTTCTCCTCGATTCCTGAATCTGTCTCCTGATCAACTCCTGAAATCTCAAAAAAAAAGGATTTGCTCACAGGACGATCTTGAATCCGCGGGCGTGATCCTGGTCACCCATCGTTTGAAGGGGTAAGAATGATATGATCCCTTGCCAAATGGCCAAGTGGCAAGTGGTTAGATCATCATATTGTGTATGTCATATCTCATGTCCCATTTTAGTCACTATATGAAATGAGTGACGCCCGTGAGTTCGTACGTATGACTTTGGTGTGAGAGACCTCCGATATTGGATCTGAGGAACCGGTGGCTTGAAAGGAGAACCAAGCCACCAAACTGTCGATCCGTGGACGAAACATGTACTTACATCAAGCGCCTAGCGTCTGATTGTTGAAATCCCACAGATCTATCCCACATAGACGCCACATGCCCACAAACCCGATCAGTAGTCGGAGCCGTCGGAAGCGGAGCGAAAGATTGGTTCGATAATTATTGTAATGTTACATTTGACCTCGCTTTGACAAGAATCTCGAATCGTGGCGTTAGTGGCCAGTCCTTGATCACTTGCGATCAGCCGAATTATAATAGATCCTTGATCACTACTAGTCACTGGACATTCGGCGACTTTAAGTCCCATCAAACCGTATAGGAACCTTTCCGATAGTGAGATTATCGATGAACAGAGCTTTCTTCATTGGTAGCAAATGTCAAACGCCAATCTGAGTAGCATTCGATGTGTGATGTGTGGATATGTGTGAAGATGCAATGTCAAAGTTTAGATCCTATCATTATCGTAGTAGATCAACATCATCTTATGGATCTCGCAGCCAGCATTTCTTCTAATTCTGTATTTCATCAGCTTGATCTTTTTCAACTTCCTTGACAACCAAATTGGCAGTATGACTTTCTGATAATTCTGACTCACCACGATCAAGATCATCCCTTCCTCTACCCTCCCTTTCATCTCTTCTACCATTCCCCCTCCTTCGTCTTTGACGAGATTCATCAACGTCCATATCGATGTCCATCATTTCTCCTCTTCCCGTCTCCCCTCTACGCATATCATCCAATTCCCTATCTAAATCATCCCCTGTTCTCCTTGGTCTACCTTTACCTCTACTAGATGATATCCTCTCCTTTCCTATCCTCTTGGCAAATTCTCTTCCATCTTCTCCACCCCTTCCAGAGAAAGTGATCTCCTCTTTCCCACCTAAATCCCTAGCGGTTCTTGTTTCTCTACCTGCATCATACCCATGTCGAGCATACCATTCTGATCTCTTGGCTTTTTCTCTCAACGATTTATCATCTTCGACAGCATAACGTATGGCAACTCTAGCGAGAGGATCGACACCTGGTGCCAACTCAAATCCTTCATCTGACTTTTCTTCCGTTTGGTCAATTTGCAAAGATCCGGAAAACGCTCCTCGACCTTTACGTCGGATCTCTCCTCCTGAAGCTGTTGAAGTAGGAATAAGTTCTTTGCCTTCACCAGTCAGGAGATCTGAAATGGGAAGAAGGGAGACGGGAAAAGAATGAGCGGAACGTTCGAGAAGAGGGTCATCACCTTCGGCAGGATCGAAACCAGCTTTGCTGATGAGTGATAAGCCTAGTAAAGCGGCTGAGGGAGTGGGAAAAACCAGAAGGAGGGTAGTGTCGTTGAGCCATTCGATACCTGTCATTAGTTTCGTTACTCTTGCTTCTTCCATTGCCCCTTCCAAGCTTATTCGGTCAGCAGCCTCTTTCGATATTCACTCCTGCAGCGAGGTAGAATATTGCTCGGCTGACTCGAGGAGGAAAGCGTTGTCAGGTATATTACTCCATGTGAAGGCTGAAAGAAAACCCACCCATCACACCAGCACCCAGGCCCGTGGCCCAGGTGAACACCTTGGACGTACTGAGATGTTTTATTAATTCTGAACTGACGAATAGAGCGTTGGCACGGATGGGACTGGGGCTACCTTCTGTCACAGCTTCTGATAAGTCAGCTTTCGGCTTGCAGTCATGGGATATCAAGAATGGATTTGATGTAGTAGACGAAAATTGATAGCAGGTCAGACAACTGACCGAGCCAAGAAGTAGGATCGTGTTGATCTAGCTGTGTAGCCAATTGAGCCATTTTCTGCGCATGAGTGAACTTCTCTTTTGTAGGCACAAAAAAAAATGCAGTATTCGTACTATTTCACATGAAAATATGGTACATCATAAGTATTAGAACCATGCTCATGTCATACTACCAAATCCACAAAGGGGTCTACGGACCGACGAGCTCTCTGGAATATCCACCCTAAGAAAGAAACATGTGTGAAGGGAGGAAGGATCTATGAATGTATTGAGAACTCACAGGATCCCCTCGTATTCTCTGATCACCCGTATGATGCACGATGGCCGGACTTTCATCCAATAAATACACTTTCCCTTTACTCATCCGACCCATTAAACTCTTGACGTGTTCAGGGATTTCTTTACTTTGACGAGGCAAGTCGTCCAAAGCCATATCGAGTCCTTGTGGTTCTACAGTCATAATCGGGGTATCTTCGGGAGGGGGTGTACCGTCGTAAGGAAGGCCATAGTCCATTTTGAGTGAGATAATTTATGCGTACAAGTAAGTGACTGTGATTCTGTGAGAGATTTGAAAAGCAAGGCATCTCGGGTCAAAGGTCAAAGGCTTGGGCTCGAGTCAGTTTCCCACGGTCGTCGGTGGCGTCTGGTACCAGCTTGGGTCACTCCAAGCAGTGCTCCACCCCGCTCTGTCCTTTCCATACTTACCGTTTGTTTCATTTCACTTGTACCATTGCCTCCCAATTAGGAGTGTTCTGCTATAATCTCATCTACAAACGCCTGTTGTCTACGTAAGAGAGCGATATAATTAATCTGATCGAAATCGCTTCAGGACTGAACGACAGGCAAGCTCTCGGTTCTCGTTTCCGAGGCATCGGATCCCAACGACCGTTGCTTTGTTCCCTACCATCCGTCCACTAACATCACCTTTATATCTCCTTTCACTTGTCTAACCCTCCCCTTATCCATACCAATTAAACCTTCTTCCTTACTTTGGCATCGCCACTTCTGTTTGTCCCCCATAATCGCTAGACATGTCTTTCTTCCGTAGGAACAGAAACGACCCCGTCATCCCCCCTGTCGCACCTACCGCCTCTCAAGCCGCCGACCCTTATGCACGCAACTCGGGCTCTCAGGCAAATCAACAATACGGTGGTGGAGATCCTTATGGTAGTTCAAGATCTGACCCATATGCTTCTCGTGTGAACGGAGGAAGTAATCCGTATGCTAAAGCTGGAGGACAGGACGATGCGGCTCGTAATGAGCTTTTTGCGGGTTATAAGAAACCTGATAAACCTGTGGCGGAAAGGAAGTATGGGTATGAAGGGAGAGAGACGGAAGAGGATTTTGATGAGGATGAAGAGGTTGAGGGGATCAAGCAAGAGATGAGGGGGATTAAACAGGAGTCTTTGGCTTCCACCAGGTTAGTCCTCACCCACTACTCAATTGTCATACAATTTCCCTTTTGGCCCGAAGACTAGTTCATGTCCCCAGCGGCGACATCATGCCGTCCAACAAAAGCTCAGACATGGATGCTCCCACCCATCATCATCCCCTTCGTACATACACGAGGCTACAAGCCCACTGCTCCTATGAACGACGCTGATCCACAGAAACGCCCTCCGATTGGCGAGAGAAGCAGAGGATACCGCTCGTGGTACCATTGGCAAGCTTGCCGACCAATCGGGTATGTCATCATTTTCATGATGTATACGAACTCGCTGATGTGATAGAACGCATTGCAAATTCCGAACGTTACCTCGATATGGCAAAGACCAATAATCTGCGGGCGGAAGATAAGGCTAATGAGTTGCGACAGTTGAACAAGAGTATTTTCAAGCCCGTCATCGTTTGGAACAAGGTTGGTTCTCCTTTGTTCTTCTGTCCTAATTTCGAAGTCGCCGCCTTGATCACGATTTAAAGGGTTCGGGAGATCGAAGCAGTCAGTCAGCTGATACGACAGGATGGCAAGCGTGCCGCCGAGGAACAAAAGATTGCTCAGCGATACGACGAAGCTCGTGATGCCCGCAATACCACTCTCAACGACATAACTCGAACCCGACAAGTCCTTGGGAAAGCTGCAAACCCCGGTCCGGCTGGTTCCGCTCGACAGCCCATTGCTGGCGAACAAAAAGCAAGAAAGCAAGAGAGACAAAGATTCCAATTCGAAGCCACTGGATCGGACGATGAACTGGAAGATGAGTTGGATGAGAATATCAACGAGACGCTTCAGGTCACTCAGCGTCTTAAGCAACTCGCCGTGGCTATGGGTGAAGAGGTCGCCGGACAGAACAGTAGATTGACCAGAGTGACGGATAAGACGGAGAATCTGGAGTTTGCAGTCATGAAGAATACCGAGAAGCTCAAGAGGATCAAGTGAGTGTTAGAGATGTGCTGTGGACATGTACGATATGAAAGGCTGCATGCATATGTTCTGTGAGAGAAAGTGATTCTGCTCTCGGTCATACGGGAGATATGGCTGTCGCTGACGAAAGACGATGCATGTAAGAGGATGATGACGAGTTCTTGTCCACACCACCTTTGACCAACCCAACGGCCAACGGCCGACTTAACACTTGGTTCCTTTGACAATCTTTCCCCGTATCCACTCAATCATACACTACTACTCTTATTTTCCCTGGCTCCACTCGTCAGAAGTATCACGAGGTGTTCACCATCATTCGATTCATTCTCATATTCTGCAACACAGCATCAGATAAATCGAACCTGAACCGACATCTCTATTTGCCACCCTCCTTCTCACCGCTGCGCAACCGTCATGCCGTCGGGGGAGAACACGGCAAACCTACCAAGTCACAATGGTGGTCCACTCCCACCTACGTACACTGCTCAACAACCGCAGATCCTCATCACACCCTTGCCGGATTCTGTCAGTTTCTTCTGGGGTCAGAGCGTTCAAGGCGAGGTTTTCGTCAAAGGTTTAGGGCAGGGTGGTCAAGGTGTTGAAAAGTTGTGAGATGTCTATTTTCATTCTACTATCCACCCTTCTCTTCATAATGCATCTTGTAATGTCTAGTGTATCTTTGTAGTTTGAAGGGGGTTGAGGGTATGGCTGATCAAGCAGAACCGCTCGATTACATCTCACAGATGAACTACCTCTCTTTCCGTCTATCGAACTACATCAATTCCCAGACACCATACTGTATCCTCCTCCCCCCACCGAAGCCACCGTTTCTCAATCCACTTTCACCACAATCCCATTCTCAGCTCCGTACCGATTTACTATCCCTCTCCCCAGTTCCATCGATCGTTCAACCTCGACCGACTCTCGTCATCCCTCCCTTACAGACTTTTTACCTGGCGCACTCGATTTGACAGCCTATGATAAAGGTGCTATTCGCTGGACATTGATCGTCTCTCTCACTTTGTCATCAGGTCAAACCACCGAAGAATCTATTTCTATCGAGAACACACCTCAAGAATTATGTCCGATGGAAGACGATGCCCCTGTCGAGATTGAAGAAACTTTGGAAAGATCAGGAGTTCGTGTGAGACTTTTACTTGACACAGATCATCCACGTCTCGGAGATCTTTTACGTTGCGGAGTAGAAGTACAACCTAAACCTAGGGAGAAAACAGGTGTGGCTGGATTATCATCTCAACCAAATCCTTCAGAAACATTACGACCTTTACGTCGTGTTCGTGTTGAACTTTACCGACTCGTTCGGATTCCTCCACCATCAGATTCATCTTCAAATTCTTCGACAACTGATCATTCAACTTTATTACATTCATCTGGTAAATCTCTTCGATATCCAGGAACATCAAGAATTCATCCTCCACTCAGATTACTTTTCACTTTACCAACTCTTCAATCAAGTGCGGCAGACATGACATGGGGAGAGATATCTTGCTCAACACCATATCATCAAATAACATTTTTCATCAGAGTTATCATAGGATTCGGAGCTCCTTCTGATTCTGGTTCATCTGATTCATCTCAATGGACTTTGGAAAGAGGTTTGACAGTTCGACCGAAAATATGGAAAGAACCTAGAGAGGTCATCATCGAAAGAGGACATATCCCATCGTCCACAATTGGGGAATTTTCAGACGATTTAGATCCAGAAGAAGCAAGAGAAGCTTATAGATCAAAAGGAAGAGATGTTGTAGGTCAAATGGGTACCATAAGAGTTGGGGAAGAAGATGTACCAGGTTTTGAAGAAGTTATGGCAGGTCCATCTAATGGGAATTTGAATGGATTACCAACGTTCTTAGAAAGTGAAGAACAAATGAGGAAAGGGGAAGGGAATGTACCGTTGGAAGCTATACCTAGCGAGACGCTTTTGCCAATGGAGTTTGAAGAAGATGGGATAGATAGGGCTTTACGTGTTGGAAGACCGGATAATCTAATGGGTGAATTAGCTACGTGGATCGAAGTGAGTTTATCAAATTCTTGTCCCTCCTTCCGAATTACCACCATTTGCGGTTTACTAAGGTCGATTATCGTGCATCACCTCTTTAGTCATTTCATTCATCATGCTACGGACTTGGTCTGACGTTTAGTATGACGGCTACGAAACATTCTCAGTACAACCACCATTGGCTTCTGCTTCATTTGGGGTGGATGGACCAATGGATCCACCGGAAGAAGGCATCGATACAGCTTCTGTCGTCGGTGGGATCGCCGCTAGGTTGGGTTTGCGTGACGGGGCTCCTGGAGGGGTAGAGGGTATGATGAATCATCTTGGTTTAGGTGAGGGGACCCGAGTGGTCGATATGCAGGTGGGTACGATTTCCCACGTGATTCTTTCCCACCCTGTTGATGACACACTATCATTGATCGTACTTTACCATTTCACCAATCTTGCTTTGCGTCGAATTGCTTGCTTGTCACTGTGAACACAGACGTTTCACCAGTTCGTGCACATGAGAGCACACAGTCTGTCATTTGTCTCTTCGCTGTGACAAACCCTGCTTCTCACCCACAATCAAACCTTGGTTTAACGTCGCTGACATGAAGGATGACCTCCCACCTGGTATCGATGAACCCTCCCTTCCCGCCTTACCTGGTCCACACCCACACAGCTTTGACAGTCCTCCATCATTCGCCGCCTCCGAAGCTGCTCAAGCGGTTGGTATGGTAGCTGTCGCCACTCCTAACCCGGCTCGTGTGGGTCAGCGAAGGACCAGTCATGCCACGCAGGTTGATGTCGTTCATGGTGAAGTCAGGGGTGAACCACCTGGGTATTTCGGAGGGGAAAGACCAGAAGGAGGATTACCACCGTATAGCTGAAACGAAATGTTAGTCCTTCAGATCAATCTCATATTCATACATGAACGGATCATCTTCCCTTTTCAACTGACGGACTTTGAAATGATATACGGAAAGACGACATCACTTTTCTATTAAAGTCAACTGCGCTCGGCTATTTGATTTCACTTCCTCGATATATGACACATGTTACATGTTTGTTGACCATCCTTTGTGTCCCTGACCACCCAAACGAGTCACATATTCGATCTCAGTCATCTAGCAGCTCAGCAGTTATCCCCCGATCATTATGAGGGCTTTTTATCTTGAATCATATAGTCCATGCACTTCAGAGAGGAGTTACTGATCTCAACACCAATATTGACCCTACGTTGGCTAATACACTTCCGGCCCAAGGAGCACTCAATCACAAACCAATCCGTGGCAGACTTATTCCACTACAGGGCAGAATTTCTATTCCGATTTCGAATATGGAGAACAGCCTGATGACGAAACTGAAATTGAAGAAGAAGAGGAAGAAGTGGCTGAAGAACAGCTTCTAACCGAATGGCTAGATTATCGACTAAATGACAGACGTGTGCAACACCAAGACAACTTTGTAGGACCTACGGAAGATCAAATGTCAAAGTTGTTGTATTCCAAGATCAAGACTGATGATGGGAAAGGTGGATTGGTTGATACTGTGGACGAACCGTGAGTTCTGGTTTTCGTCTACCCATTGATTACTACCCACGATACAAATGCTGTTTTCTCTTTCCTCTTCTTTCCTGAGCAACCGCTTTAGAGGCATGATTCCATTACAAATCCTGACACATGTCCATGAGATAAGATAATTGCTGTAATGACACATAATTTTATTGACTTTTTGACAGATGTTATTGTTCAGTAGAAACTTGCATCTACAAAACCATTCAGAAAGACGAAGTGAGCCTTTATCATGAGACTGCAGTCTACCATCTACTCTGGCATCCAAAGAAGAATACCTCAGATCTTGAGGTCTTAACCTGTGAGGCAATGACAAATATGACGGCGGACAAACGGAAAACATTCTCTAGAGTGATTTTCAACATTCCTGACCATGAGGGACAAGTTTCAGAAGAAGGGGGGTATGGACTCATCAATGCTTCTTTCTGTCTTGATAATCAATATCCTGATCAAGATGAAGTGCAAAATTGTATTGATGTATATGATGAAAGAGAGGATCCTTCAACATATGAGTGGAAACCAATGGAAGAAAGAGTCGACAACGTAGTTAAGACGTCAAAGAAGTCACGCAATCGAACGTTCAAAACTTCTGATAATCAATTAGGAACTATTCAACGTCGAAACCAACAGTAAGTCTGTCTTTATCATGATGACTACCTGTCTTTGCTCATATGCTTACTCGTCTCTCTCTAATTGATACCACGTGCGTTGTTATACGTATCTAAACAAAAAGAACGTTATCGGAAAATATGTGGATGCTGATGGTGTAGACTCCGATGTGGGAACTCATCTTGCAAGTTTGGTTATATTGCTTCGGGTGAAACAAGCTTGTATTGTAAAACAAGAGGGAAAAAAAGTAATATCCACCTGTTGTGGTATGACCAAGGACCGGGTATAAAACACTTAGGGGTGAAGACTTGTCGATCTGTTTCTACTGTAGTGGAAACGATACAGGGAGGGTATTTTAGGGGAATGTCTCCTTCATAGCATGTGAAGGAAGAGTTGGACATGGTCTACCACAGACAAGAGGATCTTGTTATTGATAATGTTGTTGATGAGGTTGGATATGTGATTGAGTTACTTATTTACTTGAGAACAGAGCAAACTTCACAACTACTGATCATCTTCTTTGATTGTCACCACTGACCTGATGCCTATAGGCCTACTTCTCACCTTCGAATCCTCACTCCGTGTTCCCCTTCAGATCATCTGCGTTCTCACTTTTCATCTACGATATGATACACAACACGATTCAGTCTCCGCCCCTCAGCGATCACGTCACTACATAGTAGTTACTCGTAATCGTATGGTCAAGATCAAGTTGCTAGCAGCTCTTCCCCCTTGAATCACCAACTTCCTTTATAACTCGAATGAAACAAATCAAATCTGATGTCATTTCGCGAAAGGTGTTACTTCAATTAATGAAACAAATCGATGTCGTCAGCCGTTTAAACACCGTCAGGTAAACCACCTAAATGTGAACCCTACCCATACGGTTCTCGCGGTCCATCTCAAATTGACCAATTCACCGGGAAATACGGTTATGTAAGAGCTTATTGCCCGATCACCACATTAGGCCGCTTTTCCTATATTATCGTTCATTCATTCATATCACTACTTTCAACTCATCGATATACATCATCATACACTTTGGAAGAAAATGACTGACACATTTGTCGATGATCCTGATAACAACACTGAATCTTATCAATTTGTATTCGAGGACCCGGGCTCTTGGCCAGATCGTCGACACCTTTATTCAGTGAGACCTCCGACTGTCAACGTGCGCAACGGCATCAGCAGATCTCAACAAGAACTCATTCCAGGCCGAGTGAGTCAAGAAAGACGACCCATCTCCAATGACCAAGAACAACTTTCTTATCAATACGGAACGACATCTCATCGAAACCCAACAAGGCGGGTCGCTCAATATTCAGGCCAACCTAGCAATGAGGAATTACAAAGTCGGCTGGGTCGACCCACTATAACGTTCGAAAACGATACTGGGATAGTAGCAATGAGCGACCACCGGTGAGTCTATCTCTTTTTTGTCTTCGCTCACATCTCTACCATATTCCCGGATTGACATAATTTCCACCCACGGGCACTTTTGATTTGTTGAGTCATATTCTTTGTCATGGAAAGAGTGTAATGATTGAGAAATCGTGTACTGATCAAACACAGTCGAAGATGTGACTTACTCTGTGGTTTCTCTGATATTGTACCGGGGGAGCTATACCTTCATAGAGAGAGTGGAAATCATAGGACGACTCACCTACTTTGGTCAAGAGATCCTGAAGATGCTCAACTTGAAACCTGTACCTGCAATGCAAGATATACCATGACACCGGAAAAACAACTTGAATTCAGTAGGAAAGATATACCTTTTTCAAACTCTTCCATTGAAGTTTCCTACCAGGAATCTACCATACCACCAGACTTATTAGATAGAATCTTTCAAACCGCTCAAGTCATGTCAAACGTGGAGGTTCATACTTTGGACAATTATGTTGGATTTATCCATTCTCCTAGTACGGGGTAAGTACCTTTTCCTCTTCTCACTTTCTTAATTCAAAATCTCATCGACTTATTGACTTCATGATGACTCTACGGGTGGAATTATGATTGATGTATAAACCAGAAGTGATTCTGCTTGTGGTCATAGTGAAAGGCTGATTATGTAGAAACACATGTTGTCGATCCAATTGTCGCTTTGGCGAGATACGTCCAGGTGAAATTAGTCTATCAAGTAGAGAAGGGAATTCACATTTGTTTTGGTACGATCAAGGACCGACTATTACTGATTTAGCATTGATCACTTGTCATTCTGTTTTTAACCTTGTGGAGGTTATAGAGAGGGGTTTGGTCAGAGGTATACCCGATTCAACTTATTGAGATTTGGACACACTGATGGTGGAGTAAGTCCACTCTAATTATCTGACTTATCGGAGGGTTAGAAAACGTGAACGTGCAGATGTGGGAGATATACAGTAACTTATGCATGTTCTCATTCCCATAGCTGAAGTAACTGTCTACAAAAGTTGGCCGTTATCTGTCAAATATCGCTTACTGCTCTCCTGTCATGACCGGGTAGCGAGCCCGCGATCATAAACCGTCCTAAAAGGCTCAATATCAACTCTGCTAGTGAGAGTTGATCTCGCTATAAGTACTGGTCGTGACATATTCCCCCCCTTCAGGGAAGCTGGCGTCTCGACAGCAGTACTTCTGAACCTGAAACCGTGGCAGGCGCGAGGCCTGTGGGTTTCCAAGTCACATGCGTTCGGCAGGTATTCGCGCTCTCGGAACTAGGAACTAGGAACGTCGAATCGGAAGATTCGACCATGGGATGGTCACATAGGACCCTCGGATGGTTGGCAACCCCCAAACCAACCCCTCAGGGCGAAACCTGAGGACAAACGGTGCTGACACCTGCAGCCAGCACCTCACATAGAGTGAGAGCCGCGAATTCGAACGGGTGACCCGTTAGAGTTGATATTCTGTCATGACCGGGTAGCGAGCCCGCGATCATAAACCGTCCTAAAAGGCTCAATATCAACTCTGCTAGTGAGAGTTGATCTCGCTATAAGTACTGGTCGTGACATCTCCCCTCTAACTTATAAAACTCTCTTTTCAATTAGATGTATTCATTGCTTTTACGAAAAAAGGTGACCCACAATATTCTCTGGCACATTTTCAATCTTTCCTTTTCCTTCCATCATCTCAAACGTGAATGAAATCTGACTGCAGGTCACACGAAGACACGACTCAAATTGGTCCAAACGATCCGTTTTACCTGCCATTACAATACACCGAACATTCATGAACAAAGGGAGATCCATCTATCCCATTCGTTGGACACTGATCTGCCATGATTGAGTAGATCATCTTTTGTGACTTGCATGAAACGATTTATGGGGTTTCGAGTGATCTCACAATAACCCCCATGGTATACTTGTCCGCCATTAGCGAGTTTGTTTCGACTACTCGACATAGAGACGTCCTGTTACAAAATGACATGTACTGACGATGGACTTGAAAGTACCGCTATCTTCAAATCCGAGATGAACTCCACCATTGAGACCAATACCATCTGCCAAGGTAATGACTGTATCCAACCTCAGATAGAGGAAAATACAAATAATTCTGACATGTCAATGGAATCATCCACATCCACATCAGAAAGTGAGAGCATGGTTGATGGGATTGAGGATTTGACACTGGGCCACGAACAGACCAGAGTACAGTTGAAGGTTGATAAAGAAGATGTATTGGATAAAATCGAAATGCTTTGTTTCGATCCTCCAAAGTTGCTAGGTAACTCGACTGTGACCTTTGACCAAACGATGGGGATGGTTTCAATATCGAACAACCAGTAAGTTTTGATGGCTAGTTATCCGTTGTCCATTGCCCTGCTGTCACGACTGAAAACACCCCGCTCCTGTTCCACAGACGGCCCAATCAGCATATATTGATTCCTGCTAGTTTCAGGAACACGAGTATGATCACTAGTTGTGTCTCGAGTAGTGTTCTGAGGGAAAGTTAGCTGAGATCAGACGTGAATGCACCACACACTCTTGCCTGTATGGACAAATCGAACCAGGAGAGATATACCTGGATATGACCGGGTATACGAATCACTTACTTTGGCGACCTATGCCCCAAATGGATCAACATTTAGAAGTCTACACATGTAGGGCAATGAGTAGCAAGTCAGAAGTTGATCGTGAAACGTTTACAAGAGGTATTTTCCCTGAAATGATTGAAGGAACAAAATCGATTGACATCACCCATATTTCAGTGGACAAACGTATAGGGATGGTGGTTTCATTACTGGACGGATTTCCTACCCGGACATTGGACGAGGAAACTGGTATCATCAAGCTTGCTGAGAAATCGTGAGTAGCCATACGACTCGCATGCCTTGACACACCCAAGTGTAGAGTACTGGGTTAGATTTGACCTCAGCATTTGACATGTTACTCAAAATCAATATGACAACCGGAGAAGGGGTGATGACTGATGATGAAGGTTGACTTGTATGCGCAACAACTGCCTGTTCGGATCAATCTGGTCAGGTGAGACTTATTTGTACCGCACTCAAGGTGAGCATAGTGACACAACTGAATACGAACATTTGTTATGGTATGAGACCCCGGATGACGGTAACAAACTCGGAGCAGTGACTTGCCGTTCCGTAGAAACACCAGCCCAAGCGATTGCGGAGGGTTATATGAGAGGATCCTCGGATTTCATGTGATTGTGGTGGGTTTTATGTAAGTAATGTGAAATCCAATAGTCTTCACTCTATAGGGGTCCAAGTGAGAATGAATGAGGTACAAGTCAGATGTATAAGTATTGAACACCCACTTGAATAGACACCAGTTCCACATCTGATTATACTTTACCATTTCAAGCCTTCTGAAAGAGTACATCGCTAGATTTCTCTTCCCAATGACTTATTTTCCGATTTCCTTTTCTCAAGCAACCACCACATACCCAATCCCGAAGTTGTTCGCATCAGGTATCGGGCCTTTCCCGTCAAAATTAGTAGCAACGATGAAAGCCTTCTCTATCAGTCCAATTCTTCTTCGATTTCAAAGACTCACCGTCCCGTTAATACCCTGTGGAAGACGGGTAGTTCCCTTGCCCATGCCGTTCGTACCTCCGGAGATGTCCGTCCGGTTGAGTGCCATTGGGATTGAGTACATGTCACTCAAAAATTCAACGTGTACGTTGTTTCCCGGGTAAAATTGAGATGCGTCTATCGTCATCAACTAGGCCACGTACATAAGATGAATACTCACTCCACGTCAACGTGATCTCGTCTCCTGCTTTGTGAGGCGGGGAGCCCGAAGTGAAGGAAGCACTGAGAGGCGGTATCAGAGTGAAGTTGATTGCCGGGTTGGTCGATGGACATGAGCTTAGGAAAGGGTGTGCAAGGGAGTATGCTTGAGATGCGGTCAAGGCAGTATCGAAGTTGACAGCTATCTTATCAATTCCACGATTTCTGATGAAACAGAAGGCGACCGACCGTTGAAGAAGTCAAGTCCACTCTCTTCGCGAAGCTTAGAGTTCTGACGAGCTTCGTTGCTCAGAATTGACGCCCCAGCTTGTCTGGCCGCGGGATCGGTCAAATCTTTTGATCAGTCTTGTAAATATATGAGAGTGGGGCAGACTGACTACCAGATGCACCGATGAAAGCTGCTTCGCCAACGGTAGTGATAACTTGTGACACAGTGAGGAGTTCCTTAGGTGTGGTCACCGGGAACTTGTATGTGCAATTTTTGAAACCTCCCTGCGGCATTGCTAGAAATCAGAATACAAGATCAACGCGTCTATGACTACATGAGAATATGACTCACTTGAGAACTGTGAAATGAGCAATCTCTTGATCCCTAAACAACTCGATATATTTCCTGAACCCGGTGTAGCCCGCCTTGGCAAAGTCCGCATCGGTGAAGTTGGTCAAAGCTTGATTCCATAATGCCAATTCTAAAGATTCGAGATTCCTCGCCAAATTGATGCTATTCATCAGCTGAATGTTGTCCAAAAAGGTTTCAAACTTACATCTGAAAGTCAGTCTTGTCCAAGTTCCGTTTTGACCATTTCGAGCTTTGGAGGAAGGGTGCGGCGAAGGCAGTTGACGCGAGGAGGAGGGCAGCGAGGCGCATACTTGCTTTTTGTTTGAGTTTTGTTTTCGATTGGGGCTCCTGAGAAGAGTGGTTAGTATGAGTGTGAAGATGGTCAACGAGTTCTCATACCACGAGTGAGTTTATATATCCCCGGAGGTCATGACAGGGGGCTGGAGATGATGCAGAGATCACACCGTGGTCGTGGAGATCGAGATCGTCAGTAAGGAGGACCCCGTAAGTATGATCTTACCCTGTCATCCTCTCCCGCTCCGCACCATATTTCTTTCGACCACCAGGTTTATGGACGGAAGATCAGACCATCCACAGGGTAGGGCTATTATTGGGTGGACAAGTCCGACCCGATGATGCCCACGGAAGAGAACAAGAATCGAGGGCCGCAGGACATGCCGGGATGTCGTAAGTAGGAACCTTACCCCGTCAAGAATTGTCAGTGACGTAGCGAGTATGCAACTTACCCTGCAAGTCTCCAGATCTCCCAGCGCCCACTATGCCTTCATCTCAACCTTCCGCGACGTATGGTCCACGATCCACGATGGAATGATTAGTCCTGTCTGATGTCGATCGATGTACATGTACTGTTGTGAACCCAAACCTAAACCCATACCTAGTCGGCTAAATCGGGACATGGGACACCACACCCAGGGCTGTGATAAACGGGTATGACGTATAGACGTATAGAACCATAGCGCTGCAGGCATCGCATTTACGGTCTGAGGATATGCTAGAAAGGATCCTAAAGAGCTTGGATGAGAGAGGGATGTATACGAAGATGGTGTAAGTATCTTGACAGAGTCCTTGGCGGGACTGAGATGTGATGTCGGACAAGTCCGCACCTAATGTCGTCATCGCTAAGTTACTCAACTTACATGGATGAAGCATCTCTCTGAAGTTTTGGCGAGCTCTACTTACTTTGGGCATCATGGCCGCAAGTCCCCCTTCCCCACCTCGTCCAAAAAGTGCAATCCCACCGTCGGTGCCCAAGCAAGCGGACGAGAGGGCACCTTTGTTGGGAGCGAGTCAAGAGCCAGGAGCCTCCTACGACTCTAACTCTGGTCATGACGAAACGAATGGATCTTCGAGGCATTACAACCTCGCAGGCCTGTCTCAGAGGAGCTTCTGGATCCTAGTGAGACGTTAGTATTCTCGGGTATGTCACTTTGCTGACTGTTTAGATATGCTCCATGCTCACCTCGGTCTTTCTGGCAGCATTTGACGGAACGATAGGTCTGCCCCTCTTGCTCCTGCCTGAACAAAAACCTGATGAATAGTGTCAACTCTACTAGGTCCAATTTCCTCTTCTTTCAAAGCTACCAATCTGGCATCATGGCTTGGAACATCCTAGTACGTTAGCTGAGCGTAGGACGAGAAACACTCGCTGATAGATAGTCTACTATCCGTATGCTGCTTTACACCCATATACGGACGTTTGTGCAATATCATTGGTAGACAAGCTTCCATGCTTCTTGCTTTAGGTCTTTTTAGTGAGTCTTTCACTTCCAACTCTGTCGATGAAGTATTGAATTTAGGTATTGGAAATATCGGTTGCGGGTTTGCACCAAATATGGGCGCTCTTATAACTGCACGAGCGATAGCAGGTATGGGTGGAGGTGGTCTGCAATCCGTTGGGAGTACTATCTTCTCAGATCTGGTCCCTGTGTGAGCCACCCGGTCGTCCGCTCGAGACAGCCTAATAACCTAGGTCTCACCGAGGACTATTTCAAGGTTACGGAAATATCGTCTTTGGACTTGGGACGGGGTAAGAGATGCTCACGACAAATATATCGTACATGGACTGACCATGAGTCTCGGTGCTCCCTTGGGAGGTTTCATCAATGACGCGCTTGGTTGGCGATGGGCTTTCTTCGTCCAAGTAGGTCGTCTCATCAGTTTAGGCCTCAAACGCTCATAATCAGTTACCCATTATGCTCACTGCCATCTTCTTGATCTTCTGGAAAGTCAGATACAAGATTCAAACTGACGAAGAACCCTCCAAAGGTGAAACTTCACGTGAAAAGATAGCTCGGGTCGATTTTCTCGGTTCTCTCACCCTTGCCGGATTTGTCGGTGCGGCATTAGTAGCTGTCTCACTCCCTACTTCCTCAACTGAAGATTTCTACAAATGGACCGACCCTCTCGTTCTAGGATTATTCGCAACCAGTTTTGTGTTGTTGATCTGCTTCATATTCGTCGAAAAAAAGGCTGCAGAACCGGTACTTCCTCTGGAACTCCTGACTTCTCGTACACCTATATCTGTCGCTATCAACAACTTTCTACTTTCCATAATCGCTTTCTCGGTGGTGAGCTTTTAACTCTTCTTGTACGTATCGATGACACATGCTGAGAGGTTTAGATTTACTCAGTCCCATTATACTTCACTGCCGTTATCCTCATGTCACCAACATCGGCGGGTCAACATTTGATACCGAATTCTTTCTGCGCTGCATCGTCGAGTTTGATAGTGGGAATGGTGGTGAAACGTACACATCGGTATTATTGGTTAACCTTTTCCCTTGGTATTTTGGGTGTATTGGGGAGTATATCACTGGCTTCTTGGAAAGATCAAGTTCCAGAGTGAGTGGGCATATCGTTAGTTGTCAGCTGCAGCTGACGAAAAAAGATGGATGTTGTGGATTAACGTCGCACCTCTTACTTTCGCTGCTGGTGGTGTATCCACCGCAACGATAGTGGCCTTGATTGCAGATGTAGGAAGGGAGAATGTGGCTATAGCGACAAGTTGTGAGTCCTTCCTCCTCGTGTCTCATTCTCCCTCTTCCAAAGCTCGCTCGCTCCTCTTCTTCCACTCCTCGTAGTCACTTCTCCCTGTCTTTCCCTCACTGCCGTGTTCGTATCCTTCCCATATACTTCACAATGAACTGACAATAAGTGTCCTACGTATTCCGAACAACCGGTCAAGTCTTAGGCGTAGCCTTGAGCGGCGCCCTCACACAGTCCATCTTGACTAAAGAACTCAACTCTCGTATCACTGGTCCTGACGCATCCGAAGTGAGCCCATCTTCTTATTCATGGTGCACTCTCATATGTCTGAGAGGACAATCCACCCAGTTGATACTTTAGCTTATTAAACACATACGTCAATCGTCTCAATCCGTACGAGATCTCCCACCAAATCTACAAATCATCGCACAGCAATCTTACGCATCGGGGTTACACGCAGTGTTCGTGACTACCATTGTGACGTCTGTGCTGGCCGTGATAGTTGCTTTGGGGATGAGGGAGGTCAAAATGGATGGGCTGCCCAAGAATCAGGATCAGGAAGGAGAGGAGGTTTGAGTCACCTCATTGTGAGTGATTGGACTGTCCCCTGTAGGGAATGTAGCATCATTCATAATCCTGCAGAGTCATGATTATCATAGACACTGTCCCTCCAAAAGAGTACAATTACGGTGCTGTACTGACATTCTCAAGTCGTACCGATGCATACTCATAAGTCCATTACTGTTCAACAGATGAGATGAAATCAATCATCTCACTCTGGAGACTAGCTGCAGTGTCCGGGATCACCATTTCTTTGACACTCAACCACGAAAAATGAGTGTTACTTGCTTAATTCGGGAGGAGCTGTGCCCCCTAACTTACCCACGGAACATTGCTCCAATAAATCTCTTGGTTTGCTTGAGTAATCTATCTGACCGGCTCCCTGTTGATTCGGGGGTGGGTGGACCTAGTCTTGCTGCACGCAGGGTGTCGTCCTCTTCTCTTAGATCGGAATGCCCCAGGTGTTGGGGCAACCCACTGAGCCGTTTCCAAGCCCGAGCAGCACGTACCGCACCAGACTTACTGTCATTGATTGTATTGTCATCAGGATACAGTTCATCGATCGTCCCATGCTTGTCCCAAACCAGACCAAAGGCTCTTAATGACTGCTCCGGGAAAACGCTCGAAAGTGATGTTTCCATCCGGTGAGAAGTGCGTGTTGGCTCTGAGGATGGTGTTTGCCTTGATGACCCTGCACCACGCGACGAACCTGCTTGGCGTAAACTTGCTAGTGTCCTTGGTTGGTGGTGGGTCGACGATACCCCCGAAATGTCCTTTGACCCTTCGGTCGCTTTCAGCCATGTGGTCAAACGATCTTTTAAATCGACAATTTTTCGGTGTTCCCCTACCCACACCACTTCCGAGGCATGGCGCCCATAGTTCAAACTTTCGTCATCCAGAATGAGCATGCCGAATAAGGTGTTTGCGTTCTCTTGCATCTTCTCTGGAGTTCTGGCTGATCAACAAAATGACATTTTCTTAGAGATTGAAAGAACACTCACACTGATATTTCAGACCGCGCCGGGTTTCGGTCCCAGAGTGACTGCAGCAAGTAATATATGATTGGTGAGTCTATGTCAGTGTCAACACTCAATGCTTCAAGTGCCGCCTGCTGTTTCTGGCTGAACGCATGCCTAGGGCGACTAACATTAATTTCACTCATGATTGGTTCAGTATTACGTCGCCTGTGGTGCGCCTTGAACGTAGCAGAGTCCGGCATGACGATGTATGGTTGACTATCTGGACAGTAGTTCCACCTGATAAGTACAGAAGAGAAGGGCGGAGAGTGACTGAGTGTAAATCTTCAACTGTTTAGATGATAGTTCTACCTGCAAAAGATGAAGGGTGAAAGTGATGATCGAGTTCAAATCGATTAGTTGATGATATTACCTAGAGAAAAAGTAAGGGTGAAAGTGATTGATCACCATCGACTTTATACTGCGCCGACTAGTTCTTGCGGAGGTTTGTATCCGAGGTGAGTTTTTTGCTCACTTCTATTTGCTTCCCCGACCTTCTCACCCCCTTGACCGTCTTCTTCCATCCTCCCTTCACAGTCTGAATTTCAATCCGCCGGCTTTTGAGCTTCGGACGCTTCTTCCGCCCTGTCTCCTTTCTTCCAATAGAATCTTCTTTTACACCCGGGCTAATCGCTGTCCAAATCGTATAGATGGACGGCGATCGCGGAAAGACGGAGGACGAATTGCGGACGGATTATTCTCCTTTCTCCCTCCCTTCGCGGTCTGAGTTTCAAAACCACCGGTTTTCGAGCTTCGGATGCTTTTCTCATCCGTCAAATTTATATCGACTGAATCGTTTTCTCAATCGGAAGCTCAACCTGGTCAGATTTTACGAATGCGGGCGAGTCGCCGAAAGAGCGGTGACGATGATAGGTTATGAGAGCATCTTCGTGCCGCAAAGTGTGTTGTCAACATTCTTTTTGGTGACCGAGGGACCTTGAATATCAGTCTAAACGCAAATGTCTGACTATGTATCCCATGGCAAACGAACTAGGTAGATGATATGACCTTCGAGGAAAAGATGAGAACATGAAGGGTCCATTCGAGCATAATGAGTGAGGGAACAAGTGTTAAAGTAGTAGTGTTGATGAAAAACTCACTTGCCATTTGTATACCAACTCATCTGAACATCTCTCAGATTTCGCATCAACCCGTTCATGATCCTTCCATCTTTTACGATCCCTAAAGCTCACCTATCTTTGAACAATCGGTTCATTTTGGTACTGATACCTCTGTGAAGATACGTAAAGGCCACCAAACAGAGAGCAATGCGGAGTGGGACAAAGTCCAATGAAGGTCATTTATTGGTTCATTAAGTTGATATGAGGTTGGTATAACGTCACTTAGTACTTTGTATGATAAAAGTAAGGTGGATGATTCCGAAAGAGCTCACCTTCTTTCAGCTTATCGATATGAGGTGAAAGTGGAGGGACTGCTCAAGAATCAGGAGCAGGAAGGAGATGATGTGTGATCCATTTTGTGTGTGAAGTGATTGGACTGTCTCCATGAGGAAACGTGAACTATGAGCTGTCTGCATTTGAATGAACTAGGGGGAGAAGGGTCGTGCTTCGAGTTGTCTCCTTCATCAAGATCCACATACCCTGCATCCCTCATGATTATGCATACTCATCAACCAATTCGTGAGGTTTTGTCACAATTCATAAGCAGTGGGATTCAGCTGCCTCTCCGACCAGGTCTAACACTAAAAGAACATAGCTCGAAGGCCTATCAGTCGGCCCCTAATTTCTCTTTGGTACTGGAGGAGGAGGGTCGGCTTGCGAAGGCTGACCGAAAAACCTAGATCGAGATCGAAGGCTGTTCATGCTAGCCCTCCTCAGATCTCCGAAACTGGTCCGTTGTCGCAGTGGGCTTGACGTCTCGGAGCCTCGGCCCCCGGCTGTGTCCGATATTCCATCCGATGACCCAGAGTTCGTGGATGACGCAGATCCGGATGGTCGATGAACGGGGTCGCGTTTAGCTTGTCTTAAGTCACTATAGGATCTGAGTCTTTGCCACCCAGCGGTACGAGTACTAGAGGTCTTTGCCGGTTCCTGTGCATCAGCAGACGACAAACGACTGGGGTCCACCGCCTGAAGGGTAGGAGAACCACTCGTAGCAGCTTCCGTAACTCGTACGGGTGGTCCACCGATACGAGCTTCGTAGGCGGACAACCTTCCCGACACAATCGCTTGTATTTCTTTGGTCGACGTGCGGGTTCCATCAATCTGGCGTTTGGAGACAGTACTAGCGAAACCCAGAAATCTGTGGTCTTGGTTAAGAAGCTTGCAAAGCTGGAGACATCCTTCGTCCTCTTTCGAAGGGCTACTCGTGAGCTCATCGGTGTTTTGACAATTAAAGGAACCTACTCCCAGTCCGCGGGATCCTTCATCTTGTCCTGAGGGTATATGAGCTTCAATAGATGATACCTCACATGGGGGGCCGAAATCCCAGATATCTCACTCAGCTCCTTCAACACTGAGACCGTGCCAGGGTCCACTGCCCTCAGACGGTCCCAATCCTCCAATCCTTGTTTTTGATTGACGCGCTGCTGTGTTCTAAGAGAGTTCAAGTTCTTGCTATTCATATTGGCACCTGGAGTGCCCACTCTAGTTGTTATGGTAGATGGCATTGTTGCCGCCCTCCGGGGCTGGGACCTGGTCCATTCGGACATGAGTTCGAGTGTTTGTACGTTGAAATTGAGTCACTGGTATTCGCCCAGTAGTAAAGAGATGATGAGAAAACCGATATATACGAGTAGGGGCGTACTTGATATAGTTTGACAGTGAGGGGAGGGGATTCAAACGGACCTTAAATGTGGTAAGCCCAATCCGCTTCAGATAGCTTACCTTGACTTACTTTCCTTCCCTCTCCTACCCTGATTTCAGAATATCATCCTTTCACCATTTGACTCTCGATTCGGCGGCTTGACTCCGCTCTTATCTCCTTTCATCTCCTTTTTTCTCGTCCGAGGTTCTTTCAGGCTCCGTTGGTTTGACGATTGATAAAGGGTGGTCAAAGCGTCTTTTGTCTTTTGTGAGGAGGGGAGCGGGCGGGCAACCGGGCGATCGGGCGACCGGCTAGCCGGATGAGAGTCGTGTTGACCGCGGAAAGAGGGGAAGGGGAAATGTTGCGGAAAGGTTCGTATGTCGTCGTGAGGTGTAGGATCGTGGTGTGCCGCCTTCGCTCTCTGATGTCAGCCTGATTCAGAATATCCGATTATAAACTTCATGCCGAACGGACATGATCGGCGGATGATTTGACGTTGTGGGACAAGACGAATCCTCATATCAAAGATTCATTCGTGCCAATTGAATGATGTGACAAGGGTGAGAGTATTGATGGATAACTCACGCGTCATATGTATACCACCTTATCTGAACATCTCTCAGGTCTCTTACCTCCAAATTCATCGTGATCCTTCCATCGTTCGGCGATATCTCAAGTCCATTCATCCCTCAATAATCGGTTCATTCCAGTACCGATACCTCTGAGAAGATACGTAAAGGACATTGAATGGAGAATATCGATTGGGGGGGGGGGGGGGGGACAAAGTTCGATGAAGGCGATTTATTGGTTCATTGAGTTGATATGAGATTGGCATATTTACTTTGTGTGATGATAAGTCTAAGGTGAATGGTTCCGAAAGACATCAATTTCTTTCAGTTTAGCAATACGAAATATGAGCAATGACATGCAGGACCAAAACTTGAAGGACCGATTGGTCGTCATGTCTAAACGTCAAAGAAGGGGAAGGCCTGGATGATCAAAGGAGGCCGTGTTACACGGAGTGATAAAGTAACTTAGCTACAATCAGGATATGAGATAGCAGGAACTCTCGTCAATTTCAGGGGATTGGCAGGAATGGTTGAGATACCATATGTAAAAAGTGATTATATCATCGAGTATCCATCTATAACATCAATAAGAACATGTCTGTCAGGACAAAGTCACTTTCACCCCTCGACCTCAGTTGATACGAGTTTCAAGAGTGGAGATCGTCTTTGAGCTCCCAAGTTTGCTGGCTTGTCCGACCCTGCTCCCGTCAATCGGAATGTGTTTCAGTCTCCGCTGGTGTTTCATATCTAGCTGCATCCTCATTCGTAGACTCCACATGGGGCCAAAAAGGTTCAATCACAGACCAAAATCTGGCACGTTCTTTCTTTGCCCTCTCTGAATTGAACCAGGAGATCGCCTGTTGCTCAGCTTCGGAACCATCATCAGGACCGAAACGAGATAGGGTCAACGCTCGTTCGATTACCAGTCTCAAATTTCGTCGGGAGGGCGGTCGATCGAAATTGTACCATCGGTATGTAACTAAGACATTGGTGGCGATACCCGCGGCGTAAACGTTAAGATCTTTTCTTGCCTCGATGATCTGTTCTTCAGTCAACCCGTGACTACGCGGCATTTCTTGGGAAGCGGGATCTTCTTCGAGAGCCGTCTGAAGGTAATCCATAGTGTCCCTCAGCGTCCGCAGGTAGTATACGGTCTTTGATCTGTGACATTAGCTCACCTCTATGCGACCAGCGATGGTCTAGATGGTACGGAGCGTATCTTATGGACTATGGAGCGACAACAGATGCTCACCGAATCTCCTTGCTAGGCTTCTCATCTCGCAAAGAATACATGATCGCCTGTGGGGAAAAACATAGGTCCGGCGGTTGATGGGACCACAAGTAGAGAAGAGACAAGGGGCTCCTGTTGCTTGAGTCAGATTGGTAATTACCTGTCTTGCGATTGACATTTGAGCCGATGTCAAACCCATCATCGTCTTGCTGGTTTTCAATTGAATCTTCTTCACTCTCGGAGCTGTCAGCGTCATACCCTGCATCGGGAAGAACGGCACAATTGGTACATTCCGGCTCAATTTCTCTCAAGCAATCGATGGGGTCCTGCACTGAGGTCTTTTTCGTAGAGGGATAATCGTAGCCGCTCAATGTGATTGTCGGAGGGTCGTCAGGTGTCACGGGTGCTGGCGAATCTGGGATCGAAGACGAGCTATCATTCGGGTTTAGCCAGAAGCCTGGTCGAAGTTGGCTCGCAACCGTGGATGTGTCTTTGCCGGTCTCTATCCTTAAAGCGGACTTGTTCGATCCCGTCGAAGGTATTGACTTTGGATCATCGGGTAGCAAGGTACTCATGTTCGTAGAGAGTTGACTCAAGAATGCATGACATATTCCCTGCAAGATCATCTGAATATAAGTAGTCAGTAGGTTAGCGTGGTCGAAGGCTAGTCGGAGTTTGCTGCTTTCTCGTCTCCTCGAGATCAACTGGGGCGAAGGCGAGCCGAACATGACGTGTGGAGTCGAAGTCACTTCATTTATCGGTGTTCGACGTCATGGGAACAATGTTATAATGTCGCTCCACTCTCATGCCGATGACATAGCCTGATTGATTGAGATTCTTTCCTGTGTCTATCCTGCATTCTAAATGTACGGTGGTCCAAGTTGTTTCCTAAACACGGCCGAGAGCGCTTCCACCACTATAAGGTCAGTCACGTCCAACGATAACATGTTGACTTGCGAGTTACGGGCAAGGAAGAAGAGGATAGATGGGGTGGACGGCGTACCAAGTAATAAAACACCACCACCAGGAGCGAGACGAAGTACTTTCGGAGCGTAACCTTTGTACCACGCCCCAAGACCTTCCTTCCTCGCTATACTGACTAAAGCGGGGTAAGCCCATTCGCCCGTTCCTTTGAGCTGAACCCTAGATTTGACCACGTCGACTGAAAAGTCAGTCGAGTGAGCTTTAAATCAGATGAACTCACAAGGAGTGTTGAGGGTCGTTCCTACGAATCCACCGATTGTCCCTGCCGTGAGATTGTTGACTAATTCCTGTTTCTTGGACTGGGCATTAGCACTATATGCATGTCACGTCCTGGTCGATGTTCTCCGGTTACCTACAATCCTAGTCGAGCTCCATGGGGGCGACGATACCAGACCAAAAATTCCTCCCATGCACGAAGGGGTACAGAGGGAAAACGACGAGAAAGTAGGTGCAAAACGAACGAGGTAGACAGGAAAGAGCACGACATACAGTAGGTTTCGGCAACCATCCCTTGACTCCATGAATAGTCCCAAAATACCCAGCGTTCCACCATACATGTCTCCAGAAAGTACTTTCCATACCTTGATACAGTCTATCATCAGCATCAACCTATATTCAAATCATCCCGACGACTCACCCGAACGGCCCACTGGTGCGGAAAGAATGCGCGATCACATCCATAGGACCCTTGAAGGTCGAGCTTTTGTCTTGAAGACGGATTTTGACCAGTTCGAAAGGCGTGACGACAAAGGATTCGGTAGCCCCAGCTGCAGCACCCGTGCCGATAGCCAGACTTTGAGTCATGGTTTTCTGGCCATTCTGGGTGAACTGGGAGCCCCACCAGCCTATACGTGTGAGCGAGGTTTGTCAATGACCAATAGAAACGACAATTTTATAGCATGGCGACTAGAGCTAAGAGCAGGGAGCACGCGTTGTAGCGAGGTACACCTAGCGGATTCTCGGATGGTGGTGGTGGTGGTGGTGGTGGTGGTGGTGGTGCTGGTGTTGAGGGATAAAAGGCGAGGATGATGGGGTCACAATGAAGGTTGTGGAAGGGGAGGAAAGACTAACCGTTGGCTGCGACTGGAAATGTCAGTCAAAATTACAGGGTAACACATAAAATGGACTGACATTTCACAGCCCTTTTGGGAGCTTCGAGCATCAGAGGAGGGATGATACCTCTATACAATCTCCTTGGTCTTGAGGTTGTCAACTTTACTACACTGTTTACGTGGTCTACCACGATTTTAACTTGGAAAACTTGACATGAGATAGCACGGAGTGATGGATTTGAATATGAGAGAGAAGAGAGAAGAGAAAAGAGGGGGAAGGGAGGAGTGAGAGCATCGAGTAGATGAAGGTAACGTGGACTGCAGAAAATAAGGACAGTCGTGGGCTAAGGTGTGAGGTGGAAAGCAAGGGGAAGGAACATAACTCCGCTCACCCTTCCTGAGCAACAATGCTCTTAAAAGTCTGTATCATCCCAACTCCTCCTTTACCCGTATCGAGCTGTTGACGAGTTTTCACCACATCGAGTGGGTATAGTAACTATTTCTTCAGTTCCGCCATCTTTCCATTATACTCGCTCCATCATTCCATCTCAAACCTCACCGACGTCTCCATCTACCATATGAGTCCACCTCGTTCTTCTGTGCTTTACACCAAACCCCGTATTCTTCTTTATTTCTGGAGGTTATCGGCCCGGAAAAGCCGGAATCATGTCCTTTTTCTTCTTTCCACCCTCACGATGGACAAAGAAGAGAGGGACGACTCACGAGTAGTTCAGTACATCCTGTATATCAGCTACATATACAACAAAGAGTGGGGATGGGAATTAGGAAGGGACATACCTGCTATTGCCCCAGCTGTGAAAGTATATATAAAAGGTAAGGCTAATCTTATCAAACATTCTTCCCCGAACTCTATCACGAAGCACACTCACGTATAGGTTTTTTCAACTCTGTTGTCATACTTTACGCCCTAGATCTAGATGTACTCTATATTAACCGAAGAAACAATACGTATGTGATCTGAAGAAGCTTGAGGAAGAGAGGGATGGAATGCAAAGCACGTCAGATAGGGGGTAACAGTTTCGTTGGGGATCTTTTAAATTCCGGAATCAAACTGAATCCGGATTCGAAGCTCATGTCTCCGAATAACAGTGGCTTCAACAAGATGATAATAATACGATCTAAATGTCCTAATGCATCTCATTTACGAATACTTAAAATAATCCATATAAAACCGAACGAAACGAAGAGTCGTACCCGAGTAAAATGGAAAACCGGAAGATCGGATTCCGATTTTATCGTAACTCGATTGAGACTTGTAAAATGTCCTGAACCCAAAGGAGCCATGGAAAGGAATGACGAAAGTTGAAAAGACGCCGAAGGAAGTGGATGACTTTTCAAAGGAAGACATGAAGGACATGAGAAACATGAGAGACATGGAAGGATAGGACAGGGGAAAAGGATGACTTTAGGTATGTACCACCAAATACTATGAACGCGAGTGTCTCGGAACGCAAGAGCCTTTGTGATGGCGATAGCCTTTCTCGCAAGAGTAGGCTAGTGGTCAGTCAATCCCTGAGATACGATATTAATGGAAAGAGAGGGGTTTTATGCAGACGGGTATGATGATGGGGAAGGGAATGAAGAAAGAGGTGGAGAAGGAGAAAAGAGATGGGAATGACGCCGAAGAGATGGGATGAACAGAGGAGATGATGACTGACCGACACAGGATCCAGATACGCAAGACGTCGATGAGATTCCTGGAGCAGCAGTGCAATCAACTCCGAATAATGGAGAAGTCGTAGAGTCGATAGTTCCAATATCGAGAGAAGCGACATTAGCTTCGGCCGCTGCGTCGTCTCCTGTCGCGGGACTGACAGAGTCAGTTTACTCATTTTAATTGACTTGATATCTCTCAGGTTTTTCTCTTTCACATCGTCTGACTCCTCACGTCCTGACACCGACTTCAAACTAGGACAACATCGATGGAATAGGAATAGCGATATAGCGTTTACTTCGCAGTCACACGAGCAAATGAGGATTAGGAGACTGGAGAGTGGATTCGATACTCACAGAAGAGTAGCGCATCCACCACACGAATACATATCTTCTTTATAAACGACGCTTCTTTGTCAGTCTCATCATTCTTCATAACGTGCCAGAGATACACTTACCATTCCCATTCCGTACTTGAAGTCACGTCGCTGATCGATATAGGTGTTAATGGACAAGCTATGGAAGCTGCAGGACAACGAGCGAGGTCATTGGTGCTACCGAGTAACTTGGCAATGTAGACCGGTTGCTGATCATCAGTCGAAATTCCCCATCTCATGTGTCTACCTTCCATCCATGTAGCTAACCTCCTGATCTTCACGTCCAGCTTCGGACTTCCAATGATACAATTTTGACATCATTCTCCAACGAATGATCCCCCTTTCAACCTTTCGACCTCACTCTTTCACCAATATCTAAAATTCCTTCCTTCATAGTTCATAATACATTGCCCCATCTCAAATCGATAAAATCAGGAATATGAAAAGAAGTAAATCTTCTACTCACCTTGAGCGCCGCCCGTAAACTAGAACTAGGCGAAGGACCTGCCCGTCTCTGTTGCACAGGAACGACAGAAGCCGAACACAACGCGAAGTAGAATAAACCAGTGGCGAGTAAACTTCCGACGCGCATTTTTGAAGTTTCACGTATTATGGTCGAGTATTAAGAGTTGAAGAAGAAAGAAAGAAAAAAAAAAGAGTTCTTTGTTAAAGAGAGCTTAGAAGTGGATGAATAGACCCTAAAACTAAAAGCTGAGGAGGCGAGGTGGGAGAACTGAAGAATTAGGGAGTTTGAGGAGTATAGAGTTGACGTGTAAGGGAGAAGGTAGAAGGAAAGGTAAAGAGAAGGAATAGGGGGGACGGGCACTGAATGTTTGTTGAGGTTGATTCAAAAAGGAAGAAAAAGCCCAGTCATATCTTTCGTGATCCGTGAGACCATGCCTCAGTCATTCAATGGCTACAGTGGAACACTCTGGTCACCCCATGGTGGAAAAGCCAAGCCAAGAGTAAGGGTACTTTTTCCGGGGAAAGGGGGAACGGGGGCCCGTGTCACTCGTGTTCATGTTCAAATGAAACGCTGAGGGATCGAGGGAACAAGGTCTGGACAATTTTGATGATGAGGGACGAGAAATCGATGGTTGTGTTGGATAGATGCATCATGATCGGACCTTTTATCTCCATTGCGTACCGCGTTTTCATCCTTTTTCCCCTTTTTGTCCCTGTTTTTCTTCCTGCGCTTTCTATCAGTGAAAAGGAGAGAAAGGATGTCAGAAGATCAGAGGAGCTAGAGGAGAGAAAATGTAGATCATCTGGTAGAATGAATTTTCGTAGACAAGAGGTATGTGGGTGCCAGGGCCCAGGGGGAGAGGAAATTCCAGGGGATCAATGCTTTTTGAGAAACGAGAACCGTGCGTTAAAGGATGCGTTTCATCAGGGGTCCGTGCTTCTTGTTTCATCCAAAACCTGGTGACACCGGTCCCTGGCTCCTGACGGATCGTACGTGGCTTCCAGATGCTTGATCGGCATGGGAATGAATTCATGAGACAGTAGGCTATCATCCAATGTACACAGGTACACAGATGAGCAAGGCGATGCTGGGATGACGTATGTAATTAAGTCTTCAATAAAAAGCGGGATCAGCGTTCAGTCGGCAACCTCTCAACTCCCAAGTACATAGATGCATCTTATAAGACAGAAACATCCTCAACAAAAGACAAGTTCAAGATGTTAATAACTCCTATTCGAGTTCAAACACCGTCATCAAGCAAAGACAAGATTGAAGTCAGACCGTAATTCATTAGGCCAAAGATATGACACACTCGTCTTAAACCGTTTGACCTGGCGCCTGGCCGTGCTGCTGAGCGTTGATAGCTTCCGCTTTCGCCAAGCCAATATGTCCATTCTCACCCGGAGCAGTACCTCCATATCCCCGTCCACCGACGGGTTGACTCGCGCCACCTCCACCACCCGTCTGAACGGCACCAATTCCCGGTGCACCAGTCTGGCCGACTGGTGCGCCTGTGCCAGGCGCCGGATCTACAGGAGCGTGGGATTCATGTAGAGCCGCGAGCTTTTGGTCGCGTTGGATCGAATGCTCTTTGTGCTGCGCGTCAATGTTTATCTCCGGTTCCCGACTCAGAGGGAGAACCATCTGTTCGGAAGCGAGAAGAGAGACATGTCTTCAACAGTACACGAAAATCTCCCTTTCCCTCAGGGTTGAAAAGGGAAGGTGGTCCGTAGATAGGTGACGAGGCGGGACGTGGGGGAAACAGATCGGTTGGTAATCACTCACAGTGTGTTGTACATGATCCAGGTTCGCTTTACTTTGCTGTGCCACCCCGACAATCCTCTGATGCTCTGCGGATTTACGTTGAGCCTCATTAGCCGTGGCGTTGGCTTTGGAAACGGCGTCGTTGTGTTCTTTGCGTCAGCTCTTTTTTCCCGCTGTTATCACCTCTACTTCACCGATACCAGTGATACATATAACTTGGCTGATATATCTTTTCCCTATGGATCAAAGTCTGCGGAGGAGGCGGATGAAGAGAGAATGGAGCCACAATGAGAAAACTCACTATGAGTCAATTTCTCCAGCTCGGATTGAAGCTTAGCTTCCGTCTTGACAGCCTTTTCGTGTGTCTATCATCAGCTACGTTCTTTCATTCTCTATACTTTGACGAATCTCCGAGGTGACACATCATGTGTGATGATTGACGGAACGACTGGTAGACGAAGAGAGTAAAATTGAGAACATACAGCGTGAGCGGATCGTTCTTGCTTAGTAGCATTATGTTCCGATTTTTCCGCATGAGCTACGTCTTTCAGAGCGTTCTTGACGGTTTTATCATCGTGTTTGGCCTCTACGTCATAAGCATCCGATCCTGATTTCTTGACCGACCTGGTGATATCGCAAAGGTGCCAACGTGAAGAACTAGCGGAGCGGGTAGCCAACGAGAGCGATTTCCTAGTCCCAGACAAAACAGACCTGGTTGTTCGTCATGTGAAACTCAAGATATAGCTTCAGAAACGATCTGAACCACACACCTGGAGGTGCCACCAAACGGTCTTATCTTTGCCGCCGGGCCGGAGGTTCGATGAGGGAAGGGGAGCGATTGTGAGAGCCGGCGAAACACTCACCATTGGCCAACATCTTCTCTTCTCTCTTCACCGGGTCAGAAGTTCCGAACAAGCCCATTATGAGATATCGAGTTGGGTAGATACGTCAGAATACACAGGAAATGAGTAGAAATGGATGGATAGTAGCTTGGTGGTTGAATGAATGTGGGGACAAGGCAGGTGGGGCGGGTTTATGCGGGTTGTAGAAGGAAGAGTGACGTCATAGCTTTTTGTGTGGAGCCCCAGAGCGATTAGCGGCTTGTGGCTGATCGTCGAATCCGGCTTCGCTTCATGCGGCATGCGGGCATGGTTCTTACTCTAACTATATAAGCAATGGTACCCAATACGATGGGAATGGTCCATACTCATACTGCAGACAGGTATCAACTTGATGGATGAAACGGAAAGTACAGGTACAATGGGAAGAAAGTCGGATCAGTTATAAGGACAACCATCCGAACATATCACCCTTCTCATCCTCGGCCCATTCGATTCAGAAACAAACCTCACTGCAGCTACCAAGTGTTTCATCATCACTCTGAATGTCGACATAGTCCAGGATGAATATTTTTTATAACTTGGAAGATGAGGGTCACATGCAAGTCCTCTAGATCAAGGTATCTGAAAGATGAGTGGTGTAGCGGTTTAACACACTCGCTGGGGGCTCTCCTGTGCGGTCCTGCTCGGCGCGATAGCAGTGGGAAACCGCTGCTTTCGCGCCGAGCAGTCAACCTGCGACATGCAGGAAGGTGAACTCTGAGAGAAACCCGAGTTCAACTCTCGGCTTGTCTATTTTGTCCTGTTTCTCCCGGAGGTAGAAACGTGTTTGGCATGTGAGGAGGAAGGAAACGAGGGGTGGATTTTCCCGGCCAACGGGAGTGGGAAGTAAGATGGAGTGAAAGTATTCTTTTCGTCGTGGTATTCGTTATCGAGTCATCGATCACCTAACCTGACAGAGAATTGAGATCTGAAGTAGGGTAGGAGGCACGAAGAGAAGGGAATGTGAGGTTATGTAGATGCATCTTCTCCAAAGACGGATATGATACATCAAGGATTAAGGGGTTATCGCTTCTCATTGACTAATTCTCCACAAACGATATATTTTCTTTCGAAATGTTCGTGCCATCCTTGCATATTTTCTCTGCTTCGTCAGTCCTTATTCTGATGATGTCGACGTACATTTCAGACTTTGTTAGATCTGATAACAAGTCCAATGGTTGATCCAACGGAGTAATCATATCTATTTTCATAAGCGTCTTCCAGGATCACTAAGGTCAAGTAAAACTCACCATCGTCGAAGGATTGCTTGGCCATACCTCTACTAGCATCCCTTCCAGCAAAGTTACCGTACATACCATCTGTCATCAGTCCGACTTCCACCTTCAGATCCTACTAAGAAAACACCATGACCTTGCTGTGAAGATGATTCAAGCTTTACGATTTTAGGAATTTTGGTACGCTTTCAATGAATTGTGCGGCGACCGCGGGGGAATACAGCCTGATAAGTTATGAATCATGCGAAAACTCACCTGGTCCATAGAAACTTCTTCCAGAAGTCACATCAAATACCGTTCTCTCTTCTCCTCCCTTGATTACACCATCTCTCCCCACACGCATGATAGCAAGTAATATCCTTTCCCCTGGATTCTTCCCATCGTATATCGATAGTTCCTCCGGTGTATATTTCTTATATACTAATACTTCCGGATGTTTAGCAGGCATCCAGTTGTATATCTCATTGGAGTAGTTGGAGGGGATGATTGATGGATCTGTTGAAGGTGATGGGAAGATGAGACGATAAGCGAGGTAGAGGATGGGAGGGATGAGAAGTAGGTTTAAGGGATTCGAAAGTGACATGCTGATTGTCGGCACTACCTACACGTCGAGGACAAGCTGATGATTGTCGACAATGTTCGTTCGTCAGAATCAGTCAGTCATGTCTCTATGTGGAATGATGGACAAGGTTTATGAGGGGTGAAACGTGTTCCTTCGGCAAAAGGGAATGTTCGGCCGCCACCAAAAAGTAAGGTAGTGACGATTACAACCGCCGCCGTCATAACCGTCTTCTTCACTCTCTTTCTCCTCTCTACATTCCACCTTGTTTCCCTCCCTTAGACCATGAGATAATCGCTTTCCTCCATTTGCCTGTATTGAAAAAAGTATAGTTATGTTATCCAGCAGAGCTGGTCCCTCTGGTACTCATTGGAATGTGGTGACGCGGCCCATTCGGAATGTCCCCAACGTCACCTCGGGCAGACGATCCAAAGCCTCGTTTTCCTGTAGGTTTCGTTTCACCCTCTGGTCAAGAGAATCGACATCTTGACTCGATCGAAAGAGGCTGGCAGGCTGACGTCCTTATAGCTCATTCATCTTCGATCCTTTACGCTGCAACCACAAATACCCTCTCAATTCGAACATTCAACTCTCGTCGACTTCCTTCGGCCATCTCACTCGTCGCTCTCGATCCTTCGTCCTTTCGATCCGCACGTGACAGCAGGTACATCACCACAGAGCCCACTCGTACAGCTCAACCGTCTGTCCCTCCTCCCGCAGCTCCTCTGACCAAATCTATTCAAGATGATACTGAAGTTAAGGGAGTACCACCACCTGGATCCCCTCCTCCTACACCTCCTTTACCCATCTCTGCCATACCGCCAAAAATCGCCGAGGTGGCGGAGAAAGAAGCCAAGGAAGTGAAAAAGAAGGAAGAGCCAAAAGGGTCACTGCCCAGTAGAGTGTGGACCACAGTCAAAAAGGAGGCTCAGCATTATTGGCAGGGTACGAAACTATTGGGGCAGGAAATAAAAATCAGTTCGAAGTTACAGTGGAAGGTACTTAATGGTGGAACTCTTACTCGACGTGAACGAAGACAGGTATGTGATTTCCTGGTGGCCAGCTAGAAATCAGATGAAAGGATGTGGCTGACCATATAGTTGAGACGCACAACTACGGATCTACTGAGATTATTACCCTTCAGTGTCTTCGTCATCGTACCCTTCATGGAATTCCTCCTTCCTATCGCCTTAAGGTTATTCCCCAATATGCTTCCATCAACTTTTGAAGGGGAATTTGCTGCTGTTAGTGTCTTCTGAGCCTCAGCTAGTGGCTGCTGTAATTCTGAGCTGATGAATAGGCGGAGAAACAACGTAAATTACTGAGAGTACGAATCGAAATGGCCAAATTCCTTCAAGAAACAGTACGAGAAAGTGGGTTGAAAGCAGATGCAGTAGTCAAGAGTGATGAATTCAAGCAATTCTTCCGCAAAGTCGGTGCTACCTTTCAACTCCTTGGTTTAGCTGACTCATCTAGGTACGCTCGACCGGCGAAACTCCTTCACAAGCCGATGTTGTCCGAGTTGCCAAGTTGTTCCACGATGATATCACTCTCGACAATCTTTCCAGACCTCAATTGGTGTCAATGTGTAAATACATCGGCATCAACGCTTTTGGAACAGACAATCTGCTCAAGCATCAAATCCGGAATCGTCTTGAGAAAGTCCGAGTGGACGATATGGTGAGACATTTCATACTAAGTTTTCTGTCGCAGACTAATCTTCTAGATGATTCATGCGGAGGGAGTCGATTCACTGTCTACCAAAGAACTACAACAGGCCTGTCAATCTCGGGGTATTCGTTTCCAAGGCGTCTCACCTGCCAGGCTACGGGAAGAGTTAGAACAATGGATTGATTTCCATTATATCAACGGTATATCTGGTGTGTTATTGGTGCTCAGTCGTGCTTTCAACTTTGAGAGCAAAGGGGACAACGTCATGGGGGCTTTGATAACAACCCTTTCAAGTCTTCCGGAGAATTTGGTACGTGACCTTCTGTCAAGCCCAATGAAACGTGAAGCTGACGACTGAGATTAACGAAGCCGAGTTACATGTCGCGGAAGATGCAACATTCAGGCAAAAATTAGAGGTCTTGCAACAACAACAAGAGTTGATTGAAGATGAGGCAGAGCAGGAACAGGTGGGTCATTCGTCGTTCCTTCCTGACATTGCTGATGTGTTTAGAAAGAAGTGGAGGCACGCAAGGCTGACGAGGCCGCTAAGAAAGAGGCGGAGGCTGCTAAAAAGGAAGCCGAGGTTGCGGCGAAGGAAGCTGAAGAGCCGGAGAAGACAGAACAGCCTACCACGGAACCCGAAGCAGCTGCAAAAGTTGCAAAGGTGGAAGAAGAAACGGCTGCAGCTGCCGCTGCAGCAGCGGCTGAGGATGCTAGGATGACCAAGGAGCAATTGGGAGAGTTGGCTGAGGCTTTGAACATTCTTACTGCAAAGAGCAGTATCGTCAAAGAGAGAGATGAGCTAGCCGCTCTGTTGGAGGATAATCTCTTGTCCGAAGCTGTGAGTGCTTCCCCAAATTGCCCTTCCCCTCTCTTCTTTATCAACTTTTGACTCAATCTTCACCCTGCAGGCGTCATCGATTCCTGTGGCTCATATCTAATCATCTCACTCTAGTGCTGGACCATCACTGACTTCTCAGGAAAGCAAAGAACGTCCAGACGAAACAGATCAAGCTTCTATTGCCGTGTCCAAACGCGTCCGCTCCATGATTAAGAAGATCGATACTCAGCTGGAGAAATACGACGAAAAGGTCGGCTCGAGCTTGAATGTTATTCAGACCAATGTCAAGGGACAAATCTCCTTGGCCGATCTGGAAAGAGCATTACGGGTGATCAAACATGCCCCGCCGGAGGAGGCGATACAAGGATTGGGCAAGAAGCTGGATGTGGATTCTGATGGCTTTGTGGTACGTTCAGCGCTACCCTCCATCCATTGAATTTACCCTCACAAACCTGTGCTGTTGTTCTTGAGTGAGACTTCGGTATTGAGCTTCATGATATATCAGACTGGTAGGTGAACACACACGCTGACATGAAGGAACTCGATCATGTTGTGGAATTGACCCAGGACCGAGGACTGGGAATCACCCCAGAAGATGCAGCTGCCAAAGATATCTTGTCTTCCGGGAAAGATATCCGACAGAAGGATATCAAACAACTCAAGCGAGTCTCCCTTACCTCTTCTGTCAAACAAAGCTGACGGACAGACCGAAACGCGAGGACATTGTTGCAGACGAATAAATCCCATCTCACAAACACTAAGCATATGCATAAACTTGCACAAACAAAACATCTACTCATCACTCATCTCGCGTTAGATACATCCTTTATACATACCTATACAGGGGGTACAAAGGACCTATCTCAAACCCCTCCTCAGTAATGTTCTGGACTTGTCAATTTGACGGAGCTGATTGTGTTTGGATGTTTTCCCGGGCGTGAGTGACGTTTCTCATCTTTGGGAAACTCACCTCTTCTATTATCACTAAAAAAAAGCTCGTTGATCGAGTGTACAACAACGGTCGTGTCATCAAAGATGGCCCGGCCTACGGTCAGTTGGATAGGATACAATTTGTTCCGACTAACAGCCGTCATCTTTCTAACATGGGCGTTTGTTGCTCAATTCCTCGCATTAGCTTCGTACGTCTTTTTCCTACCTCAAATGGACATATCCTGATGAATTAGGGATATTCAAGCTAAAAATCACATTTCTACAACCCTTGTCTCGCAGACTATAGCCGCCGATACGGGACAGTCATCATCTTCGTCAGCAACTTTGACGAGTGTCGCTTTGACCTCCACGACGGCATCACTACCCACCATCGTCTTGGGTGAAGGTAGCTCAACTCCGAGTATCACAGCAGATGCTGGGGATGCGATCACAGCCACGACTACAGCTACGTCGAGTATTTTAGGCTTGGAGCAAAGTTTGCCGACTTATATACCAGGAGAAAGACCTCGTCGCTTTTACGGACGCCGTGCTTTCAGAGGAGATAGGGTACTGGTTTCCAGGGATGAGACTCAGGATAGCGGGTGGGTGGCGGGAAGTAGTTTGCCTGATCAGCCAGGAGGAACGGGGTTTGCTATTTTGTCGAGATTGATCATAGGTCAGTAACACCCGTCCTCTCCCTTTCCGTCCCGTCAAGTCCGTATCCTCAGTATCTGATCGCCACCGATGACACCACACAAATCCATTCCGACTTAGACAACACATGATGCGTTATATAAGATAGGAATAATGAGCTTTCGGGAGAGGTGTCGAGGAACGCAACTGACACCTAGCCGTCTCGATAAGTATCCTGATCCTAGCTCAAGTCGGCTCGCCAGAAGATTTGCTACACGACCACTTTGGTTGGCTCGGACCTCAATCCACACCTCTATTTTTGGGATCACTTCAGATCATGTGAGCTTCGCTTTGCGATGGATTTGCGAGCTGACGAAAAGTATCTCAGTTGAGAATCTCAGAACTTAGTGAGTAGCCGCATGAACGCATGGCGAGGAAGCTAATGAGATAGTGAGAAGAAAGGGTTCTTGATACCTGCCTGGGCGCTGTTAGTGATTGGTAGTTTGAATGTTGTGTTCGTGAGTGCACTTTCATGATTTTCTCCTCATCCTCTGCTCCTTGTGTCTTTCTCTCGCCCTTTCCCGGTTCAATCGACCAAGCCACGTCAGCCTGAATAATCAATACTTACATGCAGGGCCTGATACTCCGACTCATATCACGACGTATGCCCAAAACACCCCCGCCGGCATTATGGTTCAATCTCTCTCATCGATTCTTCTTCTGGACCCGTCTTCCTAAATGTTACCCCCAATTGTTTCAGAAGCCCAAGCCTGCATCGGATCTGGAAGACGACGAGAAACAAGATATTGAAGAGGGACTCGTCACTGATCCAGTGGCAGCCATGACACAAGAGCAAGATCCTTCCAAAGTGCGGAAACCTCGAGGAGAGCGTGATGCTTCACGTGAAGATCGACACGGACGGCCTGAAGAGAGAAAAGCTAAGAAGGAAGGTTTAAGAAGGACAGCCGAGAAAGATGAACGGTTAGAACGATATCGGGATGTTAGACAAGGTGGTTATCCAACTTTCTCCGGTAATGACCCAAATACAGCAGGAAGACATGTTCCTGCCGGTACTCTCGAAAGAGGAAAAGATGGTCGAGAGGTATATCTCAACGAAGCGGAGAAGGCTCGAGCGATGAAACAACCACTTACTTCCCGACAACCTAAACAACTTTCGACTGGCAATCCGGTAATTGAAGGAGCTCGAAGGGAAAGAAGATCTCCACCGAGACCATTGACCTTGGCTCAACCTAAACAAGAGGAATACGTTGCGGAACCTGAGTCTTCCACTTTACCGAAAGCGAACATACCTCCTCAAATTAATTCTGTCAATGAACAAGTTCCGGCCCATCTCACTCCAGGAGCACCTTCGCGTTCACAAAGAGATGTCAGTACCGAAGCTATGAAACATCGTTCCGCCACGGTGTATGATTACAACCTTTATGACGAATTCCGTAAATCTGTTCATTCGGTCAAAGCTGCAGCGACGGATTTAGGTCCTCAATTCCCTTTACCGCCCAATCGACTAGCTGACACTGATTCACGTGGTCAAAATGGAGAAGGAAATACGCAATCTAATGTAAGAGCGTTACCAGGATCAGATGCACTTGTGAGATCTCCAAGTGGGACAATGTTCAGACGTCCACCACAACGACAAACCCTTCTCAATCCTCCCACACGCTCTAATTCCGTCCCACCTCAGGCTTCAATGGAAGATACTACAACAGTCACCCCGAATAAGATAATGTTACCAAGTCAAGTCACCGCGGCTCTGAAGGCATTGGATCAAGTAAATCAAGTGAACAAAGATAGTAAAGAGGAAGAAGATCAGAAGAAGAAACCTAAAAAAGCTAGAGAATTATCTTCAGGTAATCAATCTGCCACTGCTTCAGCACCTTCAAAACGATCAATGACTGGGGCTAGATTTGAATTATCTCCTTTATCAGAAGTCTCAGAGGATTCACATCCTTCTGCAGGTGTACCAAATACCGCAAGAACAATCGGTATCAAAAGTCCCAGTACCGCTAGAACCCTAGATGCTGCTGGTGTCACACATACTCCAAGTCTCATGAAGACACCAAAAACTGCGGGAACTATTGGATCGATAGGTAGTGAGGGTTCAGTAGGTGGGGGATCGGAAGAAGAAGTTGATGTTGGTGAAAAAGCTACTATGGAGCAAGTGACGGGAATAAGGATACCAGGTGTAGGATGGACTTTACCAATGTCTTTAGGAAGTTTCAATATTCTGGGAGGTGGGGAGAGTACTGGACCTTCGGAAACTTTGAATGATGGAGGGTCTGTAATAGATGATGGAGAGGAAAATGGAGTAGAGGTGGAAAGACCTGGAATGGTAGCTAGAAAAAGCTCTAATGACGTGAATCCGTCTCGACGTGAAGAAGATGATGATGGGAAAGGGGTGCGTGCAGTCGATGAAGTCCCGGAAAGTGGGACTACAAGGGAGAGGAAGTCTGAGGTGAAGAAAGATAAAGATGTGAGAAGTGAAAGGAGAGAAAGATCAGATGCTGGTGAGGGATCAAGAAGTCGAAGTCAAGAGAAATCAGAAGATAGAAAACAACCAGATTTACGTCAAAGTGAAGAGAAACGAAGGATAAAGTATGAGAAAGCGTCCAGAGAAGAGAGACCAAAGCGGGAGAAAAAGGATGGAGATGAGAGGATAACAGAAGGGAAAGAAGAGAGAAAAAGGGTGAAGGAGAAAAATGACAATTCAGTGGAAGGACAAGAACGTCGAAGAGCCGCTCGAGATGAAACATCAGAAGAAAGAGAAGAACGTCGGAAACGGCTCAAAGAAAGAGCACCGAGAGAGAAATTAGGGGAAGATTCTGAGATCCGAAGTTCAGGTAGTTCAGAAGGAAGGAAAGATAAGATTAAAAGAAGTAAGAGTGAACGTATCAAACCTTCCAATGTCGATGAAGGTACAAGTGAAGACTTCAAGAGAAGAGAAAGACGTTCAAGTAGTATAGATTTAGATACATGATGCATTTCTTTCTTGCACTGCTTTTCATATAAGATGATCTTAATCCCCACACGAGTCTGGGGCGGACCGTCGCATTCACTCTGCCACACTTGTCTGATACAGAGTAACTATCACTTCAACACTCTACATGCCTCTTTGTCAGGAGATGGTTTGATCTTTCTTGACATTATATACCTCACTTAAACGCATCTTGACGTATTTCCCAGCAGTGATAGGTTGGTATCTCCAAGGTCTGTCCACTGTCACGCAAGTAGGAGGAGGTATGAGAGGTACGTCATGGTCACATCCGAAGAAAAAAGGGATAGAATATCGAGGATGAGTTTTAGCTGGGAGTGCACGATGTCGAGTGGAAACGAATATGTCATCTGGGTGTTAGTAACATTCCACTCATCTCTATCAAACTCTTTTTTTTGTCTTTTTCATTTCTCTCTTAGTGTCATCTGGACCCCAAGCTGCGCTCTCCTCTAAGGAAAAGCCATTGATGACGTTACATGTGAGGAATTATAAAGGAATTTCATGGTATAGTTGGATATATTTGTAAAGAGGCTGACGACAGATGTAGCGATAACGTTCTAACGGAGAAAATCAGGCCTGACTCACTCGTCCATCTGGCGAATTGATCACCTATGTTGATGATAAATGTTCCAGGTATACAAACTGCGTCTATCCCTATCTGTCAACTTCATCATATCTTCATACTTAGCATGAGAAAATACTCACAAACACCTTTACGATTTTGTACCTGTAAACCAGGTACATCACCTTGACACAAGATGGTGAAACATTCAAAGTCCGTATGAGCCTCAATGTCAGATCATAGATTCGTAATCATGCGGTGAGGGGAGGATACTCACTCCGATCCCAGGTGTTCGTTCGTCTACTTCTGCATTACCCATTGCTGGGTAATGTAATAATCTCATAATCGCCGCGGGATGTTGGATCTGGACGTTCAGCTCTTGAGTAAGTAATGAAGAATGTATGTATGTACTCACTTTATCATCGAAAAAGTTTTCGGGTAGATCAAGAGCTAAGGCAAACAAGGGGAACAAGGATTGTCCCAGTTTCAGGAGTGCGGAACTTTGCTCAACTCTCTCATCTGTGCTGTGTCTGAAAGAAGGTAGAGACAGGGAGAACAGGAAAGGGTAGATTGGGGGACGAAAGAAAAAGAAGTGAGACAGGAGGAGATACGAGGGGGAAGAGAAGGTGTACAAACTCACTAATATTCTAATACTGCCGCTTTCTGTGATCAGTAGGCTCATAGCCAGGGAAAGAGTAAGCTCACGAAGTTTGCAGCATCTCTCCAATCGCTCTGAGAAGGCCAAAGATTCTCACTATGCTCCAAATCCTCCGTCTCCCCTTGAACCCTCTTGTCTTCTTGATGCTTGAACACATCCGGGGCTAAAGTCGGGTCTAAACCAATATTGAAAGCCTCATGCATTTCACCTTTGTTAGCGGGATCATTGTTCTCCGTCAAAAGTCCCATATATCCACGGAAGTTAGAAGAGTGAGATACATCCACCTATCCGTCAATCACATATGATAGATCAAGGATAACATACCGTTTCTTTAGCTTCCACGGGGAGATGGAAGAATGACTCGGACATGGAAAAAGTACGATTTATGATAGCGGATGGGACTGGATGATTTTTGACTGCTGGATCAGCTTCTAAACACTTGGTGTATGATATGAGAACTTACCATAGAAGAATCCAGCGTTAAGACAGGCATGACGGATTTCCTTCGCCAGAAGTTCACGCTTTTCTAGCGAAGGCGACGCAGCATCGGTCAAGTCACTCATGGTCAGTAGGCACTACAATAGGAATAGGAACGGAGCTCTCACATGATGGGGATTTCAGAAAAGTCTGTAGCTATCAGTTCATCCGCTAAGGCAGCGAGAGAGGTCATATTTGTTCAAAGTCGAGTAGGATGGGAGTGATCAGAACGTTGGCCGGGTAGGTCGGTGATAAGAAGAGTGGGGGAGGGTGGGGGAAAGTCAAGTCCTTTATCAAAAAAAACTCCGTGTGCTGCCATATTGCTGTTTCTCTTCAACCTGCCAGCGATCGTGATCTTCAACGCTCTAAATAGACCATTGCCAGCGATGTGAGACTCGGATCGCAGATCGCAGCAGAAAGAGGGTGTGGGAACGTTGGAACCCTTCTTGCCGACATTTCGAGCCAACCTGCCCAAACAAGGATATCTCACACAAGAAGCTTGCCCTCAATCCACCCTCCTTTTCGCCATCATATCGTGGTCATCGATACAAAATCCCTTGCAAGTAGTATTTTACCTGCTACCATCGATCAAGTGCACATGTGCTCCCCTTCGTACAAGCGTACTTTACTCGACGTTTATGTCCATGTCGGTCAAGAAGTTACCGGCCCGGGCCGGCCGGAAATGCCGGGTATTCGGTCCGCATACGCCCTCTTGCTGCTAAACTTTGCTTCTGCCCGTGTATAAGCTGAACCATCTCAAACAGTATGTTTCCCTCCACTCTCTCATATCTATTCTTCACTTCACTATCACTATACAACACACTATGTCAGCTCCGTGCGAAGGATGTACTTGCGGTCGAGCGCAAGGAAATGTCTTGTCACCGTTGGAACAAGAAGAACAATTTCATGAACGTCCAGAAAGAAGTTTCACCAGTCCTCTGGATTGGGTTGAGCCGACCGAGGGTATAGAACCTGCTGTACCTCTCAGATCCAAGAAATGGTTCAATTCTCCTGAAGATGGTGAGTGCTGTCATATTCTTGTCGTGCCATAAGCTGGAAGGTAGGAGAATTGTGGCTGACCTTCAGATATGTGTGCAGGCTATGTTGAACGATTCTTGAACGGAGGTCTGACAAGTGAGCCTCTCTCGTAAAAGATGTAGATAGAGGAACTAATAGATCAGTGGGAGAAATCACTGCCAAGAAGAAGCCTATCATTGGTATCGCTCAAACTGGATCGGATCTCGCACCGTGTAATTCACACCATGTCCAATTGGCCAAACGAGTCAGGGACGGTATTCTCGCTGCTGGTGGAACACCATTCGAGTTCCCTTGTCATCCTATTCAAGAGACTGCAAAGCGTCCTACAGCCGCACTGGATCGTAATCTGGCCTACTTGAGTTTAGTCGAGGTGTTGTTCGGTTACCCACTCGACGGCGTAGTGCTTCTCACGGGGTGTGACAAGACGTGAGTCATCCATATCATATATATTGGCTGAGATTGACTGGAAGAACCCCTGCTCTTCTTATGGCAGCTGCGACGGTCAACATTCCTGCTATCTGTATGAACGTTGGTCCTATGCTCAACGGTGAGTCATTCCACATCGGTAAGAGACGGCAAGACTCATCGCAGGATACGCAGGAAGTCGATTGGTCGGTTCTGGAGGTGTGGTCTGGGACAGTCGTCTTCTTCTTTCAGCTGGTAAAATCACCGAAGCTCAATATATGCAACGTGTTTCCCTTTCTGCACCATCGTGAGTATTTCTCATCCGTCTTACAGTCTCCGTCTGTCGATGGCGTTGAAGGGGCAGAGCTGACTCGAGCTAGAGTGGGTCATTGCAATACTATGGGCACAGCATCAACTATGAACGCTATGGCAGAAGCGCTCGGTATGGCTCTTCCTGGATCAGCTTCCATCCCTGCTGTCTACCGTGAACGTGGTGCTTGCGCCTATCAAACCGGACGTAGGGCTGTCGAATTGGTCATGGAAGATGTCAAACCTTCTGATATCCTTACTAAAGCCGCTTTCGAAAACGCTATCGCCGCGTGTACGGCAATTGGTGGATCGACAAATGCTCCTATCCACTTGAACGCTATCGCTAAACATATCGGTGTGGATTTGACTTGCGATGATTGGGAACGTGTGGGATATCATCTTCCATTATTGCTTAATATCCAACCTGCTGGAAAATATCTTTGTGAAGAATATCATCGTGCTGGTGGATTACCTGGTGAGTTGTCCTTGCTTCCGTTCTGTGCCCGATTTCCAATCTCATTGTACTTAAATCCGACTTTCGACTCGCAGCGAATTCATCCATCTCAAGAGTCGCTGTTCGAGGCGTTCTGACAAACGATTTTTCGCTGACATAATAGCTATCATGGCGGAACTTATCCAAGCTGGAAAACTCCCACATCCAGACGCTATGACAGTCTCAGGTCAAACCATGGGAGATAATTGTCGTGGTGATCTCACAAACGACTCCAGAGTCATATTACCCTTCGATAAACCTCTCATGGAAGAAGCTGGTTTCCTCAACCTCAAAGGTACTCTTTTCGATTCGGCAATTATGAAAACTTCCGTTATCTCACCTGCGTTCAGAGAACAATATTTGAGTAAACCTGATGATCCTATGGCTTTCGAAGGTCCCGTAGCGGTATTCGATGGTCCCGAGGAATATCATCATGATATCGAAACTAGGAAAGATATAAAAGCTGGAACTATTTTGATAATGAGAGGTACGGGACCGAAAGGATATCCTGGTTCTGCAGAAGTGGTTAATATGATTCCTCCTGGTGAATTGATCAAACAAGGTGTAGAGGTGAGTTTTGGTAATTCATACTTTCGTTCTACTTCTTCAGAATCTTTCGCAGTTTCTTACTTCTCTCCCTCTTCCCTTTCTCAAAACCGTCTTTATTACTTTGCGTCGTCCATTCTTTCCACATTACCTCATGTTCGTTATCATGATAGTTTTCAAATACGACATATTGTCATAATCCTCTATATCTCGAGAACATGATGTACTGTATACCACTTTTATATCATCAGACGACAATCGAACACGACTAACGCTCAGTTGCCATGTATCGGAGACGGTCGTCAATCCGGTACTTCCGGTTCCCCGTCAATCCTCAACGCTTCCCCTGAAGCTGCAACTGGTGGAATGTTAGGATACCTTAAAGATGGTGATATAATCCGTATCGACTTGAACAAACGTACCGCCGATGTAAAACTCACTCCTGAAGAAATCACCGCTCGTAAAGCTGAATTGGGTCCTTATAAGATTCCGACAAACCAAACACCTTGGCAAGAGATCTTCCGTAATCTCGTTGGGGAATTGAGCGAGGGAATGGTGTTTGATATGGCTACAAAGTATCAACGTGTGGCACAGGTTCATGGAGTTGGAAGGAGGAATCATTGAGATTTCTTCTATCATACTTTGAGTACTTTCTTGGTCGATCGTGTTTCATTTTTCATCTGGCTAGTAGATATGTATATCATTCATGCATCTACATCGTGTATACGGTCCTTATTCTCGAGTTCTATTCTCCTTTTCATTCTTGATATGATACGCAGGAAACGTTGAGTACTTTACCATACTCGTACTTCACTAGTCAACCTTCGTAGTGGTAGATCGTTCTTCCTTGTTTTCTGAAGAATCATATTTTATATCCCAAGCTTTTAGTCCATCTTCCAAAGATTTATCCAAAGCTTTGATATACCTAGGTATTCCACCTATATAATTCAGAGCTTCAACTCTTTTACCAGGTATATTACTCCCTTGATACCAACTTTTAGCATTTGGAAATAAACTTTTCCCCCAAACTTCCCTACATTCCAATGTCCATTTCTCTTCTTCATCCTTTTTAGTCTCCCACTTTACTATTCCCTTCTCCTTTACCATCTCAAAAACCTTTCCTAACCAATTACCTTGAATAGAAGCTGAAATAGGTCCATTACCAAAAGCCGATGGTGCTTGAGGACCGTAAATCATGAATAAATTAGGAAAACCATTTACCATCATTCCTAAAGTAGTTTTAACTCCTTCAGACCAATGATCAGAAATACTTTCATCTTTATCATTCTTAACATTCATATTTTCCATTCCTTTAGTCAAAGCGTTAAATCCAGTCGCTAAAATGATCAAATCGAATTTCTTTTCATCATCTTTTGTCTTTATACCTTCTTGTGTGATTTTCAAAATAGGGTTTTCATTCAAATCGATTAAATCAACATGAGGTAAATTAAAACATTCGTAATAATTAATCTCGAGACTAGGTCGTTTTGTACCGAATGGATGAGGTTGTTTCATAGGTGCTAATTTTTCTTTGAGGTTCTCATCTTGTATCCTTTTACGAATCCTATCACGCCAAAATTCGTATACTATTTCATTCGCTTTTTCATCGGAATAAACGTCATGGTAATTATTGAGCCATAATCCGAAACCACCTTCTTCCATTAATGATTGAAACAATTCTTCTCTTTTTTCAAATGATTCGGAGAACAGACTTTGAGGGAGGAAATCATATGGGAATCCAGCGAATGTGGTAAGGGTTTTATTGAAGGCGGTTTGATAAGTTCCATCTGATTTTTTCTTCTTATTTTCCGAAGGTGAAAGAGATCTTTGAACCATTGGAAGACAGAAATTAGGTGTACGTTGATAGACTGTTAATTGGGATGTGATAGGTGCTATTTCTTGAATGATTTGAACACCAGAAGCACCTGTACCAATTACGGCAACTGATTTGTCTTTTAGGTCGATACCCGTTTGAGGCCATTCCTATCATATTTGTTAGTCCCTTTCTTATATCCAAGCTGAGAATAACGAGGGAACATCGAAGACATGTGGGTATACACTCCTAGGAACGGAAAGGCACAAACGGGTCAACAAGGTGAAGGGCAGGGAGGTGTAAGGAGTGGATGAGAGTGACATGCAAAAACTCACAGCACTATGAACCAATTGTCCCTTGAACAACTCCATTCCTTCAATTTTAGGTTTATAAATCTCTCCTGATAAACCAATACCAGCAATAAACCATCTCCCTTTAACTTTCCCTTCAGTCAATCCTCCTTCTTTATCTTGACGAACATACTTGACTTCCCAAAAACAAGCTTCATTATCCCACTTAGCACCTATAACTTTGCTTCCATACCACGTATCCTTGCTGAAATTCAACTTGGAATCCACATGATCGAAATATCGACATAATTCATCTCGTCCAGGATACCTCTCACGAAAATCGAATCCTTCCCATAGCTCCGGGTCAGGGATTTGATAAACCGGTTCGGGAGTGTCGACCCTGGCACCGGGGTAACAGTTCCAATACCATACACCTCCTGAACGAGGGGCTTTTTCGAGGATTATGCATTTGAGATTTAGTTTTCGAAGACTATCAAGTCAGCTGAAGTATCTCTAATCACTCATGCTCTGCTCAAAAACAAGATATTCCTGACCCACTCTCCCTCCAACTTTGACCTTGAACATGGGTCCTCTATTCCAGCGTTGAGTCATTGGACAAGTACGACATGATATTGATGGGTATGAAGATTTGAACATGGGTTTTGAAAGAGAAAACTCACCGATTCAGAGCATAGATACTTCCAAATCCTGCACCAACCAATACCACGTCGTACATTTTCACCTCTTCGTCAGTCATTTTTCGATTTCACTTCAGTCAGTAGACTTTAGGCAATTCATAGTGACTCAAGTTGAAATGACTCTGTTATATATCTCTTGATCTGCAGTAAGAGGGCGTCAGGAAGCCTCATGCTTTGAGACCCTACAAGAAACCACCCGATTTCCTAAGGACGACCTCCACACGACGTAGCTTGTAGCACCATGTGGGGGAATATGAACTTCGATCCGATCACACGATCGGATCATGGATCTGGAATTATGAGTAGCATTGTCAGAGCACATGATATAAACCTCCCCCACGTCATATACAGTACAGTACGCATGCGCGCGGATTAAGTACTTGCCGATCTCCCCCACTCATCCTCGTGTTTCTCTTCTGATCCGTCCATTTCTCTACCCTTTTCCTCCTTCTCGGAAGAATCAATGACCAAAGTGCTCCTCCCACTCTCCTCATCATTGACCGCCCGCTTGATTTCCCTGTAGCCGATGAGAACGATGAGAGTATCGAGAACATACCATCCTGCGCAGACCCACCATGACAACTGAACGTTTTTGAAGTTGTTCACTTCACCCGGATAGACAGTGAGAAGGGCTCCTTGAAGGGTAAAAGTCAATGTGCCGCCCATCTTCAAAATCAGCTTATACTCGGCAAATGAGATGTCCGAATAACTAGGGTGTCATGGGAGTATCGATCATGCGGACGATTATCGGAACATTGCGTGTGGAGTAGCATAAAAACATACCTGAATAGCGACTTGAAGGAGTGCAGATGCCACACCTGCCATTTCGGGAGGAATCGCCATCATGTATAATACGCTTGACATCAGTCACACGAGCTCGGACTCAAATAATTCAAAAACTCACTTGATTCCAGAAAAGGCGCAACCACAAAAGAAAGAGCCTAAGATCAGCCAACTTGCCTTAAGAGGTCTCTCGGACGCTTTGTTAAAACACCCTTGATCGGACTCACCGATCGCGAAAGACGGAAAGTACCATCTCCAGTAAGCACCTCCTTGCCATAAACCATGCGAGAAAATGGGGACGATGACCGTGGCCGCGGACACGGTAAAGCATACGGGGAGGAAGTATCGAGAAGCTTTGACATGCTGGGGTATCCGACTACTTGTAAGCATCACGGATGGATGGAAAGGGAATACGTACGGGAGTACAAACATGGGCAAAGCGGAGAAGATACCTTGAGGCATCAGTCGTAAACCCACTATCGCCGCAGACTCCACTTGTTCCCATCGTTCGGATAAAGGCAATGCCTGGCCCTGGCTATGAGCAGAGAAAGACGGGAGAAAGACGATGACTGACAGGCCACATTGGTAAGATACCAACGGCTACCACGAGTAGTAAAGGCAAGTTGGGCAGTTTCCAAGTGGAAGGAGGCACCAAAGCACATCCGTCCGGTAGACGTTTCTCCCAAAAGAAGAAACTGACGCCCAGTGGCCAAGACAGGAGGAATGGGACCAGGAAAGATGCACTACGCCAGCCGTTGATACCTCCCATGGTGAGTCCAATCATGAACATGAGTGTTGACCCAAGGAGTATAGCACAGCCTATCAGGTCGAACTGTTGCCACTTTTCTCTCAGTGTCGCCTGAGACTTCGCTCCGTGTAGTTTCGGAATGGCGAGGTACGCCGTGATGGAGATGGGGACAGAGAGAATGCCCACGAACCTATCAGTCAGCTCAACCGGATACTTTGACCGTTAAACGAAATTTGAAAGCAGGAAAGACAATCATGACGTCGAGAATTTCAGTAGATGACCTACCGGAAGAACCAACGCCATGCAGACATTTGCCCCTCAGTTGTGATGAACGCAAAGAGACCAGCGAGGACCAAGCCTGGAGTATGAGCTCACTCCCATATTACATGTCTCTTAGCTTACCCGAGGCATTTGCAACGGACCCAAAAAGGGCAAAAACACCAATAGCTGTCCCTTGCTTATGAGGGGGGAAGACACCCAAAATGAGACGGTAAGCGGCAGGGACCTAGAGTCTCAGCTTTGTCGTCACAAAAGCACTTGCTCCATGGCAAACACACTCACAGTCGCACTGGCAAACACACCACTCAGTCCTCGAAGCGCCCAATAGCTATACTTATCGGTGAGAACAGAAGCGATCAAACAGGCCAAGCCCAAAAGAGCTGCTCCGGTCACAAAAGATGTTTTAGGGGAGAAGAGGTCGGCTATCCGTCCGAAGAATGGGAGAAGGGTCGCGAAAGGTATAGCGAATGCTACCTGTTCAATCAGCAGTAGGTCCGGGTCCTGATAGATATTCAATGGAAACTCACGATGATCCATGTTGATTCTACATATGGAACGTCTAGGTCTTGGGAAATGGCCGTGATGAAAATCATGACACCTGATCGGCAGGTGACGTCTATATACTGCCACGGTCAACCTCGGCCCGAAGATGGGTGGAATGAACTCACCACAGACATGCAGAACAGAACCAGAATGAGCCACAACTTTGCTCCTGTCACATAGGCTATCGGCACCTGGGGTGGTTCTTGCTGAGAAGTAAGTTGAGGGCTGGACGGCACCGAGGCATTAAAAATTGGATCATGTGAATCGGACTCGGTGGATTTCACCACCTCCACCCCATCTTGGAAGCCTTTGAGTGACCCAGGGAGTGATTTGTCCGGTTTTGCAGGAGTGTCGATATGGGTATGAGAAGAAGAGGCCGTCGGAGCAGGAGCAGGCCTCGTAGTCGATATATCTATCAATGTCATGCTAGAGGTGGCATTCCTTCTCATCAAATCGTCTCCCATCCTGGATGTAGTTCGAATCTATAATTTTTGGTCGAGGTGGAAAGTCGGGGGAAAGAAAGAATACGTTTTGTACAGAAAGCGGATGCAGAGGAGATGCGACAGGTGTCATGGAAGGCAAGTGGGGTGGGGGAGTCTCCGTGAATGGCGGAGTATGAAAGAGTGAGGTGTGACGACGGGCATGACATGACAAAGGTTCTCTTATTCTTGTTCACCATCTGCTTTCATAACCACTCTCCAAGTTTTTCCCAACACCTTTGGTCGGTTCGTCGGCCATGTCCGTATCGAGAAACCGGCCCGTGACTCCGACGTGACGTGGCTTTTCGTCCTAACACTCGGACCACGTGGCACTTGTGGGGCTCCAGATCTGGTGTCGTCAACTCGCTTCTCGCCTTTGCATGAATCTTTGCTTCTCGAATCACTCATTCCTTTTCCCTTGTCACCATGTCCACCTCTGCTCCCCGTATGGTGAGGCAACGTTCTTCCGGTCACTTTATCAAACAAGCATCCTCTAGCTCTAGGCCGATCCCCACCCCTAGCTATCCTCAGCGTCGGAGATCATTGCGGATATCTCTTCCAACCAAGGTAGCGGCAGCTGTCCTCTGCGTCGTCATCGGTGCCGTCTTACTCTCTCGTTTGTCTAACAGCAGACGATTGGGGATCTTACATAGCAAGACAATAAAGCTGAAAGCGGGTGATGTGGAACAAGAAGTTCTGCCATCCGGACAAGACTGGGGACATGGGGATTTCGGTGATGGTCGACAAAGGAATGTTGCAAAGACGTTCTTGACACCGACATGTGACGCATGCTATTGGGTCAACACCAATTTAGGCAACGGAGGGTACATCCGCATACATTTTCATACACCATAAATGCTGATCCATACAGTCCCGAGCCTGATCTGAGCGGAGGGATGATACCTGCTGTAGCTCCCCCTTTCGCCATGACTCGCTGGACCCCACAGACCAGAACCAATTGTCAGCCATCTCTCAGCATGTATTGTGAAGCTTATGAAAGACCCTTCCATGTGTCCCTACAACCAATCCGATACAATGTTCCACGGTTTTATGGGAACACACCAGCCGGCCATCTGGATGGGTTAGGGTTTGCTCCCGTTCGAAGAGCGAATTACTGACGGCAAGGGGAATCTGGACCCGCTATGCTCTCGGTCGGCTTAGGCAAAGTCATCACAGACTTTGAGGAACGAGGTATACCCTTCGATAAATCTCACGAATATGCGTCGGCCAATTATTATTCCACCCTGCTCAACGCCGAGGAGGGGGATATCCAGACAGAAATGTCCGCTAGTGAGTTATCTGCGCTGGTGAGATTTCTCCTCTGATCGAATAGCATCTCGTGTTGGTCATCTACGCTTCACCTTTGACGCCTGGGGAGATTCTCTACCTCATGTAGTGGTTCGAGCGAGCAGAGCCAGTGTGCTCATGAGTGGTGACAACGTCATGTCTCGGAGTCCCCATAATGTCTCATACCCGGAAGGCTGGGTAAACATTGATGCCAAGAGAAAGGAGATCTATGGGTGGAATGATGAACGTCAAGAGTGAGTCTATAATGGTGGACTCTCTCCCCGCCCTTTGACCGGGATCAACTCTAAGACACTTTGAGACTGATCACCTAGTCATATTCTGGTAGGGGATGAACTCCCAGCGACAAACTTCAAAGGCTACTTCGTCGCTCGTTTCTCACAACCGTTCCGAGATGTCGGAATATCATACGACGGTAAATTACAGCCTGGTGAAACTCAAGGTCAAGGCAAGATACTGGCGGGATACGCAACTTTCAATCACGATGTGAAAGTCGTCGACGTACGTATAGGCGTCAGTTTCATAAGTATCGACCAAGCTCGTCGGTGAGTTCCGCTCGTCCTTCTCCGATTACAAAAAGCCTTTGACTGATCGAACAGAAACTTGGACTTGGAAATACCAGATGGACAAACTCTTGAAGTGACCTCCAAACTGACCCGTACCGCTTGGGCAGACAAGCTGGATCGTCTTATGGTGACCGGAGCCACGCCTCATAATCTTACAGTACTCTACACATCCTTTGCTCATACCCTGGTCTATCCTTACGAGGTCTCCGAGAATGCTGGCACCAATCGTCGACCCAAATGGGAATACTATTCTGGTTATTTGGACAAAGTCGTTCCAGGCGTCAGCTACTCGGGCTATAGCATCTGGGACACCTTCCGCTCTCATACCGCTTGGTTACTGTTGGTAGCCCCTGAACGGGTTGGGGCCATGATCCAGAGTATGCTGCAGGACTACAAAGAAGGGGGTTGGTTACCAATGTGGAAGAATATCGTGGAAACGAATATCATGGTGGGTACTCATGGTGATAGCATCATTGCTCAGGCCATGGAAGCAGGTGAGTTCGTGAACCTGAACTTGCGTCCCACTTCTGCTTACACTTCTGTCCAATCAGCTGGATTTTTCTGGCACAAAGTGTTCCGACGCTGACTTTTGTAGGAGTGAAAGATTTCGACTGGAACCTGGCATGGGAAGCAGTGAAGAAGAATGCCTTTACGCCACCGGAGAGAGATACGGAGCTGGAGTAGGTCATACTCCGTATTTTAAGGTCCAAGCTGAAGTGCAGATTCGCAGATAGGGAAGAACATACTCCTCAAGAGGTCAGAGCGGGTCTGACAGAGTATATGTCACACGGATATGTGGCTGCCGACATTCATGCGGAGAGTGGCAGTAGAACACTGGATTATGCCTGTAAGTTTTTCATCCCTCTCACTCACCCCCAGCTCCCGTTTTCAGGTCTGTAGACGGTTAGCTGACAAAGAGACGATGACCACGCCGCGTCCATCGTGGCTACTCACTTGGGAGCGCATGACGAAGCTGCTGTTCTCACCAAACGAGCAAAGTATTACCGCAATCTCTGGAATATCAATACGGGCTTTATGGAGGCGAGGAACATAGATGGATCCTTCGCTGGTGAAAAGGTGGGATGGACGGAAGGCGATCATTGGGCGTATAGTCTGGCAGTCATGGTGAGTAGGATCGTAATCGATTTGAAACTGTTTGAAGGACTTGACTGAAGAGCAGCACGACATTCCAGGTCTGATCGAGTTGATGGGTGGGGATGACAAGTTTGTGGGGTTTCTGGATCGACATTTTGATGAAGGACATAATCTACATACCAATGAGCCAAGTCATCACATTGTGAGCGTCATGTTTACAACCATGCCATCCTCCTGCTACAACCTACCATACCACATATGGGTTCCCTAAATTCCTATGAATCTTGCCTCGTACCGTTCACACAACTCCCCCCATCGTGCAAAGGGGGACACGAAACATTGAGATGATTGGACTGACCCTAGCCATACCTCTACAACTTTGCCAACGCACCACATAAAACCCAACATTGGGTCCGTCAGATCGCCCGGAATGAATACAATCACACCGCTACCGGTTTATCAGGTAACGAGGACTGTGGTCAAATGTCTGCTTGGTATCTCTTCACCGCCCTTGGTTTTTATCCCGTAGACCCGGCTTCCGCGACATATATCATCGGTGCCCCTCTGTTCGATTCTCTCCTCCTCCGACTACCAGGACAAAAACGACCATTACGTATTGACGCACTTGGTGCTTCCGACGTCCGAGGTTACGTGCGTGGTCTGAAAGTCAATGGAAAAAGAAGAGAATCTTGGGTATTGAGACATGATGAAATTAGACATGGAGTTGATTTGATATTTGAAATGGACGGAACACCTCAAGCTTGGGGAATGACTTTATAGTTTTTTTAAAAAAGGTTGTATCCGCATTGTCATCGGTAGGTCTATCTGATCATCCTAATTCTCTTTTACATTATGCTGATCATACTTTAACAATAGCCATTCCTGCTAACATACAACCCATATAAGTCCCTACTTTCCCTAAAATCATCAAGTTGTCTTTATACGTCGATGATGATAATGTTCCAAAGATGATGTTAGACAATCCTACCACAGCCGGTCCGGGACATACTCCAGTCAATGCCCATCCTACACCGAACAAAGATGAACCTAGAAGTAATTTCCAATCTATATCTCGTCGAGTAGGAACGTTCCAAGATTCCCATCTTAATTTGGGTCGACGAACATTTTTGATGATACTCCACTGAATAGCATTAGGTATAACCCCGGTGATCACTATTAAAGCTAGACTAGGATCGAAGTCGGGAGAGAAAGGCGCGAGAAAACCGGCAACTTTGAGAGGAGATATCATACCACTCATTTGGAGTCCGAGGGAGAATATTATTCCGTTCAAGATGTAAGGTAGACTTCGAAGATGGAGTTTAGTCAGGGGTAGGAAAGTGGGAAGGGTTTGAAGGAGGATGGTGAGACCGACGGTGGTGAGCAAAATTAGGATTGAAGATGATGAAGGTGTAAAGGAGGCAGAAGGGATAAGATGTAAGGATGAAGTTGAAGGTGAGAGTAAAGGAGATGGAAAGAAGTAAGATGTGAGAAGGGAAGTGGAGAAAAATGTCAAGGTGGCAATTAAGGATCTTGGTGAGAGACGAGAAACACCACCGAGGAAATGACCAGAGGTACAACCTGATCCAAGCTGAGGTCAGTTCAACTCTAAGTTGGTTATCCCATCTCGTCTTCCAAGCTCATCTTCAATTTGGTCCTGAATCATCCCTGGTGCAGTGATGGACGTGGTGACAGTGATGATATAAGTGAGAAGCAACCAAGACTCATAGTTCATGATGGGAAGATCTTCATAAAGTGTCAAAGAAGGATCACGGTCGCATGACTTGACTTTAGAAAGGAGGGAATCCCGAGAAAAACGGATAAAGAAAAATATAAATATCAAACTCACTCTACTTCCCAAACCTACTAAACTCCCTCCCAACATTAGTCTTGCCCAACCTTGTTTCCCCCAGCTCGATAACCCATCATCCGGAAAAGATCCATTCAAACCTGTCATAGAAACCAACAGAGGACCTAAAAACATTCCGCCTAATGTGGCCCATCTCCAACTGGCCCGATCACCGAGGACAGCACCGGAAACGATACCTGATACTCCGAACACTCTTCCGGTAAGGGAGAGTAGTGAAGATGTGGAGAGATGAAGGAGATAACCTCCTAGAAGAGTTTGGAGGGGAGTGAACATGACTTTGGGATTTGTTACTCTGTTGGTGTCGCTCCTGATGGGATTCCACCCTGGTCGGTGTCGTTCGGTGTCGGTGTCACTTCCGATCGATTTCACTTTCTGTTGATGTCTTTCCCTGTCGCTGTCACTGGATCGATGTTTCTACTTCTCAGTGTTACTCTTGGCGGTGGTTCTGAGGGAGGGCTACTATACTACAGAAGAGGAGTTTTAGTCACAAGAGATCATAAACGGGGTATCGGAGAGAAGACTTGGTCACATGAAAGGATAGGTTACAAAAAGGAGCATATAAAGAGGAGAAGAGCAGAGGGCGGAATCTCGAGAAAATGGGTTGTCGGAGTTTAGAATCGTTAGAATAAACGGAAACCTCGGATCTCGGCGTATGGAACAAATCCCTATTCCCCGATGGGACCGAACAGGTCACGAAGGAGGCTTGATGGTGGGGATGGGATTGTTTCCACTCGTCAGCCACATGAACCTGAGTCAATAATATTCATGCACCAAGTATCAGATTCCACCTTTGATTTCTAGTACATTAGATTACTTACTGACCATGTTATCATTGCAGAATACATGTCATCGATGATTCATAACAGGGCCAAAAGTGGTCATTGATAATTTACCCGCTGGTGGTGACGATTTTTGCCACCCATGTCGCGTGCCTCAAAAACACCCGCGACTTTTCCAATCACACTTTGTGCTTTGACTTTTGACTCTGTATTCCTATGACTTGACCTTTTCTTCGACTATCCACTTTCCTCAGTCTGTATAGCTGAGTAAGAGCTAGACAGTAATTGTCGGGACGAATAAGTCCACCAAGACTAGAGGGTATGAGACGAGAAATAACAGGGGATGAAGAATCACCCATAAGTATCAAAATACTTTTGGTTGGTAATTCCAGTGTTGGTATGTTGTTTTCCTACTCTCCTCTCCACCTTTCATCACTCGTACTATCCCTCATTACTCCTCGCGACTTACTACTTGTCGTCCATATTATCGTATACGTACCCTGATATTCTGGCTGATGGGCCACGCGTCCAGGATGGAATATGAAAGTTTGAATGAAAAAGCACTGACCTAGAGGCAAATCATCTTTATTACTACGTTTCACAGAGGATGATTTCCTCGCTGATGAGGATACCATAGCTACTATTGGTGTGGACTTTAAAGTGACTAGACTTGAAGTGGATGAGAAAAAGTATAAGTTGGCTATTTGGGTGAGTCATAGTATCATACATCATCTCTCAACTTGTCAGACAAATGGGGAGTTTGCCACTTTCAACTGTTTCGATCACACTTTTTCTTTGATCTGCAAGGTTGGAGGTTTTACCATTCGATATGAGACGCAGTAGTGGAAGGTCACGAGAAGTAATGGTAGACGCGGTATCGGCGATGGAGAAATAGTATGGTTTGTTGACGGCTTAGGATACAGCAGGACAGGAAAGGTTTAGGACACTCACGGCGAGTTATTATCGTGGTGCACAGGGTGTAGTACTTGGTGAGTGTCATGTTTTGTCACTCCTCATCAACTCATGTATGTTGAGCAATGACCCCCTTCCACCACTCCCTCGTCTCCTTTTTCCATATATCTCTCTCGCCCATTGGGGTAAATTCCTGGTCTTCTTTCGTCAGTTGACTCTTTGTTGACAAATCTTTCAACGTAGAGATTCTTCTTCAGAGATTATCAAACTTACGAGCCCACTTCAATGTTGGACCTTGTGACCCGAGATGTGAACACTGATCCACAGTCTACGACATGACCTCACGCAAGACTTTCGATGAGTTACTTCGATGGGATCGCGAATTGGATACATACTGCGGTGATTCAATCGTGAAGCTTATCCTGGGGAACAAAGCGGACAAGGTGCGGTCTTCCTGATATATTTCACCTTTGAAAAATCTGACGGACAGTCTTTGGCGAGACAAGTGACGACGGAAGAAGGTAAAGCTTTTGCCGAAAGTCTCGGGGCTTTGTTCATGGGTGTGTTTTACTCTCTCTTTCCAACTTTAGCCTTTGCCATTCTGCTCTCCCTTCGATTGATCCCCTTTTCAGCGTATCATAGGGCGATCTCGGAGCAGACCGATATCTAGTCCATCGGCTCGAAGATTCAGAACGGAGGGAATTTCCGAGACTGTTTGCTGACCACAGAATGCTCGGCCAAGACTAATGAAGGTATCGAGGAAGCTTTCCGTGAGCTGGTCAGGAAAGTAAGTGGCATCCCTCCTACATATAAATTCTTCTAATTGACCTAATCAGATCGCGAGCATACAACCCCTCATACTCATCCCTACTAAACCCACCACCATCTCCCGTACGGTCAATCTACTGGAAGATGACGAAACCGACAAACCAGCTGCGGTCGGAGGTTGCGGTTGTTAGATTGCTTTCCGTCCCATTCCACCCTGTCCATTCTATTCCTGCTGTTCATTCCCTAATGACATCCTTGACACCCTGTAGCCAACACCTGTACGCATCGAGTCTGTAATCACGTTTGTTTATTTATGACCTGCACTGCATGCACATCCTTCACGTTTTGCCCATCTCTCACTTTATCAAGACAATCCATAGTCATTGTGCCTGATTTATTTCCGAGTTTCTTGTGAATCCGTGACGACGCACGTTTATCCACCACTTCCGTCATTTCGTCATTCTCTTTCTCCTAGGTATCCCTTCCGATCCCTGAAATTCTCATGTTTCCCCCACTTTCACTCAAACACACTCACACTTCCGCCCTCGTCGTTCTCTCCTCTTACAACATGTGCGTCATGATGAACTTCCTCACAAAGTGAATCAAGAAGCTGACAAGACTGATCAGGGCCAAAATGACAATCATCACATGTTTCCTTCCACCTCGACATGGTTGGTTCATCAAAACGCACGTTGCTCTCATTTCTTCGTACTAGTCTTTCAGCCCTGACTCAGAGTATCTAAACTGGAGCAAGTATAAGTTTAGTCAATACGCCCGCTATGTCTTTCCCCAAAACGGTCGTACATCAAGATATCGAGCTTGAGCATAAAAGTCCTACTCAACAAGTACAAAAAAGACTCAAAAAGTTGAAACAAGATGTTGAGTTCTGTGTTAATTGCTATTCTCCCTATCTTGGGTACTTCGGCCAACCCTGTGGAGAAACGTTGGAGTCATGCGCCTGATGTTGGTGCTACAACATCGGATGTGTTTCCTCCTACCGGAAGTGAGTCACATCCATCCTTCCATATCCCACAAGCTTCTCCCTTCTTTTCTTGTTCTTTATGTCTCTACACACACCGCGCACCATCCCACCCAGAGGGCAAGTTGGATGGAGTCATATAGTAGATGAATTCCTGTACCCTGCTAACCTTCAGCAAAAGTAAACTCGGATCTCTTCCCACCTGAATCTATCGTCGGTTATCCTCAAGGTACACCCACAGGATTAGAAGCAGCTGCTATTCAAACCGCACCAGTATACGCATACAATTCCGATCCTTCAAGTGAATTCCCTTTGAAAAACGTTGGGACAGAAGATGGTATCGACGAATCAACTTTCGACATGTTACGATCCTGGGGAAATTTATCTCCTTGGTATTCCGTCCCATCATCATATTACGGTCTCGATTCAGCTTCACCTCTAGCACCCGAATCATGTAGTATAACTCAACTTCATTTATTATATCGACATGGTGCACGTTATCCTACAGCAGGTGCATTACCAGCACAATTCGCAGCTTCTTTACATAACGCTACAGTAAATGGAACTTGGGACGCATGGGGTGAATTAGATTTTTTGAACACTTGGACATATAAATTAGGTGCAGAACTTTTATCACCTTTTGGTCGTTTACAAAATTTCGAATTAGGTGTTTCTTATCGTAATTCTTATGGTTACCTTTTAAACAATTTTACAGAACAAGGTACTTTACCTGTTTTCAGAACCGAATCACAAGATAGGATGGTCAAAACTGCTGAAAATTTCGCAGCAGGTTTCTTTGGAGTACCGGAATATTTAGATCAAGTTAATATCGAAATCATGGTTGAAGCTCCTGGTGTGAATGATACTGGTGCACCTTATGATACTTGTACGAACGCGAATGTTGCTTCAAGAGGTGGGATAGGAGGAATCGTTTCGAACGCTTTCGCAACGACAGCTTGGAACAGTACCGTCGATAGACTTAATAGTCAAGTTTCAGGATTGAAATTTACTGGGAACGATATACTTGCCATGCTTCAATTATGTGCTTACGAAACCAATTCTTTGGGTTATTCGGCTTTTTGTAAACTTTTCACTCAAGAAGATTTCCAACAATTCGAATATTATTTCGATCTCAGTTTCTGGTATAACAACGGGTAAGTTGAAGTCTTCTTCTTCCTTTTCTTTCCTTGCGTCTACCCCTCTGACTCATCTTTCTATATCACAGTATCAGACTCAGACTTTTCCGCTCTTCTCCTGTCCCATTCATTCCCTGTGTTATCATCTCTTCGACGAAATAGTCTAGTAAAATTTGGGTGTCACACAGGTGTATACACAGATCGAGTTATCAGATGATTGAAGTGAAACTGATGAAGTTTCGTCCCACATCGCAGCAAGGTTTAAGTCTATACAAGAATTCGTAGCTCGTTTCGAACAAACTCCTTTATCATCATACGATTCCACTACCAATTCAACTCTCGATACCTCTTCTACTTATTTCCCTCTCAATCAATCCATTTACGCAGATGCGACACATGAAGTAGTCGTCGCTGATGTTCTTGCCGCTTTGAACCTCACTGCTGTCTTTGGAGAAACACCATTAGATCTTAAGAAGAGAGGAGAATATACTTTCAAAAGTAGTCAAGTAGTACCGTGGGCCACTCATTTGACTGTTCAAGTCATGGAATGTTCAGAATATCAACCTACCAAACAGGTTAGGTTCATGGTGTGAGTTATCACAACGTTTTTCTTCTTCATCGTTCGAAAGTCATGTTTTACCAAATAAAATCCGTATCGAGTCCTATTTCTTGAGATGTTTCGATTTCTTATGTGTTGTGGGTTTTTTGAGTAAGTACTGACGAGTAGTAACGATGCTGTCATCCCTCTTAATTACGACGGTTGTCCTTCTGATCCTAACGGTCTTTGTGCTTTCGACACTGTTGTTGCGGCACTAAAGAACCGAATCGACGAGATCGATTTTGATTATGCTTGTTTCGGTAATTAGTGAGTATTTCCGTCCTTCTTATCCGTGAACCATTTCTATCTTATATCGTATACCATGCGATTCTCATTTGAATCCACCTATCGGTCTACCATGTGGAAAGCTATCATGGTTTTAACGGTGTAAATATTGAGCCAAACTGGAAAGACGACTGACGATCAGTACCGCCGAACCAGGAGTTAACTATAATGGTCTCCCTCCCAAAACCGCTTGAACATGAAGTGATAATCCAAACAATTTTGAAAGAGATAACAAAAGATGCAAGAAGCGTCATCAGAATATAATCAGGAATTAAAAGAAGAATAGAAATGAATTGAAAGTATATTGATTGATAGAAGGACATGCACTGGGGTTTTTGTCATTTTTTAAATATCAAATGCACAGTCATCCAGTCATCTAGTCAAAAGCGGTCGAGCCAGTCCCCGTCCTCATTCCTAAAACTACATCTGTTTCTTCCCCATTGAGCAATGATATGAACCCGGTATGAAGGATGATCCTTCATCTTCGAACAAATTGACAGATGAGGGGACATAAGTGAGAATCTGACCACATCTTGCCCAGCTATGTAGATCGTAGGTTTCTGAATCGCTAGTAACCTGTACTGGAAATTCGTTCCAATATAGCCAAAGCTTGATCTTTCACGTCCGTCGGTCTATTCTCAGCTCTACCCATTATCGAATCACTCTGAAATAAGAATTGACAGCATCACTCTGTCCACGTCATATCACCATATCCACTTGAGGGGTCAAATTGCCAGATGCTCCAACTATGAAAAGACTAAATATTATGTGGACGTGAATAAATGGAATTCAAGATGAAATAATGGACGGATCAGGAAGTGATAGTAAGAAAACCTCAAACTCACTTTAGTCGATAAGCAACAGGAGTCAAACCTGTTCCAAATCTCCTATCCACATGATTCGAACATAATATCGAAATGACAATATTGACCAGATGAAGTGGTATTACGGAAAACGCCCAATGGGAGAATAGAGAGAGTGAAGTACGTTCGTATAAAGTCCATTTGGATTTACAGCCTGGTAATGGTGAACGAGGATAACATTTCAGAGAATATGTTGCGTCGTCTATGGCGTTAGCTCCGTGATCTTGTATGATTCATCGTCTCCTCAAGTGTATTACATCTTAGATCAAAGGTGATCTTTCCGACATTTTTCGGACGGTAACTTCAACTTCGCTGGAAGTTCTGGACAGTTATGAAAGAGATGGACGAGGAAGACTCAAGTAGAACTTGTCCATCGGATCAAATGGAAGAGAGAACGAGAAGGAAAAAAAAAAAACCACAACACTCAGGATTCCCATGTGGTCCCCCACCATGGTACTAACTGAGCGGTACTCTGTTTGACTTTGCAGATCGGACGGGATGCAGTATTTTCAAAGTCCTATGGCCGTGGATGACCGAAACCTTTCCAACCAGATTTATAAGTCAGAATGCACCAGTATCGCGGCAAAATGAAAAAAGGGAACGGAAGTGTTATAATCGTATGAGGTTGACGTGACATTTTGAGACAACTCACGAAGTGGATTATAAAAACCACAACAACCTAAACCTAATTGAACTCTTCCTCTATCCGAAGGTGAAAGCCATTGACTCCAACTTTGATTCAATTTCCTAGCTAATTGCAAATTCCCTCTCTTATAGGCGGTATACCCTACGAAACATAAAGACAGTAGAGTGGGCCAAAGTAAGAGTGCGTGGATTGATAAGATCGGACGGGATCGAAGGAGGATACCTGTGAGACCTATCAATGCTGATAGTGTGGTGAGAATGGAAGAGACCAGAAGGACTGAGGGGTCAGTTGAGTTGTGCATGATTGAAGGGGAAAGAGACTGACAAGTCAAGATGTCAGGATCGGAGACTACCGTTACATCGCTTGAAGGGTCGATTCTTAGTAGGATTTGAGCTGTCCATGAGAGTCCTAAGAGACCGTAAGTCAACATCTAATCTGTTAACGTAGCCCCTTTACAGCCTATCGATCTGAACTGTGTGGGTTCCATCGTTATTCCGACTACCCGTACGGTGCATCAGTCTCATACCATTGTTTCGATGAAACTGATAGGTAACGATCAATGAAACTGAAAGGTAAAGATCAGTGTTTGTGTTAAGATTGTCACTCACACTTGTCACAGACACTATTAAAACGCCTCTCTCCCATGTCCAAGCCACACTTTTCGTCTTGAGATCAGGAAACTTGCGAGTCATTTTGATTCCATAAGTCTCCAGCACTGCCAGGATAGCCTCTTCACTTGGCGGAATTTCAGTCACTTTCTCATCCTTCATAGTCGAAGCCCTTCTCAGTGTGACGGATGAAAGATCTGAAGCAGTCTCTAGGGTTTCTGTCCTGATGGGATATTCAACATGACCTTCAATCATAGAGGGACTTTCCTCTATATCCTCCAATTCAGACTCTTCCACAAAATTCCTCTCGCTTCTGATCCCATGATCACTCCTCCTGGAAGATCTCTCGCTTCTCGCGGTTTTATAACTTCTGGATGATGGCGCAGAAACTGAGGCTATGGAATCTGACCCTGATCGTTTGCCTTTTAATCGTAAACTTTGCCATCTTTTCCATGTCCGACCATTCGGGTCATCACCGGTCAGTGGCGTTGAGCTCGTTCCACTGCCCTGACTTGAGAAACCACCGGAAAAGGGGTTCATCATTGACCACCAAGTGGTTCCCGATACTGCGGAAATACGAGACGGTTCGCGGGACATCGCATCGTTTACGGGTATACCAGGCCGATCTCGAGTTGAGTTCCGTATATATCTGTCAGGTGAAGATCTTCTTGAAGAGGAATGAAATCGAGGAGAATGGTCGCGTAAGTCCACATCTTGGAAATATCTTGAAGATCGATGAGGGTGGTGGTGGGAAGAGGAGGATGGTTGGTATTCTTTTCGATGGGTGAGATTGGTAGTGGAAGTTGAAAGAGCAGAAGGACTAGTATGGATGGGACCTAAGTGTTCGTCGGGGTCTTCGAAGTCATAATGTCGGATACCATCCCGGTGAGTGTGATCACTTCTGGAGGTTTGGCGAGTTGATTGGTCTGAGTGACCACGTTGACTATGACGGTGAGGCCTGTCATCCCTGTGATATGGTTGGTCACTTTGACGACTGTTCTGACGAGATCCGTGTTCCCGATATTGATTGTCATAATCATTTTCATTTCGTGAAGCTCGGCTTCGATATGATTTCCCAGAGTCTTCTCGATTGCTGTGAACGGAGGAAGATGGTCGTGCTCTGTTGTGATCCCTCGTGAGAGTTCGACGATTGGTGAAAGCCTCATCAGGAAGTAGAGGGGAGAGATGTAGAGGTAAAGTAGAGGAATGTGCGTATTCGTCTTGTACAGATCGGGAAGATTGTCGGGAATATGCGCTTGCAGCGTACGGTGAAAGGATATCGGGATAAGGAGACGGTGTTTCGAGGTGTGGTGTCGATTGAGGATTGGGAGAACGGAAACGTAGTTTGTGCGAATCCATACTGTACACCCCTTGCCCAAGTGGTCAAATGCGAAAGCTGTCAATGATAGGGCGAGATAAATGCGAATGAGACTAGATTGAAAAGGGGGTTTTAGACTTGGAGGTCGATCGAACCGCTTCCGATCAGTTGCAGCATGTTCATATACAAATATCACATAACTCACTGAATATACAAGCAGATATACATATACCTCGATAATCAATGACTTGACAGTAGGTAAATGCGACCTTCCCAAGGTTCCAATTCCATCACGTCTTCATTCCTCTGATCCTGAGCTCCTAGAGCTACATCTCCGTTGGTCATCAAGAGTCTGGCCCCTCTCAAATCCACATTCCACTTCTTAGGATCCCAAGAGGTAGGTTCTCCCCTACCTTGTGGCCCTCTCGCGAGGTTGAGTACAATCAGAAGAGTTTGAGAGAGGCAGGGGTCATGACGAGTGTACACGTAGATATTTTCGTTGGACTCATCAAGTGGGTGGAATGTACCTATTGATTAGACTTCACGAAATTTCAGTACGACTTCTGCCGTCATATTTAGATGAGAATGACGAAATAGTTCATCACGCACCATAAATGAGAGCCTGGTATTCCTTACGCAAAGACAGCATTTTCTTCCAAAACGCCCACACGGAGGAGCCATCTGCCATTTGCTTCGCCACATTCCACTCTTGATAATCGTCATGCACTCTCATCCACGGTGTACCCTTAGAGAAACCGGCATTTTCCGTGGCATCCCACTACGAATCAGCGTCACATCCTGAGGTCCTATGCTCACCAGAGGTTAGAGGGACACGGGTCACTCACTTGCATTGGGGTGCGCCCGTTATCTCGAGCGGTCATCCTCATGCCCTCCAGCAAATCAATCATATTGGGATCCTGCTCCCCAGCAGTCCTCTGTCGATTTCACGCTCCTCAGCTATGTGTTGAACCGTTTCCACATCTTTGTACTCTTCTTCTCCCCAATCTCGAGGGAAATTGACCATCCCAATCTCCTCACCTTGAAAGATGAACAGTGTACCGGTGAGTGTTGTATGTAGCATTGAGATCAACTTGGCACATTTCGCCCGGTCAAGAGGATGATCAGAGGTCAGTCGACTGACGATACGCGGTTGGTCGTGGTTCTCGATACTTTTCGTCAGCTTATCCTGGCAAATTGGACAGCGATCAGCGACTGACTAATTGGAGTTCCAACCGCCTGCTTCTTCCATTTTCACTTGCCAATTGTTGAGCACACTCTTGAAGTCAACCAGCTTCCAGTCCGGATTCCAGGTCCTGCCTAGACCACCCCCTTTCCTATCGAAGCTTTGACTACCACATGAGGACCATCACCTTCTTTGGAAGAGATACACTCACTGATGGAAATGAAAGACCATTTGGAGTTCTTTATTGCTCGGATTGGAATAAGGCGCGTATTCAGATACGGGCCCGTCTCCCGGCGTCTCTCCCACACCGCTGGTCAGTTCTCTTCGACAGGTCCTTCGATTTGGGACTCACCAGAAACAGTCATAACGCTAAGGCAGATCAGCTCGATCATACTTTCCGAAAACCTACCTGAAGTACTTCCCTGTGCATCTCCTTCAGATGATGATGCACTTCAGGGCGATTGATGGAAAGCCTGCCAAATGGTTGGTACTCCTTGTCCGGAAAGACCTCCGGAGCGTCGGGCAAGCCAGGTGACTTTGCGATGAAGTTGATCTCATTGTCAGCTGGGTCCTTCTACGACCTATTGCGACTCACGACATCCATCCTGAACCCGTCCACGCCCTGTTCCAACCACCAATGCATCATAGCCCAGATCTCCTTGCGCACCTCAGGGTTTTCCCAATTGAGATCCGGCTGTTCTTTGAGGAACAGATGAAGGTAGTACTCTTGGGTAGCCTCGTCCCATTCCCAAGCTGACTTCCTGACCGTCAGTCCAGACCAACGTTCACAGGGTAATCATGACTCACGAACCGAAAGTGGGAGACCAGTTATTGGGCGGCAGTCTCTCCCCTGTAGCTGAGTATCTGGGGGGTCGCCATATGTACCAGTCTCTTTTTGGGTTTGTCCTGGAAGATCGTGATTCCTTGAACCATTCATGCTGCTTCGTCAGCACTCTTTCGATTCGATGTGAGGGACCTTACTTGATCGGAAGTATGGTTCACTACGAGGTCCATGACGAGTTTCATACCTTGTTCGTGAATAGCATCTCTGACATTTTCCCAATCTTGCATCGTCCCATAACGAGGATCGACAGCCCGGTAATCCGAGATATCATATCCCATATCAGCCTGGGGAGATCGGTAGATGGGCGACAGCCAAATGATGTCGATACCGAGTTGTTTAAAATATGGTATACGGGAAAGCATACCTCGTAGGGTACCATGACCAGAATCGGCGTGATCACAAAAGGAGGCCTGGAGAAAAGAAGCATGAGCTAAAGGATTCTTCTTCAGAGCGAGCTTACCGGATAAACTGATGGTCAGCTGTTATCGTGTGTGAGACGTGAGAATTCACTTTGATACACGGCAGCTTCTTTCCACCAAGCTTTCGAAGCGGTCTGTGTATCTTTCGACTTGTCAGGAGACATCTTGAGTCTTTGTTCGAATGTATGTTAGCTGTCAAAGCACTGTTGCTTTTGTTCAAACTGGCGAGATATCAGAGGGAGGGCAGTCCGGCAGCTAATCAGTGTCCAATCTTGAGCTTCTTGAGCTTTTCGTTTGTCTTTCCCCGCCCACCCGTCAAAATCCTAGACACAGCTTCGCTACTGTGCCGATATGATAGAGGGAGATGCTCGTGGATCGTACTGGGTCGACGCAGACTATCCAAGGGCCAAGCATGCAAGGGAGCCAAGTAAGTACATAGTGACAAGTAAAGGGGTGAAAGGGCGTGCTGCCAATCAGTGTTGTTATATTAAGGGTTAAGATATTAAGGGTTGTAAAATGGGTAGCCAGGGTGGGTTATTAAGGTCTAAGAACGTAATATCATCCCCTACTATGAGTGATGAAGGAATAGGTCACGTGACACAACACCCCTCCACCATAGTCCTCTACCTTCACTGTACTGGAATCATTCATGTCACTCCTGCCCATTTATGCCATTCTAGAAGCTGTAGTCACTTCAGAAGCTGATGGAATGTGTTGATACAGTGCATGTGTTACTCAAAGTAATGCAGGAATGAGTCCCCATAGCCCAGCATGAGGAAAATGATATTACGTTTTTAAGCCCTCTTTTTTGGACCACCAAATTAAGGCTGTAATTACGGGTTATTACGTAACTTAAAAACGACCCTTAATAACAACCTGACAACACTGCTGCCAATACTGGGGTAACCGAGGACAGTGGTTTCCGACGGAAGCCAAGCCCGCTCAGAGTGACGTCAATGGTCCAATCCGCTCACATTCCTCACACTGTCCAAGATACCCATCCGTAGTTTCGTCATCTTCACTCTAACAGACCTCGTTTTGATCTCAGAAAGACTTTCAACATGGCGAACATAGAGATCGGTATCATCGGCTCGGGCTCGATGGGCTCGGTGAGTATCGCAATATCTCTTCATACCCCTACTTAGCTGACGATAGGGTATGACACTTCTTTTTGCCGAGCACGGTTCAACTATAGGATGCTTCGATACAGATCAAAAGGCCGTCCAGGCAATCTTGGATCAAGCCAAAAAAACCGAAACAGGGGACGATTCCCGCGTACATGGATTTAACTCCCTCAAAGATCTCGTCAATGCTTTCATCAAAGATCCAAACGGGGGTCATGAACGACGTATCATAGTACTCTCCCTGCCACATGGGAAGGTGGTCGATGGTGTCTGTGAAGAGCTACTTCCAATTTTGGATAAAGGGGATGTGGTAGTGGATGGAGGAAACGAATGGTGGGAATCGACGGAACGTAGACAAGCCAAAGCTAAGGAGAGAGGAATAGAGTGGATTGGTATGGGCGTCAGTGGTGGATGTGAGTACTGCATCACCTCTTTGTGATGGCGATAAATATCGGTATTGATCAGTATAGATCAAGCAGCTAGACATGGACCTAGTATGTCTCCAGGAGGAACAAAAGAAGCGTATGACTTTGTCGAGCCATACTTGAAGAAATGGGCTGTCAAAACGCCTGAAGGGGAACCTTGTGTCTGTTATGTTGGTCCTGGAGGGTCTGGACATTGTAAGTTCACCTTACTTCTTCAGGTACTTGCAAACGCAGCAGCTGATGCGGTAGATGTAAAGATGATACACAATGGGATTGGTAAGTCGTGACTTATCTTCATAAGACCGACATCGGATTTATGAACAGAACACGCACATCTGTCTATCTTATGCGAAATACGCGCTGTCATGGCATATCAATTTGGTCTCTCCAACGACGAAATATCAGATTATTTCGAAAAGTGGTATCGATCCGGACCTCTAAGGGGTAATTACCTAATCGGGATTGGATACAAGGGACTTCGCTTCAAGAAGGGTGGAGGGATAGAGGATAAGAGGGGGATCGTGGAGGATGTAGAGGATAAAGTGACGCAAGATGTTGATTTGTCTGAGGTGAGCTATACAAAATAAGAACTCTCCTTCAATGTTAAAAACATCCGCCCCTAGATTCTGCGCTAAAAGTAGAAGTATGTTGCTGATTAGATAGGGCACCGGAACTTGGTCCACCATGGTATGTCTCTCCATTACTTGTGTCATAAGCTGAATGGGAAAGGAAATCGCAACGAGACATGTTGCAGCACCAGCGATTGCAGCTTCACATCAGCTTCGTATCATCTCTTCTGACAAGTCTGAACGTCTAGAGGTTGTGAAAAACATGTCTTTGCCTCAGCCCAGAGAAGATAAGCTTGGGAAGGAAGTGAAAGAAGACGTGATGAATACTGTCGAGAAGGCTGTATACGGATGTATCTTAGGTGGATTCGTTCAAGGTTTGGCGGTAAGTCGTATTTCTCCCTCCCACCCCTCCTAGCCTTTGGGATCCAACTGCATTCATAGGCCTCTCTCCTCTTTGACTTCTCGATATCGCGATGTCCATTGTGGATGACTACATGTAGTCACGGAGATTCAAGTCCATCAGTTTGGGAGGTGCTAAGAGACAGATCATTGCTAAAGCGTCCCAAGAGCAGGTCATTTCATTCCCCACATTCCATGTGAGAACTGACAGTTCAGAAGTGGGATATTTCCCTTGCTGAAACTATGAAGATCTGGAGAGCAGGATGTATAATTCAAAGTGGTTCGTCCCACCATCATCCATTCTTCCACTGTCTTTTTCCTGTGTCATATACGCTGACATTCATAGACGGGATATGTGATCTCCTTCTCCCACATTTGACTAAATTCCCCCCTTCCGAACCTCACAATCTTCTACAGTCCATCCCCGAAGTGGCCAAAGAGCTCGCTTCGACTTACGCGGCTGTGAAAGAGGTGTACATGTTGGCAGTGGCGGCTGATGCGGTTGCTCCTGCTGTAGGGGCGACGTTGGAGTGGATGAAGAGTGTTTCCGGAAAGAATCTTCCGACCGATTTTGAAGAGATGGAGTTGGATTGTGAGTTTTTCATAATGTCCATTCTTCCCTTGACCCAATTATCATGCGTCCACTCTGTTCCTTTATAATTCAGAGCAGAGTACTACAATCTCTATCAAAATCTTGATATCTCCTTTGCAAACACATCATCACCGTGCTCTACTTAAGACCCTCTTTGACATCAACACCAATTCTTCTTCTCCCCATTCCCATCACCTCCTATCATCCTCCTCCGCACGATCTGTCTGGATGAAAGGAAACATTGGGTGAGGAATGTAGAAGAGAGAGCGGTAGACTGACACCCAGACTTTGGACATCACAACTACGATATTAAAGGTCATCCAGAGCCCGGCCATAGTAAAGGGAAATACCATACAGAATTCGCTCCTGCCTAAACCCTTCCGACATAGTCAATTCTAACCATGTAGCTTATAGTTACCGTATGACCATTACGATGACACCACGAAACATAGCATAATACACGATAGCACGGAAACGATCAAGAATATGTTAAATTATCAACAAATATATATGGATTCTGAATTTTGAATTATACTTGATTCCTCTGCCCACATCTATAAACGCTTTCTTTCCATATCTTTCACCAAAACACCTTTCTCGCCTCATTCCACAGATGATCACAAACGATTATCAGATTCGCATGCACAAAAATGGATGGGGATATGGAAAGGTGGATATGGATCATGCTTTCACAGGTTGAGCTTCGGCCTCTGCCTCGATGTTATAAACAACATTACGTCGACTGGTGATGCTGAATTTATCGATGAAAGTGAAGAAAAGTCCCACGACGGAGAGTGCGACTGAAGGTTAGTGTTGATGTCTACCTCCACTACTCCCATTTGAGACAAAAAAGGAATATAGAGATAGTGAAGTTGTTTTCTCTTTGTAGTCAAAGATGATAGATAGGGGAGGGATACTTGAGGGAAAAGACAATACAGATAGTTGTTAAAGATCGGAATATGATGGAGTAAAATAGGATAGATAGAAGAGGGAAAACTCACACATGGCCCAAGCTAACCCTTCAATAGCTGTAACCCTAGAACATTCATGTACGTAAGGTTGCCATACGGTCGGAAACCGATCGACGGGATTACCACATTGTAATCCGTGACCGAATGGAGTAGACTCGATGATTCCTGCTCCTGTACCCCACCAAACTCCCATTGCCTAATATGTCAGCAGGGACTTTCGCATAACAAGCGCCACCAAGGGCAAGTCGAGCGGATATGAGGAGGGGATATCTCGAGGGATGATTGCGCAAATGCTAGGAAAGGAAGTGAAGGGTCAAAACTCATGTCAAGAATGTAACAGAGATATGAATGGGAAAAGCAGTAAGTAGGGAGAAGAGATGGGATGAAGAAGAAGAATTAGACTTACCAAAAATATAGGTAAATACAAAAACAAACTTAAAGCCCAATGGAAAATTCCAAAAAGCAAAGAAATTATACTACTAAACAATAATAATCCCATTGCATGTTGATATTGTCCCGTTGGCCAATTTTGAGCATATCGACCATATTTATGTATTTGTTGAGAAACGAGACCTAATTCCGCAACGTCTATAACGATGAAAAGTACGAAAAGTATGAACCAAAATATTTGACGGGAGGTACTGAATATAAGAGAATAGTTTAGTTTTTTAGATTCTGGTTTGGCAGAGCCGGCTGAATGTGTTAGTCGTATTTCTTTACAAGTATATTGTAAACTCGTATCCTTCGACCAGATTCACACAGTTGCTTGTGTACTATAGTACTATCCACAGAATCACCATATTCACTAGGTCACCAGACTCATCCTTTCGATACGAGAGGTTTAGTGATCATGATTGTCTCTCGGGTTGTGAGATTGATGGGGCAGTTTCAGATTGTGTGGTATGAGGTGAATAGGTGAAGGGGAATCGAAGGAGACTGTAAAGGTTTGGAAGACCATGACAAATGAAGAGATAAGTATGAAAGGGTTGATAATTGAAGAAAAGACTCACGAACATGTACTTTACGTGCCATCTTAATTCAATTACCAAAGTATTATTCGATGTTAAAACACGAGTAAAATTGCGAAGGGTGAAAAAGTTATTAAACCTGTGAGTAAAAACTAAGTAGACGATTGTTAGAAGCGTAGATGCACATACTCAACTTTATATACAGTACATCTCGGTCAACCGGCAGACGTATGCCATCAAAATGAATCAGAAGGCCTTAGTAAGTTATGAGTCAGCATAAAGAATTTAGAATCTTTTCCGTCAAGTCAAAGGAGTTTTTCTCTCCTCGTCTACCTTTTCGACTGATGAGATGATAAAGACCCTTTGCCGTGAGAGTTGCCGATGTTAAGGACGACCATGAAAGTCACCGTAGGTCCAAGAGGCCACAGGGTGCAGGGTGTAAGTCACGAGGGTATGAGTTAAAATTGTTTGATGTAAGCAAGACCATGTAAGTGTTGTCGTAGACTTTTCTCATTTGCCACCGAAAAGGGGAATCGCAGACGGATTACATAGATCCCGATTCTACCCGACCCCGAACTTCTTTCTCTCAGGAACAAACGCTAAATCCGATTTGATGAAATGACATCATGTCCTTTGAAGGGGGGCGACGGCGTGGCGGGCCTATCGCAGAAGCAAGTTTATTAGGAACGCTCAGATTCGGACTCTTTCATCATTGCATCTGTTAACCGAAGCCGGAAACAAAATTTAACAGTGGATTTCCGAATGATTTCAACGGCGTTCGCCGTTAAACAAGTGACAATCCGAATCCACCTTGTTGGATCTTTGAATCGTTCGTACAAACTCACTTTGACGATCATAAACTCATTCCGAACGTTTAAAACATGATCCCTCTGACGAGAAACCATGAGACCGGTATACCGGGTTTATATACTGACTCGGATTTACTTTTCTTCTTATCTTCCCATACTCATCTTTTTGACTTTCTCATACTTTCATATCTTCCCCACCACACCGCTGTGAGGATCGTGAATCGAAAAACAACGATCATCGACGCCTCTTCCCCACGCGTTGGATCGTTGGAGCCAGGGTGACATAACAAGCACAGACTTTTACGCCCTCTTTCCATCATTCTCACCTTTAACTCTCTCCCCTTTCTCTATCTCTCATCATCTTCCTCTGTAACTAGTCCCCCGTCGTTCGGTCGTGTTGTGACCTCATAACTCTCGTCATGAATCCAGATTTAGAACGTGGTCCTCTCGATCGTTCATCACGCGAAATCAACTCTTTAGCTGAATTTGACACCAACGTCGATCCCACCGCCACCGATACCAGTGTTGGACGCCAAGAAAGACAAGGTTCTCAAAGTTCTACCGTCGGTTCCGGTATTTCTGGTATTTCGACTGTGGAAGGTAAAGAAGTCGATATGATTACCCCTTCAAACCATCCACCATCATTATGGAGAAGATTTACCGTAGAATTGGATAGGATAATACTCAATTTAGGTCCTTCGTATTATTCCCTGACTATGGGAACGGGTATCGTTTCGATTTTATTGTATGGATTACCGTGGAATGGTTTATGGTTGAGATATATTGCAGAAGTTATATTTGTCTTCAACGTATTACTGTTTGTGTTGATCACTCTGGGTAGTGTGGTGAGGTATGTCAAATATAAGGGATTATTCGGAGCGGTATTGAAACATCATACTTCGGGTATGTTTTGGGGATGTATGCCTATGGGTCTTGTCACCATCATAGTCAGTCATCTCTTCGATCTACTTTCGTCGATGCCTTCTTTATGTAGACGGTCGTTATGATTTCAACCGATCTTGATAGGATTAGTATGAAGAACGGAACCGGGGTTCAGACTGACACATAGAACATGATCGCCAAGGTTTGCGTCCCGGCTTGGGGTTGGAGAGCCGCACAACTTGCCTTGGGATTATGGTGGATCGACGTCATCTTCAGTATCTTGATCAACTTTGGAATGCTCTTTTACATGTGAGTTGTTTCCATTATCTCTTCAATCAATTCTCTCTCTCTTTCGTCATCCCACAGTATTCAACTTTCATCACTCGACTGCCTGTCATTGATTCCACCACGGTAATGTCACAGCATAGCCGGCTGGATGGAGCAAATCACTCACCCTCAGCTTCGCCCGCCATACCCACACTATCGAGACCGTCTCCGCTCCATGGCTACTACCCATCGTCACCTCCGTCGTCGTTGCCGCTTCCGGCGGTGTAGTCGGAACGGCTCTTCTTCCCTTCTCCCCATCCCTAGCTCGTTCCGTCGTCCTCATCTCATACGTCGTATGGGGTACCGGTGTCCCCGTTGCCCTCATGCTCATCGTTCTATGGATATACCGTACAGCATTGATCGGATTACCCGCACCGGCCGCTCTTCCCAGTGTATTCCTACCTCTCGGTCCATGTGGTCAAGGAGCATTCGGTATAGCCCTTCTCGGTAAAACGGTCCGACAATTAAGTTATGATTATTCCACACCTTTCGCTCTACTCGAAACACCAGAATCGTCACTTCGTCTAGCCGATGCAGTTTATGCCGGTGGTTTAGTCACTGCTCTCATCTTATGGGGATTAGGATTAGTATGGTATACCATAGCACATGCTATATTCGTCGATCATTTCTTCCGATGTAACAGAGACTTTTTCGGAAAGACAAGTTTCACAATTGGTTTCACGGCGATTACTTTCCCTATCGGTGTTTGGGCAACAGCGACAACAGAGTTAGCACAGGAATTGGATTCCATGGCTTTTAAAGTCATAGGAACAGTAGTGAGTTTACAAGTGACTTTCAATTGGGTTTATGTGATGGTATTCACTATTTGGAAAGCTTGGGAAGGGACTATATGGGTTGATCCAGCCTTGAGTGGGTTCGAAAAAGGGAGACCACCATTGAGGTTTGGAGGAAAGTTATGAAGGGAGAGAAAGATGTATTTGGGAAATCATGTGTATGATATGGACGATTGGGAAAACGTTGTGAATGATATGAGATTATTATGCATTAGATGGCGTTTGAGTTTGCTTCATTCAAGATTCATTGATCTTTGAGAAAGACAACGAATCACGTCAGTATGGCGTCTTGCAACTTGAGTTCGTCTTTCTGGACCAACTCGTAAACTCCGATAAACGCCGGGCTATCTTATCGTTCACTAACTCACATCTTCGCCCACATGCCCCACCACTAGACCCGCCGTCCCTCTCCACTCATGGTGTTACTACTTCTCAGGCAGCAAGATCAGAGGTCGATACCAGAAAGAAGAAGATGCTTCAATGGGACACTGAATATGACGAACCGTACATCCCTCTCGGTGATGGGATACGAATCACCCCTCTTCGATTTGACGACGTAGAGACGTGGTGGGAATTATATTCGGAGAAGGGAATATCAGATAATAACATCAGGAATCCGAAACCGTGAGGCTTTCAAGTTACCAGTATCATGTCCATCATCCACCGTTCATCTACTCACAAGAGTGTAAATTCCCCCAAAAAAGCCAGATCCTCATGTCATGTGGAAATGGACCTCGGGTCCCTTGCTAATTTCGTCATGCGTCCTGTCATGAGGATATGCTTTCTTCCTTCTCCATCTTTACTCTTCCCTGTCTTTCTGTCTTTCATTTGAAATACAGTACGAATACATGTGTCGCATGCGTCCTTTTACACCCTATCACTTCCTTCAACACCCTGTCACCCTGCTCTATCTCCCTTCAGACTGATGTGGATATCACCCATCGGCCCAAATGTCCACATCATTCAGATGATCGAGAAACTACGGGGGGGATACAGAAATCTCCACAACACAATGCTGATACCACAGTCTTCCCAGAGAACTCGCAGAAAGACAAGTCGTCGAGAAGATGGAATATGCTAGACCGTTTTTGACACAACTACAAGCTCTCCGATCGACGGGCACTAAGAAAGAAGATTGGGTGATTGGGGGTTGTCCGTTTCATGTTATCCGTACTGATTCGGGGAAGATTATAGGTATGTCCTGATTCACTCATTCTCCCTGTCATCTTTCCTCGTGTTTTACTCGTCCCGCTACATCCCCTCATTCCTTCTTATTTGGTCAAGTCTATGAACCTCCTTTTGGTCTCAGAGCTCGCGTCCTGAGTTCGGGTCCATAGCTTCGGTGGAATCCAATCGCGATGACTGGAGAAAACGACTCACGCACAAAGGCACAATCAACTGTCATCTTTCAGACGTCCCCTTTCCCCCTCCAGAACCCCTTTCACAATACGCCCATGTGAACCAAACTTGGGATCTAGGATACAACGTTTCCTCCCAATACACTGGCAGAGGGATAGCGAAAGCTGCTGTCAAAGGGCTGGTGGATGATTGGTGTGTACCCTTCATGAGATTGAGGAGGATCAGTGCGGTGAGCCCTTTCCCCAAACACCGAACATCGAGTGAGGGGAAGAAAATTCGAGCCAATCTCATACATACATCGGACCCTCAATATCGAGGATTCCCTTGGCAAATTACATATGACATTCCAAAAAGATTGCCACCAGACTACTCCTTGAGGGATGTGCTGACAAGAAGGGAGCAAAAGCAACAAACCCAGCTTCACATGTTGTCTTGCGTCATTCGGGGTTGCGGGAAGTCTTCAGATATCCTAGGACACTGCCTCGTGGACTAGGAGGGGAGACTTTTGAAGCGATCAAATTCGTCAAAGATATGCCACCGAGTTGATTTGATGCATCAACCTGTAAGTAGTACTTTTCCCAGGAGAGCCAACTACTGTCGACCCCTCCCGAGCTCCCGAGGATCTTGAGCGGCTTCATTCACCTGTATAACGGATCTTCACATATACAGAGGGTGTCAATCGTCGTCATATATACTACCACGCATTAGGTGGTGATCAGCACAAGCCATCCTTTCCAGATCGGCGTCCGAAAACTCTTGACACTCTGAACTCGTACTTTCACTTTGTGTCATCCCGTCATCCTGTCATCTTCGTGCAAGTGTCTCGACAATCGCTTCGCATAGTCATTCCGACCGTCTCATTGTTACCCCCTCTTTCGCGACCATGTCTAACATTCGAAAAAAAGCCTTGCAGGCTCACAAAAAGCTCCAGGAGCAGTATGGCGAGATGGCTCCTCCTTGCGACCTTTATTGTGATCAATTTGAGATCTATGAGGTTAGCACTGAATTCCTTTCACCTTCTTCTTGAAGCTTCGCGTAGAATCCAGGAAGTGGGCTTCTTCGTAAAACCATCGCTGCTGGAGAGGTATGGCTAAGACCAGCGCAACACCACTACCAAGCCCATGCCCGTACCCTTGAACTTGGTTGACAGATGCCTGCTGGCGAAACTGACAGTCGACGCGTTCGACCGACAGCAACATTTTTTCAAGCTCAAGACCGGTGTGATACATATGTTTCGAGGGGAGCAAACCACCTCGTCAGTCGTCGACTGGCCTCTGCTCAACCGAATCGGGATGATAGATCTGCTCTGTCCCAATAGGCACCAAGGTAAGTCATCAGAGTAGAATTTTCCTTCATGTGCTGATGGAGCGGGCTGTGTGTTGTTGTGTCGCGTACTTGGCGAGCTTGAAGTAGATATAAATGTGAGATTGTGAGTCGCCCGTTCACAGTATGAAGGTATTTCATGGCTGACGAGAGTATAGCACAGTCGAAGACCCGTCAGGCCTGGCTATGAACGTCGCCATCGGCGACTTGCCATTACAAGTCGGTGATGGACTGGACATGGCATCGCTTGATCAGACTTACGCGAAGGGGGCCATCTTGGCTATTCGGGAACCTCGCATCAGGTTCATTCAACCTACGGGGTATGAAACCGAGATACGAGTGGACGTGGCAACCGACATAATCCGCGTTCACGAGCGTGATCCTGAGATTCGCCATGTCCGTTGGAATTATCCGTCCCCTGTGAGTTGTTCTTGGGGGTCGTAACCTAATTGATCTGCAGCATGTTGATACCCGAACACCTGAAGACCTTAAAGTAGAGGGTAACAAAGCGGTACAGGCTGGTAGATTTTCGGTGGGTTGTTTTCATCTACGCCTCATATTCAGACCCTGATCGCAGTTGGCTTGCGCACTCTATTCCACGGCGCTTCTGTACCCTTCATCCGAGATGGACCAAAGTCTTTCCTTCGCCCTTCGTCTCAATCGTGCTCTCACCAACATTCGTATGGGTCGTTATGCCACCGCTCATCTTGACTGTTTGGACGCAGAGAAGCTCAAGTATCAACCGACTCCCACGCAAGTCGAGAAGGTCCTCTGGAGGAAGGCTCAGTCGGCTTACGGCTTACGTATGTGGTCTTTGGCCGGAGATCTCGCTCAAAGCGCTTTCGATGTCGGACTTCAGGAGGCCACGACCATGATCCAGGAAGTGAAAACTCGTCGCGAAGAAGAGTCCGGGAAATACGATTGGGAAGCACATCGCCAAACGCTCGCCAAGAAGGGTACGCCAGTGATGTCCGATTATGTTGGCCCTATTCAGGTCGTACATATTCCAGGGCGTGGACGTGGAGTCGTGCTGACTGCCGACGTGCAAGCCGGTCAGCTTCTCTTGGTCGACACTAGTCTTTCAAGCAGGGAATTGCCTGAAAACCCAAAATTTGTGGAGACGAACCTTGAGGATCAAAGCGTGAAGTGGACTGTTGCACTTCTAAGGAGTGCAGCAATGTACCAGCTCATGGATGATCCTGGAATGGTGGAACTTTGGAATGATTTGAGTCGTAGCAAAGCTAAGCCAAGTCATCAAATCCCATCACTGCGCGTTTCCCGCACTGTCGAGACCCTTCGAAAGCCCGCCATAGTCGATCCGATGGCCATTGGTCACGCTATTCGCATCAATGCCTTCATGGGCGCCAAGGGCTATGCGCATGTCCAACGTCTGTTTTCTTTCTTCAATCATTCCTGTGTTCCCAATATCTACACCACTGACATAGGCCATGTAGGTCCCTTTTCCGTCTTCTGAGCCTCTTGTCATCTCGTGCCGTCGCACATCTTCCTTCTTATTCGTTGTCTGTTGTGCGCTGGACTGACTATCAGACTGTCGTCATGCGCGCTGCCGCCGACCTGAGCAAAGGTACCGAGTTGACCACCACCTACTGCGAATCGTGCACCATTCCATATTCAGTCCGTACCGCTAGTCTCTCATCCCTCTGGGGCTTCCACTGCGCCTGTCAGCTATGCCGCGAGGATGCCGCCGATGATCATGTCTCGAGAGAACGGCTCGTGAATGAATACCTCAAGTCCGGTAAGGTGACGAGAACCTCTTTCGCAACGCCCCACTACGCTTCGATGATCTTGGACACCAGCAAACTAAGTGAGACCTATCACCCATCGAGAAGGTACAAACTTTACATGTTCCTTGGCTTAATCACAAGGGCCCTGGCGACAAGCGATCGGGAAGTGGCCATGGAGGTAAGTCACCGTTCCGGACTCGTCATTCAATCATGAGCTCATCAATAGGCTTTCAAGGCACTTGGTGCAACGCCAGCAACCCCCGGGCAGCTTCAACGGCACGGAAGAGTACTTCAGACCGTTGGCGTTATGGATGAATCTTACATGGCTGCTCTAATTGCTGTTGCAAAGACATTCAAGAACGAAGTGAGTATCTCCAAATCTTGTTGCACATATCCATGCCGTAAGTATTGAAGCTAAAAGTTCAGGCGGCTGAGTGGGTCAATACGGCTTGTTGGGCGCACGATGTTATGCGTGGGGGAGGCCGACGATACTTTGAGGCCAAGTACGGTCATCAGATTCCCAAAGGGGTAAAATGGGTATACAAATGTCCCATCGTGGGCGTCCCAACCTGACAAATGCCACGGCAAATCTATTGGACCAGATACATGTATATAGTGAGTCGTTTCATGTGGTAGTGATGCTGTTCTGACATACATCCAGTATCATCGGAGTTGAGGATGAGTAGGTGAATAGCCATCATGCGACATATGAGCTGCAAGTACGAGGCCTAGTCGCGACATTGCGACCCAACACCGAAGACTAAAGGTGACCTCGAGATGGCTCTTCGATTTGTCCTTCGGAGAAGCGCTCGCTGGGAGTGACTTGATAAGTATCGACAATTCATGATCACTGACTATCCGGGCTTACCCAAAGGGACGACCGACTGCAGCTGGAAGTCTACTGACCTCACTGACATCCCCAAAAGGGTAGAAATGATCGAGATCATGAGGTCATTGATAGTCACGATCGGTATCACACACAGTACATTCCTCTCCCAACATAATGCTCCATCTCTTCGGTCTGCTTTCTCCTTCCTTGTCTTCTCTCCTCTACCTATGCGTCAATTGTGAACAGTACCTGAGCACTTTCCTCCGGTGTTCTTCTCCCCTCATCATACTCTATCAGTACCTTGACTCTCACTATTCTTGTCCTGTACACGTGTTCCTTTCATACTTCCTCCTCTCATCCACCGTCTGATTTCCAATAGACCTCAAGGACTATCAGTTCCCTCCCGTCCCTTATTTTGCCTCTCCCCCCTCCTCTCGATTTCCTCCTCGGGCATCTTCATCATCGTGAAGCCTCTGTGAGGAGTTGTACCGACCCTATCCACCCTTCCGAAGTCGCAAGAGCTTAACTCGTCGTCATCGTCACTCAAAGTTTCGGCCACGATATGAACCTTCCACTTCAACAATCGATGCACTCTGCTGAAGGTTTGAGAGTTGCAAATGGAGTGACGTTGGACGCAGGGAACGAGGTGCACCAGCCCACTAGCACAGTTCGACAGTTATTCCTGGTAAGTTGACTTCTCCTTCGTCATAATCTTTTGCTGTCTCCAAACATTTCCTCATCTTCGCGATGCCTTCCGTGTTCTGCGCAACTTTCCCATACTTCCTCCCACATATTGCCATCCAATGCGTCATCTCCTTGTCAATCAACAAGTCAGTCTTCCCTGATGTCAACGGCCCAATAGTCAATGGGGAACCGCAACCAGGATGGACGAAAGGATCACTGACTGACAGCTGGATGAACATGGACCGATTCTCACTTCGTTCTGGCTATATCTCTTGCCGCGTCATATGCGCTTGCAAGCGCAAGAGCCTGGGTGGACTATCTTCAAGAATTATCCGACCGATATCAACAATAGGGGGTGGAACAGCATGAGGACGGTATCAAGAGGGTATACACAGGGTCAGGAGCTACAAATCCAACATCGCTGTTCTTCGATCCAATACCGGACATATGGTCGTATAGAGCCTTGGTACAAACTCATGATTGTTCTGCTCAAGGATCTGATGTGTCCTTACCGCCATATAGGTGAGTGGTTGCCAATCCGTGCCTTTTCATTTGAGGCTTGGGCATAGGTAGCCAATACGACAATCACCCGTTGGTCATTCTCGGCACCTACTATGCTTGACAGTACTCTCCTGGAAGTCATGACTGAAGTTACAGGGAAAGTAGTTATTTGCCGCGTCGTCACTTCCATCATTATCAACTCTGAATTGAATCTGTGAGTTTGTTTTGAGGTTGGATGAAGTTATAAAATGTAGCATCGTTGAGGATTTTTCCGGACTCACGACGCATGTGGAGATATTGAATCTACCTACGCTCCGATCACCATCGGCAATCCCGCTCCAGGAGCTCAACGAGATATTTCCCGTGGGCGCATTATTCGCTATCAAAGAGCCTACAACTCTGTCTCTGATTTATGGCCATGGGAGAATCCGTGTAGAAGTCCCCGGTGAAATCGAGCGACTGCACCCGCTGGACCCTAGGGTGGCCAACTTTAAGTGGCAGTTGGAGCCTCTTGTCAGTGATGTCAGCCGGCTACGCGGAGAGGACTGAAATCAGAACTCCGATCGCAGAAGTCTATCACAAGTCGTTGGGGTAGGAAATGAGGATGTTTGGAGAGGTTGTTCCATGGTGAGCGCAGTCATTGGGAGAGACAGGAGGCGTTGAGATAATCTGACCCCAGACCGCTTTATACCAGCTCACTTATGGTCTCGCTCTCCCCTCTAGTCTACGCTCCGCAGACATGACATGCTTGTTACTGGCTCGACGGGCATCCGCGAATCTGGGCGCCAACAGGCCCGCTTCTTCGTATCGCGATCTTCAGGAGGCGGAGAAGATCCCCATCAAATCGGACTGCGTTCAGGACGTGCAAAAGGAAATAGTATATCACAAAGCCAAGGCGGCTTATAGGATGGGATTATGGAGACACGCTGACATGCTGGCCCAGCACGCATTCGACACTGGTACCAGAAAGGCGTCTGCGATCCTGAATAAACTCGACGTCCGTCTGGAGGAGGGATTGGGGAATTATGACTGGAACGCACTTTTCGACAGATATGTCGCCGGGCGTCGACTCGATGTAGCAAATTATGTCGGTCCGGTCAGAGTCGTCCGAGTCCCAGGCAAACACAGATCTCTCGTACTCACGTCCGACGTATATGCGGGTACTCTTCTGCTGGTCGAGAAGGCTCTGATTCACGCCAGTCGTTCAGAACGGTCCAGCTCGCAACCCAGTCGGCTGGATCCTGTCAGTGGGGACGTCAAAGAAGACGCCCGAGTCATCGCCACGAGAAAAGCGGTACAATTGTTGATCGACGAACCTCGCTTGAAGAAGATTTGGGACACTTTGTTTCCATCAGTAAACCCCGAATCGGCAGTTCTTGAACTGTCTGAGACCGAAAGGCTCGAGGCTTTACACGAGCCCGTCTCCTTGGATATTCACAGTATCTGTACCAAAATAGCTATCAACTCCTTCGGTCTATCGCCCATCACGGCGAAAGGTTTCCACTCTGCTCCAATGAGAAAGGACGGAGAGGTAGACAAGGACACGGCGATATGGCCCACCGTGTCCATGATAAATCACTCTTGTTTACCCAACACGGTGCATATCGCATGGGGAGATGTGAGTGGTTTTAGTAAAGAAAGTATTAGTGCTGAGACCAGGTCGCTGTCGTGAGAGCGCTGAACGACATGTCGGCAGGAACAGAACTCACCATCTCATATTTCTCCCGCGAACAACCTTACGAAACCCGAGCGGCCAAAGCGAAACAGTATCTCTTCACATGTGATTGTAACCTATGTGCAGCGGACCGAATGGATGAATCGATACGACGCGGCAAACTCATGGAGAAGTTTGACATGGCGAAACAAGCCAGTCGAAATATTTTACTCTCCCCTCGATGTGCGCCTGAATGGATGGATCGTAACAAACGATTCAGGAAGGAGATGGAAATGTTTGGGATGGAGATCGAGAGGACTTATGCTCCCGGAAGGACCATTCGACTGGAATTGGCTAGAGTGTTGCGTCTCATGACTGAGCACTACAATGATACAATGGACCATCGAAATGTCGCAGATATCAATAAAGCAATTGAGGTGAGTCTGAACTTTGGATCTCATGAAGGAAAGACATGGTGTTGATACCGGCAGTTGGAAATCAAGGCGCTGGAATGTAGCGGGGCTGTTGTTTCCACTCCTGAACAGAGTGCGATTCATGGCCGAACGATTGAGCGATTGGGACCACAAACGGACGAACAGATTATGGCCACGCTCCGGATCATGGGAATGCATGCCAGTCTCGCAATGAGTGTGCCATCCCCAGTTTCAGAGACTGGTCAAGAGTTCCTACAAGTAGATGAGACTCCGATGAACGAGAATGAAGAACGGTCTCATCACTGGTATGATACGGCTTGCTGGATCCACGAGTTGATGTATGGTGGAGGATCGAGATTACGTGAGGTGAGATATGGGAGTGAGGTTGAGAGGCAGCTAGGGTTCGATGGGATGATGGAGAGAAGTGCTGAGCACGACGAGGATGAGGAAGGCGAGGAAGATGAGGAAGATGAGGACACCGAGAGTGAGGACGATGAGGATGATTCGGATAGTGAAGATGACTGGGACGCATGGGACGATGGGGTCCGATGAGAATATCGAATCAGGCTTGTGATGTTGATTTCGTAAACTTTGGTCAATCGTTGCATGTCGCCTGTTGGATGTACTTGTTCATCTGACTGATCGGTTGCCTGCGAGGTCAGAAGCAGCGCTGGACCGCGTGAGCCGTACTTGAGAAGCAACATTGCATCGCGAGCCAATGATGTGATGATGTTGTGTTTGAGTAGTACATAGTTGTGTTGTTGCCAAGAGGTGGGATCATGGATCATGGTGGCGATCGGAAGTAGCAGTGTAACCGGCGGCGAAACGCCGGTGGCCCGTGCCCCTTCCACCCATCTCCACTTTGCACCCAAAACTCCATCTCTCTTACACTTTACTTTCCCTTCTGTCTCACTAATCCTCCACTCCGGTCAACCATCGCCGATATCTCAGCATACTGCACAGGCACATCCAATTAATCTAATCTATCAGCAAGATTCCAGCTCATCAAACATCATGAGCGACCGGTCCTCGCCGGATGGAGATGAGGAGGCTGATGTCCCTCGAAAGCAAGGCAATAGTAGGTTTCCACCTACATCCTTCCTCTCTCTCTCTCTCTTCTTTGGACTGCCGAATAGATGCATAGAGTATGGATGATTATGTTAACGCCATTCTCACTATTTCTCAAATACAGGAGCATGCGTACGTCCTTTTCTTGATATCTCTCAACCTCTCATGTCTCCATCAATCATGTTTCTGCCAGTGATCGCATGCAATCCATTTCCTTCCTTCACGTGATTACGATGAGATGGATTACGTCTTATCCTTGGACCTCCTCCTTGACTCGCCTGCGCTCCCGTCAAATAGGTGGCGAGGGGTCACAAGATTGAGGCAGACGACTGATGGTCAGGACTTTTGCCATAGGATGAAGATGAAATGTATCGGCAAAGAAAACCCTCCGTGCAATCGATGTCGTCAGTCTGGTCATGTGTGTACCTTCGATGGACCACGGAAGTCGAAGAGCTCAAAGGTTGAAGAGTGAGTGGGCCATTGTCGAGTTTTCATGTGATGGCTTTGCTCCTTCTCACCCCTGGATATTGATCACGAAAACTTTCGCTTTTCAAACGAACGAAGAGCCCATCCGTCGGAGAAAATCTCTGAAGAAAGCTCTTTCGACCGAGTGACATGTGCTGATTGATCAGCCGACTGAGAATCGTAGAGGCGCAAATGGGGGCGTTACAGACGACCATGGAAGAGCTGTTGAGATTGCAGCAAGGAGGCTCAAGACCGATGTTTACCCCGCAAACTATGAACAGTGGTCAACATGCCACAGATAGTGAGTCTCACCTCACCTCCTCTTTTCTGTCCAATTCCCGATCCCCCGCAACGGACCAGATGTGTGATGCGTTGGACACAGAAACTGACCGCACAGACTCGTTTCAACACACGCCTCCGGTAGCGTCGAGTACACCGGGCACCTTGCTCAGTCTGGAATCTTTTCTCGATAACAATGGAGGTGTTGGTGCCGCTCAACGACATTCTTCCATCACTCGAGAGAATATTCTAGAGCAACGACCATGGGCCCGACCTCCTACTCCACCCCCGAACCCCGCACACCTCAGTTCAGACAGCGACGACGATTCTGATCCTCTCGACCCTTCTCGAGCTGGCGCCCCTTGGGATAACATGCTCTCCCTAGCTGAAGCCGCTCGGCTGAAAGCGGATGGACACCACGATTTCAACCTCGATGGTGATAGGGATAGCACAACTGGGAAACGGAAAGTTGAAGCTAAGATATACCCCTTCGAGCCAGACGCAAAGCGTCAGAAGACGGCCGGGTCGAAACCGGATAACGAACTGAAACGTGCTCTACCGTTGCAGCAGGTGAACCGGGTGCATGCTTTCAAAGATCCCATGGACCTCGGTTGGTGTGGTGAGGAAAGAGGAAAGCAGCTGTATGATGTGTAGGTCTTTCGAAGCAGATGAAAGGGGGTCGCTGAAAACCAGATTTTTCCAAAGGTGTCATATGTACATGCCATGCTTCGACCCAGAGGTGGACACTTGGGACAGGTGAGTGATGCGGGCGAGAATCACTGTGGGCGCAGAGTGCTCATGTCAGCTTGCGGCGTAGATCTCCATTCTGCATCACGGCCATCATGATGGTAGGCGCCAAAGTGGAAGATGCTGGTGGACCAGAGAGTGAGCTACAGCGACAGTGCAGAGAGCATGCAGAGAAGATCGGTGAGTCGGAATTGAGTTACAACTGGGTCTTGCTGACAATAAAAGGCATGAGCACCCTCTTCACGCCTATATCCCGTATCGAAGTTGTTCAGGCTATGGTAATAATGGCATCATGGGGAGATACTAGCTGGCGGCCTGGTGGTGAGTTTGTTTAGCTCTCAGCTTGAGAAGTAAAGTACTGAGTTGAAAGGTCATGCCATGCGGATAGCCATGGACATGGGCTTGTATCGATGTCTACCTTACCTTGCTCAGAATGGCATGGGGGCCGGTAAAACACCTGATCAGATTAGAGAGGACTATCCACTGGTCGTTGGGGCGCGTATGTGGTTGGCAGTGAGTCAATCTTGTTTTTGTGAAAACGCTAGTCTCTCTGCTGATATCGGGCAGTTGTACAAGATGGAACACGAGTGAGCACACACAAAGGTTTCCAGAATGAAGCTCACTAGCAGGATGGCATTCAACATGGGGCGACCCGCTCTGTTTGCTGGAGAAGAGACGATCCGGCATTCCCGCCAATTCCTTGAGCATCCATTGTCAATCAGCACTGATGCGCGTCTGGTATCTTCAAGCGAGTTGTTGACGTTGCGATGTGAGTGGTGCTATCCACTTAAACAGGGTGAGGTTGATCTCGTAGTGCCCTTACATCAACCATACTCTATCCTCCCGGCTAGCGCCAGCATGCCTGGTCTCGACGAGAAACTCATAGAGTCACGGAGAAAAGTCGACGAGTGGTATACCTATTGGGAGCAATATTTCGGTCAGTGCTGCATTCTCCATCAGACCACACCGCTGATGCCCGTAGTCGAACGTGGCGTACCTGCCACAGATCTATTGCGCGAAAATATCGTCACTGGTCGATGCGGTACATTGTGAGTTCAATCCAGGTCTCCGATAATCTGCGCTTACAACGCAGCATGTATGTTAACTCACGGATCCTGCATGGGGTGAGGAACAAACAAGACATTGCCCATCTTTCAGATCAGCGCAAAGAAGCCTTGATCATAGCTGTCCGAGCGGCTGAGAAGTTGGTGGCTACAGCTCTTCGTGGAGGGCAGTATAAAGAGAACTTCCGATATGGTACGTCCTCCTTATCACATATGTGATCACGCTGACGTCTCGTAGCGAATCTGTACACGCGTATGTCCTCAGAACACATCTTGTTCATCACTAATCGTCTTAGATATGGGCGCCGCATTCGCTTCTCGTTTTCTGATTCGTATGGCTTCCCTTCTACCCGAAGCGGTGGACGTCCGGCAAGTCAGCAGGGATGTAGAACAAATTGCTCAACTTCTCACTCAGGGTAAATTTCATCTTTATAGTCCTTCCCGAATTCCACTGGGCATTTGCTGATCCCAGTCCCCGGATTCCAATTCGCTACGTTACTCCGCGATGTCCTCCAACGTGCGAGACGCAATCGGATCCTACCTCCACCTTCTAAAGCACCTTCTCCAATCAAACAAATCATGCCTCTCCCACCGATAGATTGGGACCCCACATTACCCACGATGACTTCCACTTCTACTCCGGCCCACAATAACCTCCCTCCGCCCAGTTTCAACTTTAACGATTTGGACACTATCACTACTAATTTCGACTTTACGTATGCCGATCAATTATTCACCAATTCTGGACGGACTTCTGGACCGCCACAGACGTTGACATTTGTGTGTAATCTTCTTTTCATTCCAATCACCCCGATTCTTACCCCGTCATGCCGTGCAAGATCTTCATACCTACAATGAAGTGGGATGAAGGACACTCTCCCACCTCGACCTGCCTCACAGGGTGAGACTGCCTAGCCATATGCGGTGTCGCGCCCTACAATGACCGTTAAGAGTCATCAAGTAACAAAGTACGTGAAGGTGGATTTGAGCTGATCACAGCCTCCTGAAACACCCGGAACGAACAACATTGACAGTCAAGGTTACTTGCTTGACATGTGGTTCCCCTTCCCACCTCTTGGCGAATCAAGTCCTCCTGGAGCCTCCATCGGACTCGCTGGCCCCGTAACCGGCGAAGGGGAAGGCCAACCTCCCGTCCTGGCCACTCCGGCTGCATTACCGCTCGGACCGGGTCCTGTACAGAATGGTCAGTCTGGTGCGCAAAGTCAGACATGGTGGTGATTTTCATACTTCTTCTCAATGAGTAATAATTCATTATTCGACAAGTTATGCATCTATCATTATCCCCAAAGACCAAGATGGGACGAGATAGTGTTGACTTACTACGCTTTATGCCAGATATGGAGGAAGAGATGGAGTGAGAGTAGGGTTTTATTGCACCATGGCTGGCATAGGTTCTCCTTTGACCCCGGCAATAGCGTTCCTAACGCCTATCTGATCAGTCGATTATTTGGTCCACGGATCAAGATGGACCATCTGGACAGGTCATACTGACGGTGAAAACCATACCGAACTGTCCATAGCCAGTATATAAGGAGAAGACAAAAGTGATAGTATGAAGGGAGACCACTCACACAATTCCGCCATGGCTTTCCTCGTGTCGACATCCGCCGAACCCATATGTGGGATGATCACACAATTCTGAGCTTTGACAAGAGGATGATCAGATGATATATTAGGTTCACCAGTGATCACATCTAACCCCGCACCAAATATCTGACCTGTCGATAATGCATGAGCTAGATCATCAGAATTAACGATAGGTCCCTAATGTCAACTTTTCTTTCTCAATCTCTCCAAACCTCACCCGCCCCCTACATTTTCTCCTTATTAGTGCAACTGATATATGAAGTGTATAATGGAATATGACTCACTCTGGCCGCATTGACCAAAACAGCAGTTTTCTTCATTTTCCCAAGGAATTCAGAATTGACATAATCTTTCGTACTGGGATTCAAATCACATAAAACTATCAAGATATCCGATTCTGAAGCAAGTTGATCTCTCTCTACAAGTTTAACCTTCACACCGAACCTATGACTGAATTGTTGATCGATCTCCATTTGGTTGGAACGTGCATGAGATGAAACGTATTGGACTTGAGGAGGATGTGTTTTGGATGTGAAAGCTAGTAAACGGGAGAGAACATGTTGTGATATACGACCAAAACCTAAGAAAGATAGTACCAGAGATGGATGGGAGATGGATGGACCGCAGAGTATGAATGGTGCCCATGGGAGTTTAGACCACTAATAATTGTTAGGTCGTGATTTCTGAGGGGTACATGAGGAATGAAAAGGAGAATACAGCGAATTGGGCAATTTTGCAGAGGAATGTGATCAAAGTGACGATATTCAGAATGTTGGATTCAGATTGAGGGAAGATTGGGAAGGAAGAGGAAAAGGGGATTTGTTGGATTCAGAATAAGGGCGGAAGAAGTCAGGACTAAAAACCGTTGTGAGAGATTTGGTTGGAAGGGGGACGGAGGAACGGAGATGGAATGGAGGGGGGAGATGAGGCAAGAGAAATCACTCACTCCACCTGATTTAACCAAGGAAATACCTTCTTCCACTCTCCGCAATGTCATCAACACCAACATGACGGTGATATCAGCGACTATTTGTCAGTCATCATTCTTCCCCTTCTCCCCCCATATATTTCGCTTTCGTGCTCTAAACTTCCATGTTCTCTCGCCTCCTGCTCTTCCTCTTCACTCTGAATTCTGGCATGTTGGATAAACTCACCAGCATCACTCAATACTCCCGGTGTATGTCCTATCTTGATACCTCGTCGTTTAGCGCCTTCGATGTTGATATGGTCTATAAATCAGCATTCATCTCGCCACACTTATCCTCCATCACATTGCTGATACGTTGTCGCATTCCGTCCTCCAGATCACTATCTAGAATTCCTATATCCGTTCCGTGTCACAAATGGAATTTGGAAACTTTATGGCAATAAAGGCAGAGGAACATAGTGAGACATTATCAAACAGAGAAGAACTCACCATACCCCACACTAAAAGTGGAGACCACCTTCAAATTCTCATTACAAGCCTTCAAGAACTCATCATCCACTTTGTCGCTAGGTTGGGAATGCATCAAGCATACTCCCCTCACTTCTGGGTCAGCTAAATGACCGAGCACCCACTCTCGGCTCGGAGCGGCATCATGAGGATTGATTATAGTTTCCAGGCCTGAAGAAGCGAGGATGGACATTGCGTCCGGTCCTAAATTTCTAGTTCTACTTAGTCAGAAAAGGAACAGCGTGTTAAAATGCAATTTCCCCAGTGAAGCCCGACACATTCCGAGCTAGTTGTACATCGTTGGTTCTTCCCTCCTAGCGATTGACACAGGTTTACTCGATGAGGGATTCACACTCACACAAGTATTTTGGGCATTATAAAGCAGTGGAGTAGTGAGTAAAGCGACAAAGATGTTCTGGGTACAACTCTAAGCGAAACTGGATAATCGCGACGGGGGTCGAATTAATGCCGACGGAAATGTGCGGATTGCGCCGGGTTCCCTAGGGAACATTGCATAATACCTACGCTGCTCATTTTCAGACTAAGTAGAACTAGACATTATAGGACCGGTCGCAATGTATATACTCGCTTTTTCAGGCATGGAAACTATAATCAATCCTCATGATGCCGCACCGAGCCGAGAGTGGGTGCTCGGTCATTTAAGCTGACCTAGAAGTGAGGGGAGTTTGCTTGATGCCTTCCCAACCTAGCGACAACGTGGATGATGAGTCCTTGAGGGCTTGTATGAGAATTTAGAAGGTGGTCTCAACTTTTAGTG